TGCAGAAACAAAAACAAAACAAAAAAAAAAAAACAAGAGAAAGAAAAAATAAACTATAAACCCAGCTAGGTCAACAACATTTCCTTAAAAATAATAAAAAATACATATTTTGCTTCAAATCACGAGAGATGCGCATTACTGCAGTTTTGTATGACATTTTCCAAAAAGAGGGGAGGGGGGAGAATCTACTAGAGTCCGTGTGTATGACTCTTAAGTCATGCCAATTCAGTGTTAATCACTATTTTTGAGATCACCTCATGCTCCTAAAGCAGACGTGGTAAAGGAGCACTGCAAGAGAATTTAAGGCCAACCTTTCATCAGATACTTCCTGAATATCCTCTTGGGGGCAGGGGTGGGAAAAACCCCCAACAATTTTTCTAATACCTCAACACTATCACCCAGTACAGCACACTTTGAGGGGAAAAAAAACTTAGGGTACATTTTCTACAATACAATCTAGCACACACAAAACGTCTCCATAAATTTTCCAAAGTAATTTTGTCTTCTTCGGAAGCATAGTCTATAAAGAACATCTTTGTTTGAACACAAAAGATTAAGTGAACACACATCAATGCGCACAGAAGTCCTTCATCTGGGAAAGGATAAAGTCTGTGTTGGCAACCAGTGGACAGAATAAATCAAGAAAAAAATAAAAGAAAATTGCTGATTCTAAGTAGAGATCATTTAATATAAATGCTGCGCGAGTAAAATAAGAGGTGGCACATTAATAGTGCTTTAGTATATTAATGTTTGTATACATACTCATATGTATAGGTGAGCTGTGTACCTAAACAATAAATGTAGCGAGGAGCAGTCAGAGGCTTGAAGTGTGGTAAGAAATTTGAAAAAACAAAACAAAAACAAACATCCACTATCATGGTGCTGACAAATTGGAAGAGATGCCCATCTAACAACTCGGATGAGGATGTCAAACACAAAAACATTTGTGCCTTTATTCATTTGACTCATCGGTTGTCAGGGATTTGTCAAACTCTGTCAGTTTCTCAGTACCCCTCGTCTGACCAAAACGAAGGCTCGGCGTTAAACTAAAACGACTTGACCAAGAGTGTCTCATCTATTCTTCAACCGTTCAAAGACAAGGACTCGCTAGGTCTCAGCGGCGCTGTAAAACTGTAGCCAATCATGCTAATTGTTTACCAAAGGCAAAGAGCTCCACTGAGCGTCAGCAGTAAACAATTTACATGATGGAGAAAGAGCAATAGTCGTAATGGTGGCGATGATGACATCAAGGTGTAAAAAAGAAAGATGTGATATAGTGAACAGAATACCACTCACCAATAAAGATGTTTAAATATACTCAAATCTGCTATTTCAGGACAGATATTTTGTTTTTGAAAGATTGTTTTGTTTACCCCTCAGTAACCAACACTAATATCCTCAGTTGTAAACACCATATGTAAAGTGCTGTGTAGCTAAAAACACTACAACAGCACCAGTGATAACTCTGGGTTTCGCTTGGAATTCAACCATTTCACGACAAAGAGAAGGACACACGATCAACTAAGCTCTAGAAAGCCTTCACTAGGTAGGTCACACCCCCCAAAATCGTAACAACGTAAAGCATTCAAAAATTTAAACAAAATTTAACAAAAAACACAAGGGAAGGCAACTTCATAGAAGTTAGGAGAACAAATGACAAGATAATCCCAATGGGGAGGCCTTTTGTGTGGCCAGATGAGAAGCTCTGAGGAGGGAAATCCTTATTTACCCTGACGTTAAACGGTCAAGTTGACACTCATTCACCTGACTCCTGAGGCAGAAAGATGTGCTCTCTCTCAGCCCGATCATCCGCACTCACCCAAAAAAACCGACTATATTTTTGAGCGTGCCGCAAAAGAATTTCACAACAAACCCGGCTAGGACTGGATGCAGCCCTGCGGAGCACGGGCGAAAAGGCCTTGTGGCCCGCACTGCATCAGATCACGCCACAACCAAGAGAAGCACATAGTAGATTCCCTTATAGAAAACGTGGAAAGCTCGTTATCAAAAAGACTTGTTGCAATCCTTAAAACAGAATGCTTCAATTAAATATATAGTATACTGCTTTCAAGTATGAAACAGACATATGATGTGTTCATAAAATGCACTAATAAAATCATACTTCTCGTGGCAGGAGAGGACGTGCATGTGGTACAAAAGTGATGTCTAAAACACCTCGCGTCTCCATTTCAGCTAAATACTGGTGGAATACTGTACTGCTTTTCCCTCCTCAGACCATCTAAATCTGGGCAACCACTTTTTACGATTCTGGGGGTGAGTACCAAGTGACACACTTGTGCTGTTTCTTCATAGAGATGTTTCTTAGAACGCATGTGATGTGATAGTGCTTATTAATCTGATCATCTGTATCTAACCGTTCATCAAGATGCATGACAAAAAAATCTTATATGGGGAGGATAAATTAAATACTTTTTTTTGTGTTTACTAAGGATGGAATAGGCCTATATTCTTTGACTGAAATTACAATACCCCTGTCAACATCACCACCATTTTCTCTTCCAGATATATCAATTGTGAGCCTTGTTAAATCTATAATCCCGGTACAAAAAAAACGAAGAAAAAAAAAATTAACACACGAGAAATGTTATATGCCCTGGTTTCCAGGCAAGGAAAGTCATTAAAAAAAGCTCATTCACAGAACAAAAAGAAAGAAAATTCATATCACGGCAGATACTGCTCATCTTCTAAATAGAATGGGTGTATGTGTGCCTGTGCATGCTTTTCAACTGAGCATCTTGTATGTGCACATGTGTATGTGTGTGTATGTGTGTGTGTGTGTGTGTGTGTGTGTGTGTGTGTGTGTTTAAGTGTGTACTGCTTAAGAGCAGGAATGGACGACGCCATTCTTCTGCATCTCTGAACCAGTCGCACCTGGATCCGAACACAGGCTCAACGCAGATGTCTTATTGGTCAGTGACAGCATGGACCCGCCCACTGCACTTTCTTGCAGACTGCTGGAGCCGTTTGACACCTCGCTATATTCGGGACAGAGAAAAAGACCCGAGTGAGAAAAAAGAATACTGGAAAGAGGTCAGACAAGCAATGAAATACATGCACATTGAGGAAATATATTTATGTGCAAAGTATGTGTACTCACCCAAGAGCGAGGGAGATTTCTTCCAGCTGAGTCTTGTGCTCTGGTTGCCCATTCTCTGCAGGTTTCATCTTGTACTGCTGAACATCATGGGCAACTTGGTTTTCCTGGTTTGGAGATGGACAAAATATGCTTAGTTGCTTGAAAGACCCCTAGTAACATATTCTGTTTTTGATGAAATGATGTGCTTATTGTGCTCCAACTGAACCTAGTCAGAGCCGTGGCCCAATGATTGACTATCCATTTTCTTGGGGACCCAGTGGGACATCGAATTTATTCATCTAAAAATGTATTTATGTGCACTTGCACAAGCTTTATGCTGCATCACACATGCTTAAACTAAATCAGGTGCAGCGCTTCGAAAAAAATGAAATAATCGTGATCTCAATATGGATCAAAATAATCTGAGTTATCATTTTGGCCATAACCATGCAGCCCTAGTGTAAACAGTTAGTTTGAACTTCACTCTCACCGGATCTTTGCATTACGGTGTTCCTATAGCTGAAATGTTTGTTTGAGCTTGTAAATATGTCAATAGTTGAGTTTTATCGTCTCCATCCCTTTGAAGTTTTTTTTGTACCTCTTAATGATTTTTAATGAACAATTTTTTTTGTGATATTTTGACAATCTTTGGCTGAATAATAATGTTTAAAGTTTCCATTGCCATATACCAATACTAAGGCTACGTTCAGACTGCAGGCAAAAGTGGTCCATATGTGACCCATATCTGAATTTTTTTTTTTTCTGAACGGCCCAAATCCGATCCAGGCCACTTTCATATGTGGTCCTAAATCGGATACATATCTAATGTATTTCAAAGCAACCTCAGTCTGAACACGGTCATGTCGCATTTCTTCTGACTTTTATGTCATTGAAGTGAGACAGACGTCACAACTCTGTGCCGGAGGAGGCGGGATGCGGCAATATCATAATCATCATCATTATCATCATCATCATAATTTTATCGGCTCCAATTGCACAAATACTTCAAAATTGATACACATGCTGACATGAGTAGCATCCATATTTACGTCCGTAAACACAGCGGAATTGAGCAATAAGACCCGCAGTGTGACCATAGCCTTTGCTTGCATTTGCATTTTCTAACAGTTAGGAATAATTAAGAAACAAAAATAATGAAAACTTGTGATTGTGGCCAAACACCTACCCGGGTGATTTAAATTTTTTAATGAAGGTGCAGGGAACATTTAGCAGAACTTCTATGGTGGACAATAGTGAGTCAATGAAGTGATAACAGTTACTGGAACAAAGTTATTAAACTGTATTCATTATGTAGAATAAAAACAGACCAGTTTGGGACAATGGTTGTTATGTCTGGGACAGTTGAAAATAGAATTCGGGACAGTTGCAGGACACTGATCAAAGTTCATTTTGAGCCTTGCCCCACCCTTACCAAAGCCATCTCACGGGTCCTCTTGCCAATCTCTCTCTCCACCTGGTGGAGCTCCAGGCTTAGCTGTTCACTGGAGACAGCTGTACTTGCTCCCCCTGCAGGCCATTTGGGCTGTTGCTGAGCCCCTGCTGCCTGGCCCTGGCCGGGCTGCCCAGGCTGTCCTGCCAATGCACTGGCCTCCCTCTGCAGCAGTAAAGAGTTATTGGCAGCCTGTAATAGTGGGAGAGGAAGTGAAGAGGATGAGTGTGCAATTTGGACATTTCTGGTAATGATTAAATTAAATGTGTTATTAAATGGAACATCTGTTTTTTTTTTTATCAATTAGTGTTGACTATATTTTAATATTAACAAGACAGCATGACTGCTTTTATTCTTCACCATATCAATTATTCGAAATAAATACAGGGCTATAAAAACATTAAATATGAAGCCACCATGGGAATTAAAAAACATTTTATAAACTTGGTGAAATATTTCAAAATCTTAGAAAAAACAGAATCCATTAAGTCAGTTTCTGTACTTTCCAGACCTCCCTCTTGTAAGAGAGCATACACACCTCCATGCTTCGCATCTGGGTCTGTTGGTTGATCTGCTGGTTGATCTGCTGGTTGACCTGTTGCAGCTCAATCTTTAACTGTTCTCTGTCTGGGGGTGCCATAGTTAAGCTGCAGGGGTGAAATATAGTGAGACATTTACATAACTGCTTTCATTTAAGCCACAAACTTTCACTTTCATGTGTGTATTTCTGGTATTTTCATAAAAGTCTGATTAGCATTATTATCGACAGGAAAACAAACAAACACAGGTCTTACCGCTCACTGAAATGTCCCTGAGAGGAGGAGGCAGTCTGGTGGGAGGGGTATGAAGCTCCACCCCATCCTACATGGCTTCCATATGTATATTCTGCTGCAGGCAAGGTGGTAAAATGTTTGTCAGAAATTACTAATTAAAGTAATAGGATTGGGAGATATGCAAACATTTTCCAACAGGCCACCACCATTATTATATTAGAACTAAATAAAATGACAAAACAAATTGGCCAAAAAACAACAACCGGCGATGGCTGATATATATATATATGAAATTACCATTTTGTCATAATTAAGTTCAAGGGGTAGGTCAATATCAAGGTAATTATCATCATCAGTTTACAATTTTTAATATTGCATATAGAAAGTACAAAAAATAACAAATAATATTTTTTGGTATAATTCTGTATATTTTAGTCTTAAGCCACCTTTGACAGAAAACAACTGTTACTGTGGCAATGCAGCAAGACAAATGCTTCTGAACCAACTGAATTTCAGAAATTACACAGGCTTGCGGGTAAAATGCTGATATACACTGATATTTAATGGTGTTTGTCAGTCATTCATAGGATGTTATGCACATGGTATCCTACCTGGCATGGCCATATGTTTAGAGTTGGGGTTCTGGGGAGTGGAGGCCATAGCCTGCACAGGGCCGGTGGTCTGGTAGCCGGTCTTTGAGGTGCGGGAGATGGCACCAAAGCGTGATACAGTGGGTTGGGGGCCAAAAGGGATAATAGGGTCATCGTCCTTTACTTCTGCACCTCTCCGAGGAGCGTCCAGAGACTGTTCCCTCAGACCCTTGGACTCCACATTCTGACAGACAGGGGGGAGGAGAGGTTAATATATGGAGAGATCGGAGGAAGAGGCTTTCTTCACTTGTTACACTCCCCTTCGAGTTTTGAGAATCAAGGCTGTATCATTCAATAAGAATGCATAATTTTCCCTAATGAGAAAATACAGATGGTTAATAACAGTTATCCATTTGAACTCACCATCATCTCCATGGTGCCAGGACCCATAACATCTTTGGGTTTGGCATCTTTTGTGCCAATGTAGGAGCCAATGGTTTCACAAGACCAGGGAGAGTATTGCCCTGCATAGTCAGGCTCTCTGCATTTCATAATGGTTTTGGAGCTATCCTCACCATACTGCAGAAACACAACATCCACAGAGAAAGAGGTGTCATTAATACTTCCATGTATTCACAGTCAACCAATTATCACTAATCACTATTAAACCACAATGTTATAGTTCAATCTTCAAATGTTACGATATAATGCCTGTGTACTGTCTCAGAGATGTATAAAATTCACATAGTGCTAACCTCTGGAGGATAGTCACAGGGGAATGAATGAGAAAGAGTGGGGGAGGCAGCAAATGGTGGAGGAGAGATGACCTTTCTTTCCTCCAGCTGGGATAACAGCTCCTGCCGACGTCGGTGCAGGTAGTCCAGGCTGGGCTGTGAACCGCTATATGATGGCCCCTAAGACACATACAGAGAATGTTGTTACTGAACTGCTAAGCTTTATTTGAGTGTTTTATAACTAGGATGGCCACACAAAGAGTTAAAGGCAAACAGCTAAAATGACTCACCCTGACATACGCCCGCATGGGTGGAGGCTGGGCACCTGGTTGATAGTAGCCATCTGGAGGGTATCTATCCCGAGCACTGGGCTCCTGGTGGTAAAGTGAGTTAGCCTGTCCTCCTGATGGCGGGGGAACATCCAGAGGTGCGGGGCTCATTCTGACCAGGCCATCCCTCTGGGATGGGTAAGGCTGTGGGGGAGGTGGTGGACCAGTGTAGGTCCCGTGGCGACCTCGGTCATGGTGTGGAGGGTGAGGGTAGGAGAAGGGTGGACCAGAGTGAGGGGCCTGGTAGGTGCGCTCTGGAGGGCCGTAGCCAGGGTAAGGGTCCTGGTAAGGGGGCCCTGACTCACTGGGTGGTGGCGGATTACGCATGTAATCCCGAGGAACATACTGTGTTGGCTGTTGGTAGGGGTACCCTGAGAAATAAATGGCAGACTATTATTAATACAACTTTCCTAAACCATTTTTATTATCATTGTTCGATTGACTTCACATTTACCTGTGGAGTATTGTGGGGGCTCATACTGAGAAGCAGAAGGTGGTGGGCGAGTCTCATAGCACATCTCAGGGAGCTGTTGCTGGGCGTACACTGGAGAACCTCTGGCTACCACAGGCATGTGCTTCACCCCAGACAGGTGGTCCGTTTGCATCCTTTGGTGGGCCATGGCATGAGGTGGAAGAGGCATGCCGGGTTTGGACGCAGGGTCCAGACTATAGGAACAAATTTCAGTTTAAGATTAGATTATATTATACTTTATTCATCCCACAACGGGAATGAATAAACCTTTAAAGGAAACATAACAGGACCACAAACAATTAATAACAACTATATGCCAGAGTACCACAGGCTTCCATTTGAATTTACTTGGTGGTGTTTTGTTAGTGAGACAGCATTACACAAAAGTAAAGCACTTCAGATGTACAAGCACTATGTGCAATATTCTGAAAATATTTCCATTACTAACATAAAACTGACAAAAAACTGCTAACAGCTGTTTCTATACATTTATTAATCATTTTATATAGTCTTTGTTGTTTGCAGCCAAATTTCATTCTGGTTTGTTTCATAACTAAAATGTTTACAGGTCCAAACAAAATGTCAAGGTTCATTCAATAGGATGAACCAAAAAGCAAAAGAAAAATCTGCACTTTGTTTGCCTGTTCTTTGGCTGCCAGTTAATTAAATGCATAGAGACATCTATACTCACACATCAGGTGGTGATCCCGGGGCACTGGGACACCCTCCGTCCATCTTCATGGGTTTACGCAACAGTTCATATGCAACTGTGTCGGTGCCACGGGCAATGAGCTGCGGCAAAGAGGGTGCACCACTGCCATTGGTGAGGGGTGAAGGCTTCCGGGTCACTGCTACATCAAGAGGAAGGCCGTCATCTGGCATGAGCCCTCCTGAGCCAGGAAGGCGAGCTGCCAGACGTTTATTCATCTTACGATATCTGACGAACATAAAACCGCGTACAAAATGTATGAGAGACACAGTGGTGTGACAATGTTTCCACTTGATCTGAATTATCCAATTTAAAAATGCAAACAATGCTACATGTTGCTGTTCATCAGACTCACTTCTCCAGTTCTTCCTGAGAGTGAGCAAAGGTGCAGCTGGCTCCACGAGGACAGCCTCCCTTCTGCTTCATGTCACGACACATGTATGTCTTGTACTTGCTGTGCTGTGGAGGCTGAAGACAGACACCAAGTATTATTGAAATAGACAGCACAAATCTGACACTCAATGATGGTAATATTAAACATTACAGTTGATGATGCTGCCAAAAACAGTCGCAATATTTTTTTTTTCACTGACGTTTTAATGATAGTGGTTGGACTATGATCTCCAGCGCACTCTGCTTTATCTAAGCAACACAGAAAGGGATGGGGCCCTGCTTTTTTTGTGCTCCAATGGATAAACTGACCTGTTGAGGGTCAGCTCCTTTCTTGCTGTGGTTCTGGATGAAGTCAACCAGGCCATGCACCACCGTTTTCACTGCTACCAACCCTTTCTCAAGCTGCTCCCATGTGGGAGGGGGGGCATCTGGGGGAAATAAAATGGAGACATGAGAAAAACATTCAAACAATCAAACAGTCGGAGGTGAGGTTTGAGTGGGTTGCGTCCAAGAGAGCCACAACTGATGGCACAAACAACTTCCTCCACTGGGAGGTTGCAGGGAAGTCATTCTGTAGTGAATAAAATGCCTTGCTAAGAAGCCCCATAGCTGGTTGGCTTGTTTGCTGCCCTGAGGGCTTAAACCAAGGCCTATCAATCAAATGATGTCAGCTTGGGAAACTTGGTGTTTGAATTTATGTGATGATCAAACATTTTGTAACTGAAAAGTAGAAAACCAATGGAAAAAGTATATGAATGCTCCATTTTTGCAGATTTTTCTATTAAGACCTAATTTCCATGCAGACTTTTGGAAAATATTTGGTTCGCCTACATACATCTAATATATGTGAAGCTATTTTTTGTGGGTCACAAACTGTTGTGCAACAGCTAGACTCTAACCAAGACAAATGATCACATATTCTGGCAACCTGTGCTTCTGGCCAACTTATTAGATAAGATATAATGGAATAATAGGACAGATGTGAGAGAAAAGGTCGAGAAGAGGCAAAGGTCATTGTTTGGATTCCAACCTAACTGCATATAATTGACTTACTCCTTACATCACTACAAAACAAAGATTCCTGAAGTTGTTTCTTACCAGGGCTGGGATCAATGTTGGCCAGTAGTTCCAGGTGGGGTCGCAGCCTGTTGAGGTTGGCTGGGTCTCCAGTCCTCTGCAGGGCAATCGTCAGCTCCTGAACACTCTGAGCAAAAGATGCTGGGGTCTGCAGCTACACCAGAAGCAAAAAAACAGAGTAAATACTTTTTTATGGTTTATGGACGATCAGATTTCTTATACAGGAACATGCTATGATGTAAGGAGCTAAGAAACTATAACTCATGTATGAAATATGTTTATATTCCATCGTGCGGAAACAAACATTAGATACAAAAAAAAACATTTGGTTCTTTCACACACCTTATCTATGATAGACTGCATGTGTGACTTGTGAGACTGATCTCCATATAACAGAGAAGACCACTGGTCAGGTGCAATGCGCAGCCCACCCTCCATTGCAATCTGAACTATCTGAGAGTCATGCTCGCGCCGCAGTGCCTCGTAAGTACGAAACTCTTCTTTCAGCTGCATCAGGGATGAGTCTTCATCACGTTTGGTCACCTAGGTTGTCACAAAGGAAGAAGGAAAGGGTACATTTTTTTGTTAGTTTACAAGAGGTTTTGAAACTCATAAAAAAAAGCTCTCAGCAGAAAAAAATACAGAGAACAAAACTGACAGGCAAGAAATCTCTACTAGGATCACTATCCTAAACACAGAACAATATTGGATTAGCAACAATTATGGTCAGGCTCACTCAAATATTGAGGCAATGGGCCCTGTTGTGGAGCAGCACCACATAGCATACACTATTTGTCATAAACCTCAAAAATTTAAAGACTTTTTTTAGGACTGCGCCCAACTCAGGAAGTTGTTGGTCAACATGGAATTGACTATTAATTCAGAGATTTGCCTTTTACTCATTAAAACATGAGCTTTTCACATTGAGAAAGTGGAAGAGTGTGTCCTGCTCCTAGCTTAAACAAACACAGGGCGTCTCTCTCAAGCTGTTGACTGCGCTGTCAGCTGAAGAGTCGATGACAGTGGACAGCAGTAGCGGAGGTTGTGCCACTGTTTAATCCAAAAGTGGCTTAACTGACTTCACTGACAGTCATCACCAGAGCACCCACTGCTCCGCTGTCCAGCGTCACTCTGCCCTCTGTAAACTATCACTCATCTCTGCTTCCATCACAGTTGGTTTTGTGGTTTGTGGCCATTTTGAGACTTGGTTTGTAATGTTTACAGCCTGCCAAACTGTCACTCTGTGTAAAATTGCACAACCAAAACACAAAAGTGAAACTGACAAGATGTGAGTGGACTCCTCGACTGATGATTTGAATCATTGACATTTCAGGGGCAGCCCTTGACTTTTTCTTCCCGTTCTCAGTCAGTGACATACCTTGAAACAAGAGGCCCTGTAGAGAAGCTGCACCACATGGCCTATGCTTGTCTTAGATGCCTGTGGGAACCGTGGCTCAAGCCTCTGGACTACAAAGAGAACCAACACCTTCCTGGACAGAGCAGAGCCATCCTCTAGAGCAAGAAGGACCAACTTCAGAGCTTCCTCCTGCATGGCTGGGGGAGGAAAAGCACAAACATAAAAAAAAACATAAATAACCATTGATTATCAAAAGCCAATATTTACAGATGATAAACAGACTGCTTCTTCTCCAAAGTGGAATGTACTTTGCAGGTAATGAAAAAGTACCTACCTGGGCCTAGAAACTGACATCCTCTTGCACGGACAGCGGCCCACAGATTGGAGGAGAGCTGCTGTGGATTCTGGTGCTGCAAGATGAGTTCAGTGACAGTTCGCTCACCCAGAGAGCGGGCAGCTCTCATGGCTCTAACCCGTCCCTCTTCTTCCACCAGCTGGCAGTGGACCAGAGTTACCAGTTTCCTCTGCATGGGTCGACTCAGCATGCTCTGGGCCGTGCTGCTCAGACCCACACCTGGTGAGAGATTAGACAGGACAACAGGTAAACTAAAGGAATACACACAAAGTGTTCAGTTTATTATTAGGTACTCATAACTAGATCTAATACAGTCTAATAAAACAGTCCTGAGATAAATCCACCGTTCATGTTTTAGAGAGCTTCTGAGTTTGTGGTGCAGTTTACCTTTATTGCATTATACATTGTAGGGTTTCTGTCATTTTGCCTATCCTCATTGGTATAAATGGAAACGACAAAATAATAGAAATAGCTGTCAGTATAACTCAATACAACTCAACAGCCCCACATAATACAGCATTCAAAATTATCATCAAGTAGAATCAACACCTACTTAAAGCACAGTTAGGGCGCAATGTATAGATATTTAACTAAAAATAATATGCAAGTAAGTAATATTGTCTGTGTTAAACAGTGGTGTATCGTTTCTTCCTACAGACATGCAGCACTTTGCAGCAGAATTGCTCTGACAAGGAAGTGACAATGAGGGTGCATCAAACTGTGAAATTGAGGCAAATATGTTTAGTGGAGATGCAAATGATTATATGATTATCTTTCAAACATCATTAAGAATCTGATCGACCAAGTAGGCTGTGAGCAAAGTTGGTGCAGCATTTTTAGTGCACCCCCCAGGACATTAAGTTCATCCATACGGGTGTTTTCACCAGCTAGACTTGCTTGAATTTCCTTGATATGAGCCTTTGATGTTGGCATGGCACATGTGGCAGATTAAATACAGGGCACAGTACTTATTTTAATGACATGCTGCAGGTAACTAGTACCTCTAAATTGAGTTTACAGTGGCTACTTCCTCTTTTACTATCACTCCCTCACAAACATCTCTTGCTAATCTGATCTGCATAAAGTTTAGCAAAAGGGAATTGCATTGAAGAAAACTGCACACAACTCACTCCTGATTAAATAGATAAACCTTTGTTAAAAACTGTTGTCTGAAGATTAAGTTATTAGTAGGCCACAAACCCCTTTGTTGATACCAAAATGGGTCAGGCTTTGTGTTAGGCATTCTACTGAAGACTTTATTACTAATGTTTGCCGTCCAATAAAGCTTGTAGGTCGAACAGAATTTCTACAGTAAATGTGTCTAATTTTGACAGGCGGAGTGGGAGAATCAACAGCAATTTATGATTCCAACAATTTCCGTGTGTTTAAATAAACTATGATTAAAATATCTTATTTACTCAAGTTAAGCTGTCAAACGAGCCCATTCTAATAGTTGCAATGAGAAATACAAAATCAATCATATTCAATTTACATGGCCAATGATATGTTCGCAGCGTATTTACTGCAATTTTAATATTATTGAGCAATTGAACATACTGTGACTATGGGTTTCCGTCACTCTTCAACTATCACTAGGCCATAAAAGCCCTCCAAAATTTGTTCTATTATTTTGTTAATAAAATGTGAAATGATTTACTATTCAAAGTGGTTCCATTGTGTAATTATAATCACTTTGAAACAGCCATTAACAAGAACTAAGCCTGAGATATGTCTCTGCAATATCCTAATAAAAACAGGTAGTTCTGCTTTTTTATTTTTTGTGACACTTCATGTTTAGCAGATTGATTTAAACATTTACCTCTTCAAAGGCTAATTCAACATTCTAATATATTCTTTATCCCACAAATGACATGAATTACAGCATAGTATAGTATTACAATAGTTGTATATTTATAATGTTTTCAACCGATGATAAAGCCACAAATCTAAATTATCTGACATATATGCAATGTGTAATTTATGACACCTTGGTTTTTGTGGGGTTTTTTTTTTTACAAGAGAAGTCCTTTTAACAACCTAGTGATGTCATATTCACAACTTTGTGAGTGGAAAGTTCAAGACAACTCTTGATGAGTTTTCATGCTTATGTTCTTAAAATTGTTGGCCCCTCTGGAAATTACTGATTACTTTTTTTTGGTGGGGTTTTCTTTGTTTTGACACCGACATGCAAAAAACACAACAGTGTGCATCATTTTTGAAAAAGTCCACATCCATTAACAGTCACCTAGCAGCAGTTTTGTCACATCTAAAACCATGTGAATGCCAAGAATATTGTGTACTGGACTCCCCATGTCAAAAACAATCTCATTTAAAAGCAGCAAGAGTGTCAACGGATCATAAAAAATAAACTGTAAAAGTAACAAGCATGTGTTTGTGTGCATGGTAAGTACCTCTGGTGTTGCTGAGAGGTTTGAGGTAGAGGGCCAGCTCCTCCACACACTGCCTGGCCTCCTCATAATGCTGCGAGTCCTCTGGACTGGTAATCAAGGCAACTGGCTGAACCTTAGGAACCTGCAGGAGAACCGGGGGGGATAATTAGGACAACCCATGACAATAACTGAAGCTTTTTAGACAGTTATAGCTCAACAATGATGTTGAGGAACACTTTGTCATCCTATTGTCTAAACACAGTTGAGAATAGCAATAAATACCAAAAGATCTCTTTGTGTGTGACGGTTTAAGTGTTTGTGCAAGAATATTTAAGAAGAAAAGTGAAATGGTATAATAAACACATCTTGTGGAAGTATTTTGTTTGTGCTGCAAACATCTAAACATCAGTAGCCCTTACTACCTACTGAGACAAAATCATAAATTTAAATATATTAATCTGTCTAATATAATGATAATATTAACCGTCATTCCACTTTACTGCTCAGGCGGTGCCAATTTAAATAACCATCAGGAATTCAAGGAAACTATCAAAATGACTCTACCATCTTCACTTTAAACCTTAAGCTACTGACCAAAACAACTTGCAGCTCTGAGGCATTTACCATGATAAATTATATTATTTTCATAAATGACAGTGGTACAGAATGATTATAACAACTTCCATTTCTATCAGGGCACATTACTTTGATTGATTGTACCCTACTAACCTGTCTGAGCACAGATATGCAAGGCACTCAGTAAGAGACGACACATCCCAGCTTTAACTATATCAGAAACACTACGGGCTCATAGTCGATACACTGACATTATCCATTATTATATTGTGTATACCTGGAATCTTGGCCAACAAAGCCAAAACACCATTAGCTGTGCCTCACCCTGTTGGTCAAACACTACCTCAGAGAAATACAGCTTACTGGTTGTGCCACCACTCAGTAAACCAACAGAATTAAAGTCCTTGCACAATGACTAATGTGTGACTCATAAAGGAATCTCCAAGCTATGTGCATCATGTAATAGCCTGTGCGTAATGCTCTAATAAAGCCCATAAACAGTACGTACAGAAAACATCGTACTAGATAACACAGTGTCTTAAACAGTTCCACTACTCGATCCCAACACAAAAGGCATCGTGAGCTGTTATCCTTCACCACAAGCTAGCATCAACAAGGGATCTGTAATAGATGTTGTCAACAAACAAGTGTACAAACATACAAAGACATGAGTCTTACCTGGCCTCCCACCAGTTGCAACAGGGCTGTGTTGACAGGTAGCTGCTCAATGTCTGTGCTGATGGCTGTCTGGTCAAAGGGACAGGCCTTACGGTGCAGCTTGTTCAGGCACATCTTGCAGACAGTATGCCCACAGCCCAAGCTGATGGGTCGGCGAACAGTCTCCTCAAATGTCTGTGTGCAGATTGGGCACAGCAGGAACTCTGTCCATTGTGGTGCTTGCACTGGCATGGTTATTTGTTGATGGGACGAGTGTGTGTAAATGTATTTAAGCTTTAACACAGAGAAAAAAAATCAAATAATATATATATAATATATGGAAGATTCCACTGGAATCAAGATTTTTTCTTCCGAACTCAATCGTTCTTAAATGTTCTCACACATTGTGGATTTTGGATCACATCGCGTGATGAATACTGCAAAAGGAGAAAGACAAAAGTACATTAAAATTGTGCAAATATTCACCAATTCCAACAATTTTGCATACAAGTTCAAATGTAGCTTTACATTGCTTACTATCTCATATTCCAACAGTACCTAAGATAATTTTAAAAACATGGATGTGTTGTGTATGAGTGTATTTGCAGTTGAGAAAGGCATTAAAGACAGTGGAATGACAAAGTGGGTTTCTCGTGTGGATAATAATGCTACTCTTTACAGGAAAAATCCCAAATCTATCATCGGAAGTCTATTTGGCTTCGAGTACTCGCAGTAATGCGTTGTTCGGCCGTATTGAAAAACACAACACAAACGAAATCAGAGATGACACAGCACATATTTGTTAGATATAGAGAAAACAAGCGACGGAGAAGGATCAAAACAACTGCCGTGTGGCCTACTTAGAAGAGCTGGTTACCACTATGACTATGGACAAAGGGTCCTGAGGAGGCTAACAACCAAGTCCCTCTGCGCTATCTAACTTGTTATAAAGCTAACACAGCTAATACGATTGGGTAACATTATGCTACGAACATTAATTTTAACCCCGTTCAACGGGTTTACTATCATGGTCATCTAAACGTTTGAGTGTGCACTCATTAATGTTAAATCTGAAATAAGGCGATACGTTAGCTAGCTAATAGTAGGTAACGTTAGCTTACTTTTAGCCAGCTAAGCTAATGGGTGGCTAGTTTGCTAGGTGCGCTAGCGAGCTAACGTCGTCCGGTAAAATAAACAATTACTTAATAGTCGAAAACCTATCACTGATTGGTCATTATACAGCCACTATTCGGAATATAGCTCTGATTATGAATCCGGAAAACTAGTTGCGGTCTCGTGTATTGGTCAAGGAAACGATAGCTACAGAAGAACCACAGTGACACTGGAAAGAGGAGCCATGACTCTCAACAGCGAGATTATGTAACGCTAGCATCCGAAACTACACAGCAACCGAACTGCCTCGAAAATATATTCACCTGCACCATACACGCACATTTACTCGTGTTCAAAAGGTTCAGACTCATCGTAGGATTGTGTTTCGGTCGCATTTTCAGAAGCAGCTAACTCTTCTCGTCGGAGCACAGAAGGCTAACAGCCTAGCGAACAGACCGTACTCCCCCCTTACTCCTAGTAGCATGTAGCCTGTTAGCTAGCTAGCCACCTTGTTAGCAACAACTAACCATAGCTATGCGTCATTAACGTGACTTAAACAAAACCTGCAACTTCTACTCTCAGTTTCAAGCAGAACAAATACACCATTATTGTCGATGCTACTCACTCATTCCAAAAGACTTGGAAGATTTTCATCTTTCTTTAGGAAATTGTTGCGATATTTTCTTGCCATGTCGACTGTGCAGCTTAGCTGCTGCCGAGGTTTGGGGAGGGTGTCAACTCGACAACAGACTCGCTAGCCAGTTACAGCTAGCTGAGCAAGATGGATGTGTGTTGTGTGTGTGTGTGTGTGTGTGTGTGTGCTTGTCCGTAAGTGTATGGGCTAATAGCGCCCTCTGCTGTTATTGAACCGCATGCACAGCCACAGCACAAAATTGAGCAGCATCTGCCAGTCTGATCACATCTGGGGATTGTGACAACTGGCAAGCAGAACATTGTCCCAATTAGGCTGACTGTGCACGACTGCAAGTGTGTGTGTGTGTGTGTGTGTGTGTGTGTGAAAGCAGAGACAGAGAGAGGGAGAGAGAAAGAGAGGGAGCTGGGATGAATTGAGATAGAGGGAGGGATCAGCTATATTGACAAATAAGATTCAGCCGACAGTTGTTTTTACGCTGCACAATTTGGCCTTATATTCTCTAACAAAAACACACCATAGCCGATATTTTTTTTTTATATCAGAGGCATCAAATGACAAGAAACTGGGTCCATTAAATAATTTTAGTTTTTATTTATCCTCATTTTCATTGGCTTATTACTGTGTGGAGGCAGTCGGTGTGTGCTCTGTACTTACGCAACAGAGAGCTTCACTCGGCAACGGGTTCGCGAGGCAGGGGACGAAATTAAAGCAGGCATTTTTTATATTCCATTTTTGTCTAATCCCACTGATTTCTGAAGGGATTACCGGACCAATCATGATTGAGAGGCCGCTGGCTCGCTTGGACCGGGAGCTGTGTATACAGTGAGTGGCAGCACTGCACGAGGATCTGGAGCAACATTGGGGAATGTTATTTGGTTTCCTTTTTCTATCCGGAGGGGAAAGTTGCTCCGTCTTCTTGCTCCTGTTGGCGACCGACCTGATGATGATGCGCGCTGCGAATGTATCTGCACGGTTTGGCGCAGGTTTTTTTTTAAGAATGAATGGCAACTTAGCCACATTTGTGCAGTTGCACCTGGATTTATGTTAACTTTCTTGTGATGGTCCTCGCTGGAATTGTGTTTTAAAGGGACACCATCTTCGCTAAATATACAGGTACAGTGTTCATTATGTGTAAGGCTATTTATGTAACTAAATCTGCTTTAAGTGAATGTGCCGTGAAGCTTAATTTGTTCATAACGTTAATTCTATTTTATATTAAATTGCCCTTTTACCAAGGTGTACACCTAATTTACACATCATTTTAAAATATTTAAATTTCTTCAGGGTGGATTATTCATTTTTCTCCGCTTTTTTATTGAATGTGTGGCTGATTCATAGAGAAAGTTTCGTTTTTATTATATATTATTGAATATGTTTGGCAACGCACATTTATGATATTGTTTATTTGTGCAGGGGCTCAGTTGCAGGCAGCAGTTGCTTATTCTCATTCTAAAGGATAATCCTGTGCTCTGCAACGTAATCAGTGGATATAACGCAACGTGACTGAATCCACATTACATATCTCCTCACCAGGCAGATCACATAGTTAGTAGCCGGTATCAGAGATGTAGAACAGTTTTGAGAGACATGGTTTTGTCTGCATGTGTTTAAAAAAAAAAAACTTTTTTATCTGTAGGATCCCTCTGGACTTTGCTGTGCATGAGCAGCCAATGGAGGAAGAGAAGGTGGTTGATAATATCCAAGCACAATCCAGCTCCCCTATACCTGCCGGGCTTCCCATTAATTGGGGACTCATCACTGGCCCTGTCCAGCCTGTCTTCCCAGCACCCTCTTTGAGCACCCAGCTTCCTCCTCCACAGAGTTCGGCCGTGCACGCACTACAAACCAAGGTGAAGACACTCACACAGAGAAGGACAAGAGGGAGAGACAGGGAGAAAGAAAGAGAAAGGTTGGACACGCAGGTCTTAGTGAGCAGTCCAGTTGGGCAGATTTCATCCGAAGTCCATCTCAGACAGAGGCCCAGAGGAAAGAGTCAGGGATCTCATCCTGCCAACTCCTGGCGATCAGGCGCTGCGAAGGTCTTGAGCAGCAGTGATGAAGAGGAGGAGGTTGAGGTGCAGGTCAGGTTGGAGATCCACAGCCCTCCAGCTGAAGCACGAAGAGACCAAGTGTTCCAAGGGGGAGAGAAAACTGAAGAAGAGAAGTCAGAAAGAAGTGAGATTCAGCCTTGTGTGCTGAGAGAGGGTACCAGTCTGGAGAGTCTTCTGTCTGATAACTCAAGCAGCAGTAAGGATGAACCGTCGCCTCCTCCTCCTCTACCCGTGTTCTCCTGCACTCCTGTCACCACCCCTGCCTCTACAGCACCCTCCAATTCGTCCTCCACGTCTTCCACAACAACCAGACACTGGGCACCACCCAAGGGCTTCTGGAGAGTGGCACGCCCTGAAACATTGCTTCTAAATGGTGTCGGCCCTGACAACATACCCTCCACTTTAACTGTTAAGGACTATACTCAGATAGAAGCGCTGGCAGGGCCTCAGAGGAAGCCTAAAGCAGCCGAAATAGTCGCCAGGAGCGATACGGTGGATGACAGCGATGCGTCCTCAGAATTCAAACACTCGGACAGCGTGGAGTGCTACCTGGACCGGTGTGAGCAGAAGGAGGCAGAGAGCAAAGGACTGTGCAGTTCAGACAGCTGGGACAGCATGTCTTCACAAAGCGGGGTACTCTCTGCTGATGAGAAAGTGAAGGTGAAGCAGAGGGCCTACGCAAAGTTAAGGGAAAGACAACATAACTACAGGGAGGAGAGAGAGGAGAGTGGAGGAGAAAGTGCCAACTATTATGAAGACACAAGAGTGGATTGTAAAGGTGGGTCTCTTGAGGGAAATGTATCCAATATCGAATGTAAAAATGTTGGAATGAATTGGTTGAGACATAAATAAGGCAAATGCTTGACTATTGCATGGTGATGCCATATGCAACAATTACTTTAGCTCAATGTTATGAAAAGGCAATAATATAGATTCCATGTTTTGCTGTTTGTTTGTGAAAAGGGGGTCTTTTACTTTGTATTGACAAATACACATCACATGACCAGGAAATGCTGTTTGCCATTCCTTTTTCCATAGACAAGTGACATTGACGATCTGAGGGCTCCCAAACTTGGCTAATTGTTCAATATTTAGACAAAATTATGTCAAGAAGAAAAATGAAATACTATCTAGGGTGAGTGAACTTTTAGTTTTCGTCATTAAAATCAGTTGAGATATGATGGGATGTTTGTAAAATGGTAAAATGTATTTGTTGCCATATGGCAACTATATGCAAATATGAAAGTGATTGGTGTGCATTCAACCTATTGGACTTTAATTGAGTTATATAGCACTAGGCTACTCTGAAACTATGTTTACAACTTTTGATTGCATTTAAAAGGGGGAAAACAGTTTTTTATTTATATTTTGTAATTTCAGACATTTTGTAACTGTAATGTGTTATCTGGATTAGAAATCAAACAACAAAAGGAATTGCGGTATCCCACCCAAATAATATGTCCTTTTTTGTTACATTTCTAGTCAAAAAGTCCAATATATAAACAATATTTTTTTCCTATTAGATAATATATTGTTTTACAAGTTACAAATACACTGGGATATATAGTCTAAATAGTATGGCAATATGAATTGTAGGCAGTATTTTGCGCCATTTTGCCAGTTTACATATGCTGCTTTTCATCCATAGTACATGTAAACCAGATGTTTTTATGGGAGAGGGAAAGTGAACGGGGCAGAGTTAGCTGTTCCCCCAGAGGAGAGTGAGGAGAATAATATAGACATGAACCTGGATGAGATATAAATTTCACTAATTATAAGTAGAATTTGTTTTGTTTTGTTTTCATTAAAATTATGTGTTTGGTACCCTCTACGATTGCGCATTGTTGCCATGTGGCAACAATTTACCAACGATCCCCTTTTAAAAATGTGTTTACATTTGTTTTTCAAATATTTCCATCATTTAGGCTTTTTTAAGCAAGAAAAACACATTTAAACATTTTATCATGTTTAAATAATAATGCATGCAATAAAGGGTTAAGGGTTTGAGAGATCAACTTGGGGCTGAGACACAGATAAGATCCCTTCTCTCTATCTTGATATGGTTTTATTTTTAGGTTGTTGATGAAAGGATTGTATTACATAGAAGGACAATGCTCTGAAAGCGTGACTGTGACAATAAACTGGCTGACTATTACATAATGTTGCGTGAGTTAAAAAAAACAAGCACAAACAGGCATTTGTTGATATACTCAGACAACAGTCCATACAGGTTGGATAGAAGGTTGAAACAAGTAGCTCAGTCATAGATTTTTATTTAAATTTGCAACTTTCCTGTGCAGTGTAGTGAATGTTGTTAGCTGGTAACTATCGAGACCACAGTATTTTCAGCAGTTTTGAAGCTGGGGTCGACCATTATGAGCGGAGACAGAAAATTCAGGTCAGGGCCTCAGAAATAGCATTTACATATTACAAAGCTTTTAATGATGTTAATATTTTGTATGCTTAGAATACTTTCCAGCTTATGTAAACATTCAAAGTTCCATTATCTGTCTCCCTATACTGTTGTATAGAATTGCACTGTAACCTGGCAGATTCTCAGAGTTGAACAGATGTCAGATGTGCAGATGTGCATGCTGGTGTTGCTATTATTAGCAGTCAAAGCTGTGGGGGAAGTGTCCATGCTTTTGTATCTTTATCTGTGTGCTTAATGGATGTTTTTGTATGCATGTACAGCGACAGATTAAGTATTTTCTCATACCATGTATTCTTAATACTACAGTTGAGAGACATAGACATACCAGTAAATCCATGATGATCAGGTGGTTTCTCCCTCTTCCCTCACTGGAAAATCAGCCTTTATCTGTCTCTCAGTAGTTGCATAACCTCTGTTTTTGTGACATTAAGGATCAGTCAGGGATAACCTATGAGACTGTCACTGAATCTAATGGTATGAAGCTTATGATCATACAAAGACCCAATTATTTTAATACCTAAATGACCCTGTAGGGCACTTTATGGCTGATGGCTCTCTTGGTAGTAATGTTTGCCCCAAGAAAGCACTACACAAGAACTGAACCCTAAATAAGAGTGATACACTGAAATAGTAGAGGGAAACAATCAGGAAATCCCTGATTTGTGGGGATAAAACCTTTGGAGCACTTTTTAAAACTTTCATATCTGATTCATATGCATATCATATCTGTTGAGACTTTTCCTCTCTGTTTTATGCTGGTCACAGGTGCCCATGGGGTTTCGGACAGCTCAGACTCTGCCATCATTGCTCAGGAACTTGAACCCTATTTGAGGTGAGCAATGCAACACTTCTTTATGTGCTTGGCAGGGGTGGTGACATACAACGCCTATGCACTATTTATATCCTCTCCTCATAAATTCCACTTCTACAGCTCCTCTTGAATTTAGAGTCTATTTTTTCCTGGATTGAGGCAGCTTGCTGTCAAGTGAGCTGCTTTGTGCACAATGAAAACAAACATTGTGACAACAGGGTTTAATCATTTTCAAGAGGGGATGCAGGCAGGAAATAGAATATATTCATAGGGAAATATAAATATCAAATACTGAATATTGATTTATTTGATCTTTACTCAAGTGAAATTGAGAAATTAAGATGTTATGTGCAAACTGTGATACTTTACAACAGGGATAAGAGAGAGGGAGGGAGACACCAGACACAAATTTAAAGCCATACTTCAAATATCAGTAAGTGAAACTAAATAAATAAATACACAAATAACTTGAAAGAGTTTCTGCAACTGATTAATACATTTAAAAAAATGTTTTGGCACATTACTTGAATTGTTCATCTGCACGCTTTTCAGATTATCTCCCCGAATGCAATATTTTGGAGGCCATTATTATTATTATAGACTATTCATATGCTTTACTTACTTACTAATACCAGACTGTAAAAATACTCCATTACAAGTATTACACCTGCATTGTTTATTTATTTGTTAGGGTCCCCATTAGAACATACATCGATGTGCATGTTGCATTTTATTGGTGTAGATTTTGAAGGCTGTGCTAATTTTAACTACTTTATATGCAGTTGAATAATTTAATACAGCAATGCGTCATACTCTTCATCCTATTTATCAGGGGGGCTGTAAATGAAAATTAGGCTTATGCTAACTCTGGTACAATGCATCATTTAGTGACATTAGGGAAGTTTCAGATGGCAACTAACTGAACACCACTCGCGCCTGTATTTGATGACTTGGGAATAAGAATGGACTGTGAAGTGTAGGAGAAACTATGGTGGACGCAAAAAGCCCTATTGACAGCCAGTGTTTGGTATGTCCATTCTGGGCTAGAAAAATGGCAGTTCAACATGGTGGACTCCATGCAAGGCCACCCGCTGCGTCTCTTGATAAAAAAATATATATTCACGTGACTGTACACTGAAACATACCTATGAATATTATATTCCATTTCTATCAGTAGATCCACTTAAATGTTACACACTGGACCTTTAATATAGTACATAGTCCCTTACAAATAAAAAATAAAATAAAATAAAACAAAAGTAGTGGAGTAAAAAAACTTTCTTCTGAGATGTAGTGAAGTAAAAGTATAAAGTTACGGAAAATGATTCAAGTAAAGTACTTCAGATTTGTACATGGTCATCATCATTATGAACTGCAGAATAAAACAGCTGCATATGGGGTATGAAAATAGGCTGCTAATTATATCGTATTTGTCATTGTTGGGATAAAACTCTGACATGACAAACTGTAATCTATTGAAACACAATATGTTCTCCTCTTGACACCCAGGAGAGAATGATTCACACTCAGTCCATTACAAGGATAATCCACATGGCTGGTGTATCATGCTATCTTTATCACTGGGCCAGGGGATAAAGACAAGACGATGGAGCACAATGCAGAGCAGCTTAGCTGCTGGGCGTGAGGATAGATGGATGGATGACGTTTTCTCTGCTGCTCACCACCAGTGCCACGCCCCGGTCTATCTATCTGATATTACATAAGGCAGCTTAAGAAGACGCTGCCTGATTCACTCTATGTTAAGTCAATCTGTGGAGAATATGATGTTGCTGGATATGTCACAACACACAATAAGCTTTGCACATTTAAAGACTTCATCATCACTCAAACAGATGGCAATACAGCCTAGTCTCATCATATATTTAACTCTATTCATTCCCTTGCTGTTTTCATCACTAAATGATTTATCTTTCTCCTTTTTCTCTTTCTCTTGATTGTCAGGTCACTGCTTGTAATCAGTGATGAGCTTCCTCTGAGCCCAAGACATGAACAAGCCAAGCTTCTCCTGGAGCGTGCACGACTCAAGGCTCGCTCCAATCACATTAAAGGCGATCGCCCCTGCAGACGCTCCCACTCTGATCAGAGATCCACCGTGTAAGTTATCTACATCTGCTTTGGTGGGCTATGACATTCTTTGGCATCTTCACAAGTTAGATGCTAGAGAATGTGAATGCCCCACGTGTTTGTGTAGTTTTGCATACGAATGCATGGGTATGAATCACTGTGATAACTAGTTCATTTGCTGACAAGTTAATACTTTTTTGCAAATTGCTTTGTTACTACAACTGTCTCTGTGTTTTAGCTTCCAGTATCTGTTTATCCCTCACTTTCCGAAACCTTGTGTCTTCCTTAACTTTCTCTCTGCTTTGTTTATCCTTCTCTTGCTCTGGGCCTGTTTTGGCAAAGCTAATGTTGCGTAACGGCAAAATAAGTTAAAGCCTTGCAACCTGGCTGTGATTTGTAATTACGAACACAGAGCTGACAATGTCGAGAAAAAGTTTGGTGTCATTCTGTTTATGTAATAGTGTACGTCACACAATTTATTTTTGAAATCCCCTTATATCAGCAGGAAGCATTCACTCACTGTAATTTAGAACAAGGAGAATTCACAATGGATCCCACATTCATGACTGCACTGTTAACCTGTCAGCATACCCGTAGCAAGTACATATACTGTAGGTCTCATTGCAATTTGTTGTGTCATTATTTTATTTGATAACCCAAAATCTGCCATTTGAACATGCCCACACCAGCATGCAGCATTAGTTGTGATATGCTGTTTTATCTACCTGGTCTGTTGCTGAGAGCTGACATTCACTTTCACTTTCAGACTCAGTTTTGCTTTCATTTGGCCTGACTTCTATAAACTACTAACTTACAAATGATCTCAACACGAATGTAGCTCTCTTACAGACAATATATGTGTTGCTTTCAAATGTCTGTAATAAGCATTTCTGTGTTATTTCTTGTAGAAAGAAGCATCAAGTTGAGCCTCCCCTCCCAACTACAGTGCAGAAAGATGTTCAAACCAAAGAAGATCTTACAGCTCAAACTGTATCTGGACCCCTACTCGTCCCCACCCAAAGAGACACTTCTCCTGGGGAGCAAGGTTGCCGATCCAGGCGGTATGGTTGTTCACCCACACGGGTACGCTTCGAGGATGAATCAGAGAAAGAAGCAGAGTCTCGGTACTTGGATCGAGTAAGACAGCGTGGCAGGCCTGGGATGCCCAAGTCCAAGAGTAAAGAAAGTAACACAGATTCTAGCAGTAGTGGTTCAGAGAGGAGCAGAAGCCATCGAAGTATCTCAACACCACCTTCACAGAAGCAAGAAGACGTGGTTGTCATTAGTGAACCCACAACAGTGATTAAAGAGATAATAGTGCTGGTGAAGAAATGTGAGTCATGTGGCTCTGTAGTCAGGGAACCTCAGCCGGTCTCATCGCCGTCAGATCCACAGAACACTGAGCCGCAGCATCCGGGCAACCCTGAGGACCCACGGGGGAAAGCTGTTCCTCAGTGGGTGCCTCCTAACAAGCCAGAGGCAAGTACCCGTCCAAAAGCTCCTCTAACTGTCACTTTTGCTGGAGCCTTCGTGCTGGGGGAAAATAAAGAGAGTAGCACAGGGTGGAAATCATCAGGGTTTGGGAAACTTCGGAGAAGGAGCAGGAAAGGAGAGAGTAGGCTGGAGTCCGGCCATGGCCCTTACGGTCCATCGTGGGCTCAACGGCGTAACTCAAATCCCAGGAACAGGGTCAACTTGAGCAGAGCTGTTTCGTTTGCTCCAGGTAGCCCTATCGCTCTTGAACCCAGTTTGCCAGAGGCATCTGGTGGACTAAGGGAATCACCCGCCCCAGCGCTTCCTATAAAATCAGCCCTAAAGTCAAGTTCAAGAAATCGCTCTGCCGCAGGCCAGTCCTCAGTTCAGTTCCAGATGAGCTCAAATCAGGGAGGAGAGGGAGGATCCCCGCACTCAGCCCTCCAGGACTCTCCGGAGGCAAGAAGGGAGTCTCCAGTGGCTTTAACCCAAGGGACTCCTGCAACAAGCAACCCAGTGCCCTGTATCAGGCCCTCCACCCTGAGGTACTCTCCAGCCCGGCTCACCACTGACCTGCCAGCTGCTGAACTCTGGGATGCCACTCCAGATGGAACAGGTGAGTGGTCATTGGGGATGAGCCAGAGTTCAGTTCCTCTGAAAGATTGCGTAGAAAGTTCTGTAGGCTACCTGTCTCCCATTCACTTCTTTCTGGAAAAGTAGTGATAGAAGAAGAACTGTGATCCATTTCTAAAGTAGAAATATCACAGTGTAAAAATACTGTATAATAATACTGTAAAAAACTAAATGGAATAGACAGTTTAATTTGATTAAACATATATAACTGGATTTTTATTCCTGATGAATTATATATATGTATATATAAAGTAACATTTTATGTTACTTAATGCTCATCAAGTAAGGTTCAAGTAACTAAAAGTTGTACTTAAATGCAGAACTTGATTACTTGTTACACAGAACAGAATATTGTAAAATTATTCTTTGACATTAACTTAACTACTTTTTCTACCACCAGGTCTGAGTGGAGACCTTGGTTCTGGCCCCGAGTGCCGTCCTGCTCTGCGCGGCCTGGGTATGTCTCGGGCTGAGGACCTCAGAGCAGAGCTTTTGAGAGCAGAACATCTGAAAGCTGAGGCCATATGGGAGGAAAACTCTGACGGGTCCAGGTAAGCCAAGATAACAACGCTTTTGTCATAGCTTAGACAATAAATCCCTTGCCCCCACCAACGCTGTTCCCAAAGCGACTTGAGCGTGCCAGACTGGTTGCAGTTAGGAGATTAAAACCTTGACCCACAGTCCACAGGATGTTATTGTTGAAAGTATTCCGTGAACATCAAGACAATTCTGCCCTCTTCTGGTAATAAATAGTCTTACTCGTTTAGGCCATTTATAACAGAATAATAAAACCATTAGAAAATAATATTTTCTTTCTTCTTTCTGGGTGTGTGGGCTGGTAATGTAATTGTGTATATATTAATATAGTCTATATTACTTTCTAAAAATATTTATCTTTCCTTTTACAGAAAGCTGGATGGACGGCCAAAGCTCTTCCTGCGTCGTTTCTTTTCCTCCATTGGTCTGAACAGTGTTGGTAGACTAGTGAAAGGAGGCCGCTCCAGCAGCATGGAACAGCTCAGTATACCCACTCCCCCCCGGGTCAGCTCTGCTTCCCCAAGCCCCACACGCAGACCACAGCCCACCATCCGCATACAGAGGACACCCTCACTGCAAACCCTGAACACAGTGAGCAAGAGTAACATATACATTTCATACCATGCCATTTTGTTCAGGAATCCTGTGCTCCTCTGCCATTGTCCTCCTGTTTTATTTTACCACATCAAATATAAGCGATTTCTACCTCAAAAGGGTAAGCCACAGGGAGAGAAAATTTTATTTACATCTTTAAACTTCCAGTTCGGCTTTGAAGTATCTTTCAATACTTGTTTGCCCCAGTGGAACAACCAAGGCTTTGAAGTATTACCAACCTCTCTGCCTGACACTGGGAGCACAAATAATGCATTCCAGGTTGTCCACGTTTCCTTCCATTTTCTGTGGAAGCCAGCCTTGTTGTCCTCTTGGCAGCTGTAAGGGTACACTAAATAGATGTAAACAACATTCTGTTCCAGCCAATCACAGCCTCTATTAGCTTAATGTGTGTGTGTGTGTGTGTGTGTGTGTGTGTGTGTGTGTGTGTGTGTGTGTGTGTGTGTGTGTGTGTGTGTGTGTGGCCCTTTTTAGTTTTAGTGGGGCATTGGAGCCAAAAAGTTACAGTTCCAAAACCTGATCTGGTGAATTTTGCTAATATGTAAAACACAATTTATTACAGTGCCATTTATTTGCCACTAGGTGCTGCCACTGGCCCAACTGCGCAAAGCCTCCTCTGTGCAGAGTTTAGAGAGAAGAACAGAGCGTTCAACAATACTGGGAGAGGTGCACATACCATATGGCCTGGCGCCCAGGTAGGTGTCAAAGAAAAATAAAGTACAAATAAAACACATACTATATTGTTTTACTTCATTAGTTTCCTTGTGTGTAGAGCTGAATTATTTCTTCCTTTACAGCCCTGATAGCCCTCGGCTTGAGCTTCACAGAGCCCTGAGTGAAGAAGTACTTGCCTCCAGAGTCGTGCGTCCAGTGGGCCGGGTCACCCAGGCTTTCCCAGATGGATCTCTCGTCCTGGAGCTCGTCAGACCCCCAAACGGTCCCTTTGGTTTTGTCATCTCAAGGGGCAAAGGTCGACCAGACACAGGTATCATTTTTTAATCCACATTCTCTTTGTACTGTTTTAAATGTAGAACTGTCGTTTCCTTAGATCAGAGGTTTTCAAAGTGGGAGGTGGGTCTCACTAGGGGGCTCCAAACAGTTCCAAGGGAGGCTCAGTGAATGGAAGTGGAAAAAATATTACATTAGTTATTACATTAGTTGTCAAAAGGAGATCACATAGAAGAGTGTGTGGTTTGGTTAAAGTGATAATTCATGGATTTGGGGGAATTTTACTGTTTTTCCACCTTTCCGAGAGTCAGAAACTAATAAATGCCTTGTGACAGATCTTTTTTTAATGTATTTGGTGTGATCTGACATTATATCAAACAGCAATAATCCAATGGCTCAACTGTTGATTGTCTACGGGATCAAATAACATATTCATGATCATATAGGCATCCAGGAATTGCTAGCACAACTAAACAAGTATACTTAGGGTGTGAGGGGACACCTTTTTCATAGCTTTGTCTGAGCGGAGGGCCACAGTCTTAGACTCCCATAGATAATTGCCAGGCTATTCTTCAGTGATATGTTGTGTATCTTTAAAATAGAATAGATAAGAGAATACAATCAAAATGTTATTGCTCAGATATAGATTTGCCTTTGACATTACTGTTAAAAGCAAGCAGGTAAAATTGGTAATCAAACATAAGAGGATACATCATCAAACATGCCAAAATACTGAGCCAATTTAGCAGAAAGTCCATCACATATTGAACTTCATATCGGTAAAATGTTTTATGTTGTTTTATGTCAAAACACAAGGGCATCATTTATCTGTTTTTTCTGCGTCTCCCTGTGTTCCTCTACTAAAATTCTACCTTCCCCCTCCCTTCTTATTGTTTCCTTCCCAGGTGTATATGTAGAGAAAGTGGGTGATGGCAGTACTGAAGGCCCCTACACAGGTCTGCTTGGCATCGGTGATGAAATTCTACAGGTGAATGGAGAGGCCGTGGCTGGCCTCAGTTTGGACCAGGTGACGCGGCTCATGACCCGGGAAAGCACAGCTTCTCTGCGGATCATGCCGGCCCGACGCAACCAGCGCTGACTGGGAAGATAGGCATGGCACAGAGCCATTTCTAGATCATAATTCACCACGGCAAACACAACTGATGGATGGTAACCTGTGGTAGATGTGAAATAGTCAGTGTATATTTCAGTGCAGTTTCACAAATTTAAAATGGCTGTGTGGGATAACAGGGTTAGAGGTTCATTTCCTATTAGTGCAAACTGATGTTAGGGACTTGGATTACAACAACTAATCAATAGAATAACCAAATGACAAATGTAGAACCAAACAAATCCAGCATAGACAACTTTTCTAGCTCAAAACTGGATTATATATTGTGATTTTAATACAAAGTTAGGACTAGAAATACTGATTCAAATCCAGCACGACTTGTTTATGTGCATATGTTTGTTTTTTATCGTCGCACAGAATTTTAACCCCATCTATTTTAGAACTATTTACAAACTCTCTCCACAATAAAAAGGGATGACTGCATTTATTTTGACTTTAGTATTTGTGACAATAACTCATGTTCGAATTGTGATATATTTTGCTGTTAGAAGCATGCACACAGTAGAGCGTATGACACCCTAAATGCTTAATGAGTGCACCCTATTCTGTCACAGGTTTAACGTGTTCCACAGATCTGTTCCCATTAATCTTGATTATTTTAGATGATTGACGTGTGTAAGGATGCATGTGCCACAAATGTCATCTTGGCCCATGAGACCCTCAGACTAAAGAGCTATCTTCACAAGCACAAAAGACATTAAAAAAAAAGCTGCCCTCCACTGGATTGCAACTGCATGGTAAATTATATCTAAACCAAAAAGCAATTAATTATCTCTCTCTATTTTCCTTCAGTGGGTCATATTTCCCTGGTGCTCTGCAAGATCCCTCCATTTTACTTGTGCTGTATCAGCTATTGCTTCATGAGATTGATGTTTCTAAAATAAAAATGTTTTATTTAGTCAAACTTTTATTGTTGTATTTCATGAATTCACTCGTTCATTATGAACATTTGTGTCACACAGTAACAAAACCCTACAGTTTAATCACATGGTATTATAGCCATTCAGTTAGATGCATGAACATATTTAAAATGTGAGTATAGTCTCCAATTGTATGAATTTCTTAGACAGTAAAACCCATACAACTTATATATCCAGTCAGCCTCCAGTCCCTCTTGGATATGACCAGTTGGGCCTATTCATTTGCTAATTTTATATTATTAATTTGGACCAGAAATGTAGAGCCTAGTGCTGCCCACTAATAAAAACATCTTGGCACAATTGCGCTTTCCTTGAAAGATGCTTACAAAAACGTTTAAAGGGATTATGGTAGACTATGCTGCTGTTAGGAACCGGATGATGGTCGTGACAGCTGCTTCAACAGGTCTCTTGAAGGGTCGTGACTGATTGTACGGCTCCCTACTTTTTTTTTTTTTTTAACATCATAGGTTTAAAAGACGCAGGATATTTGACTTATAAAATGTCCAACATGTTACATCTATCTATCTGATGACGCAGCATGCGCTCTATAATTTGCCATGTCACGACTTTATTTGACTAAATTTAAAGTACGACATTTATTTGACTGAAAGAGGCAAAAAAAAAAAAAAAAAAAAAAGCTGTGAAAAATCCGTTATTAGGATGTAGCTACCTGCTACCATTAAGCTGTCCTGAATGTGCTCTGATAGCGTGCTGCTCTTCTATCAGATGCGACCAGGAGCCGATACGCTTTTATCTGCCCCAGCCATGACTCCCCGTGGACCCCGGGGAACCGCCGTCCAAGCCCCCCCCCACACACACACACACACTCAAACAATGACATGCAACATTTATCCTATTTATTTATTAATCAATCGATAAATACTCATGTCCCATTCAATTAAGGCATCGTTGTCACAATTAGGCCTTACACCCTTGTAATTGTATTAATCTGTTCTATCAGTACATCCTCAGCCTCAAGGCGCAGACATTGATATGGAGGGATACTTTTTAGGATAAAAATGAAAAAATAAAAATATAGACGACCCTCCGCTGTCATGACTTATCTTATTTCAGGATAAATGGGCTTAGTGAAAAGAAAAACCTTTGTTGAACATATAAATAGGTCAAAGGCTTAACCTGAGCTTTTGTTTCTTTCATCAAAAAAAATTAAAACACCTCACTATAGCTCAGCCTACAGTATACTACCTCACGTTGTTACAGGCCGTTGCGCTGTGCCTGTTTGCTTTTTTTTTTTTTCTTTTTTTTTTTTTTTAATGCTTTGCCCTCCACAAGCCTATATAGCCCACGACAGCCAAATAATAATGAATCATTTCATAAATAATGGGTTTAGGGGCTTATCGGGAATGAAGAGGCCGCTGCCGTGCGCTTATCTCACTCGGCCACATTGCGGCCTGTGTTCCGCTCCCCATACTGAGGGAGCGCACTGGATGCAGCGAGGAATAACTCAGCTACACACACACACACACACACACACACACACACACACACACACACACACACACACACACAACACACACACACACACACACACACACACACACACACACACACACGCTGCTCCACAACTGGCAGAAAAAAAAAAAAAGAAAAACCTCAGACATGGATGACCCACTCACAAAATGGCTCCACTTACACAGTAACATCAACAACACGGCTGGAACGGTAAGTGCAAAAAAAAAGACATCTCTTTATTTAAACCACCATATTCGTTTGTTCCAAAGGGCTGTAATTGGATTTATATCGTTTAAATTTTATTGGATGTTACATGCGAAATATTTAGCCTATATTTTCTGCTATTGTTTGATCGGATGGTTGAAGACTGTACGGGATGTAATAACGGATGCGAGGCCTATTGGAGAATTCCCAGAAATAAAAGTGCACCTTTTTTTAAAAAATCGGCAGTCTGTTGTTCGTTTATAATAATATTCTTAAGGCATTTATGGAATGAATTACCCCCTGAAACACCTAACACGAGTGTGTGCTGTATTCAATATGACAAGCCTCTGATGTTCGGCTTTAATAACATCAGCAGTATGGCCTTCACCAAGATAAAACAAACAAAAAAAAAGACATGTGTGTCGATGGAAATGATCAGGTCCAAGTGATTCTGAAGCTCCCCGAGGTTATTTCTGGATTTGCTGAAGGCAGGAAAAAGGAAGGAATTTATTTCGACGAAGAATGGTAGCTCACCCAGCTCCCTCCGTGGTCCTGGCATTTACAATCTCTCTATAACAAGACGATTATTTTACCTCTAAATTAACAGCGGCCGAAAATGAGCTTATAATATGTTCAGATGTGACTTTAGAGCTGAGACGTTTACATGCATTTTAGATGCGAGCATAACGGTAAAGTGTGCTGAAGGCCGAGCAGGCATTAGATAAGAGATTCATAGACATGCATGCAGAAACCACAAGATAAAGCTCTTTGTAAAATGACAAGTTAACATTTGAAAAATATCACTAGCTCCAAATGTATAATTAAAAAAATAGGCACAATTCATAATTGTTCAATCAGCCTTTAAGGAATATATACCATATCCCACTTTTAAAAGAAGCTCTCAAACCTTCAACAGCTCACAAAAAATTGTAGAAATCCTCGAGAATTAAAACAGCTTTTAAAATGTAGTTGTCATATAACATTTGTGTTATCGTCCCTTGTGTTAAAACATAAGCATTGGAACTTTTTTATCTTTTTTAAATAGCAAAGAAAATGTAATATTTAAGAAAAATAAGCCAGCAAACAACTAATAGCCTATTGTCTTTCTTACAGTTTGTTTTGTTAGAAATGTAAAGTCTACAATTGATAACACCAATTTATAATAAAAATAATGATTTCATTTTAATGACAGTAATAATAATGGATTATTAACTCTCTATAGGCTTGCATGGGAAGCAAACGCTTGGTTATTTATCTGGTAGGCCTATCTTAACACTGCCACATATTCCTATGATCAATAAATTAATCGAGGAAGATCTTATTTAGGACGTAGTGGACTCGAGCGAGTGGTGACGGTATAAAAATGATGGAAAAACGGCAGCCGGAGCTTTGTCCTGGAAATCCTGATGCAGAGTCCGGTCCTGTAAAGCGAGAGGACTCCTCCATCATCTCCAGACAGAACGGATGCAAGGAGGACGAGGAGCCGAGGAGAGAGGAGGGGGAGAAGGAGAGGGGAGGGCGCTTCAAGGGGGTTGAGGAGACGGATGACGTTCCTCTGCAGAACTCGAGCAACGGGACCAGCATCAGCATCATCATCAACGGCGTTGCCAAGGAAACTGCCTCTCACAACGCCCTTGACCTGAAAAGGGAAGTGCCGGTGATCGAGCTCTCCAGGAGGGACGCTATAAAAGCGCTGGAGCAGAGGACTGAAAGCCATTTGGTGCCGATCACGGAACTTCGCAGACCTCCACCGCTGCCGCTGCCGCCGCCGCAACGAGACGACGCTCGAATGGTCCAACTGAGCCCAAACGCGTTCCCTGTCCCGGCCCGGGCGATGCTCTACAACCTGGCGCAGCCTCTCGCCGCCATCAACAGGTAAAGGTGGAGAAAGAAAAGGAGGAAATATAGTTTCATGAATGCACGTTTCATTTGATCATTGTGAGTGCTCACTAAAGAAAGTTAGTTTGATGGATTAAAGATGTCCCCCCATTGTGGCCCTGCAGGAGTAGGCTACTGTATTGTGAAATATGCTTGTAGTGTGATTGAGTTTACATTACATTGACATTATGTAGCATCTATGTGCATCACAGATGTGTGTGTGTGTGTGTGTGTGTGTGTGTGTGTGTGTGTGTGTGTGTGTGTGTGTGTGTGTGTGTGTGTTGTATGAGTGTGTAAGTGGGGGGTGTAAAGGTTTATATGCAATGAAGGAAATGATGTATGCTGAAATTCATGTTTTCTCATATACCTGTGCATCTTTTGTCTGCTTTCTGTTGCTGAAGTCTCGGAGGGGAGTCGGAGCAGTACAGCATGTACCCCAGCAACAGGGTAAAGCGCCGCCCGGCGCCTTATGAGGTTGAACTCGACGAGGGTAGGCGCATTTTAGATCTTTATAAGTATGGTAAGACGCACTTCTGCTGTGTCCTCCTTCTGCCAATATATATATAGTCCCCTAAACGTCCCCTCCTCATCTCCATTGTCATTCATCCACTGACATGGATCTATACTGTACCTAATCTGAGTGTTGCAGAAGATGCCTTGTAAAAAGAAAATTCAGCTTAACTGTTTAACCCAGAGGAATAAATACATCATAATTTATGGCATAAATGAGTGCCGCTAATCGGAATGTCAAATACATGTACCTGCATGCCATTTAAGTAAGCTCTTTTCAGACGGATTTGGATTTTATTTCATTTGAAACATCTTTTCCACCGCTGCCCACTCACTGCCATATACATGGGTGGAGGATGGGGGTGCTGCTGCCTCCATGCCAAGGTTTTACTGCAGAGTGGGCTGAAGGATTAAGATAGACTGGGTGTGTTCCAAGGGTGACAATAGCCTGGAAGACACTATTGTTGGGGGTGGGAGGATGTGACTACCTGCAGTGGGGCTTTTTATCATACCTAAATAAATAAAAAAGTACATAAAACATGGAATAGGGAGCACACTGCATCCCCAACCCCATATCCTGCGGTTTGGCATGCCAAAGCCATTGTATATCGCATTTGCATAGTATTTGGCACACAGTCTATTTTACTAACTTTATAGCTCCTTGTCCATCATCTGAAAATTCATGGTTGGAGGACAAATTTGCAACTTTATTCTTTAGGATTAACTTCTTTGTTTTTCCTACAAGCAAAACCAGTGTGCCTCTGTTCTCCTGCTACTGCTTCTTCCATTTTTAGTGTTGCACTTGTAATGCTTTACCCTTTTACAGACCGCATTATCTGTTTAAGCTCTTGCATTTACTTGTGTAACCTCCTATCAATACCTCCTTTTCTCACTCTTTCTATGTCTTTCTTCTTTTTCTCCCCGTTCCTCTTCTAGCTGGCCAGCCAAAGATTGTGCGGCGTATCTTCACTAACAGTCGTGAACGCTGGCGACAGCAGAACGTAAATGGGGCATTTGCAGAGCTTCGCAAACTCATCCCCACTCACCCCCCAGACAAGAAGCTGAGCAAGAATGAGATCCTGCGGCTTGCTATGAAGTACATCAGTTTCCTCTCCAACCTCCTTGAGGACCAGGATGGAGGGAGGAATGTTGGCAGCACAACTGATGGGGAAACAGGGCTGCTGGTTGGGGCCCATGAGGGGGGCCCACAGGGTGGACCACATCAGGACACAGTCGTGGGCTTGGCCAGGGATGATCTTCTGGAAACAATGTCACCGGGTTCCAGCTGTGGAAGCCTGCCTGATGGCGATGCCGAGGGCAGTCCTGAGAGTTTCGTGGAGGACCAGGACTCACCTCCTGCTCCAAGGACTCTAACAGCTTCACGTGGGCCCCCGCTTCATCTAGCTTCTAGGGATCTCAGGCGCAATGGACGACCTTTAGATGGCTCCAGTCGCCGATGATGCTGATGCCAAAAGACACAGACACAAGACCTGAGACTGAAAGAGAACATTGAGAGGAACTGGAAAGGAGATGGATATGCTCAGGACCTGTTAGCTTTGAGTTGTCAGTGTAGGAAGGAGAATCAATCTCTGTGAAGAGAGATAGTGTTGTCCAAACTGGATCATGAGTACGTTCCTGTCTTCGCTCGCTACACCTGAGGCAGCACTGATGAATTGCTTGGTTTGATTGGTGATCGGTTGAATTTGATCCGACAAAAGACTTGTAAATTCTGCATGTCTCATGTCTTTGACTGATCTGCGGATTATAACTTTTCTGTGTTTTCCAAAGTCCAAAGACAGGATATTCTAAATAATGAAAACAGACAAAAAGGAAAACAAGACCTAACCAAACAAAAAATCAATCAAGAGATTGAAGTTTTGGCCAATGCTTCACTAATGATACTATTGATTACATTGTGGTGCAGCCAGAATAAATCCAATATGCTTGCAGAGTGCTGCAAGTAAATGGTCCTAAAACATCAATGAATAAACCCAGGGGATTTAAGCCCAACAAATTTGATGTGTCAGAATAATGACACAAAAGTAAATTTGCCTCAGTTGGAGGCCGTAAATAAATCAACCAGACTCTATTGTACTCATGCAGTTGCATATGTATTGTAAATAGCATTATATTTCCACTGCACAGTGTAACAACAGTGACTCGAGTTCAAGTCATGTGGTTTAAGATGTACCATAGTGTGTTTGTCAATGGGTTTACTAGCAAAATGGTCTTTTAGGAGACGTGAAACGAGGAAGAGGAGAGAAGAGACGAGATGAACTCAAAAGGTAAAGCAAGCAACTGATCGTAGTACATCAAATGTGGTACCATTTACTTCTGTTACACACTTTGGTGATGAGAAAATGACACCAAATACAGCAACAGACAGTCAAACAGTTTCACTGCCTGGAATGAATATATCTATTTGAAATTGCTGTGGAGGTACAAGACATGCAGTGTTTCTTAAAGTGTACAAAATATGGGTCGTATGATAACATGAAGTGACTCATGCAGTCCTTTTGATATGAATGTTTCAGTGTTTTTTTTAACTGTAATGCAGTTGTAGTTTAGTAAGGTACACAAATAAATCCCTTCATTGCCGCATTTCACATATACACATAGAGACGCGCGCACACACACACACACACACACACACACACACAAACAATCAATCACACATACACATGCACACACTACACACAGTGTTAATATCATAATAACACCAGCAGTTTTCTGACAAATGCAGTTAAGTATTGCTCACTGTTGTTGGTTATTCTGCTTTTTCAGCAGGACCTAGTAGCCTATATTGGTACCTTTGGTAACTATGGTATTTTATGAATTGCAGTAAAGGGACATTGTACGTTTGGTAATGACATATTTGTTGTATGATAGCTGTATCTATAAATATATCCAATGTTAAATCAATGAATTTTATACAAAACCCCTGAATAAAACACGCAGAGGAAAAGCATTGATCAAGCATGTTCTGGGTCTTATTCATTTAATCATATTTCAATTTAATTCAGTTAAATTCAATTCAGTTCAGTTCAATTCAGTTCAATTCAGTTCAATTCAGTTCAATTCCTTCATTGTACAAATGTTTTTAATTTTTTTATTTTATACACTTTTTCATAATTGCATAACCTCACTGACAAACTCCTAGAGGCAGACTGTTTCCCACCTTATTTGCACATAAAACCACAACCTCCTTCTGAAACTCCCCCAATGAACGCTGGAATCCTCACTTCCTTCCAACAAGTGACAACTTCCTGTAGAGGTTAACGTGGCTCAGTGACCTGCAGGATATCCTGCCATTGTGAAAGTGGTTTTGACAGCCTCCACCGCACTCGTTTGCGCACTGTTGTGTCTGTACACATTGTGAAACCGCCATACTGGTCAAGACTCCCTCCGCCCGTGCTGTAAGTTATTCACTTATGCAATCGAAAAGTTATGTGGTTGTTAATAAGACATTAGAAAATAAGTTGTAGCATTGCCACATAAATGCTACTTTTCTGAAGTCTACTTCCCTAGATTCTATAACTCTACACAGCAGACTTTGCCACCACTACTATAACAGCATCAGCTCTTAGACATTTCTAAAAACTATAATTGCTTCCAGAGAGCATCAGAGACATCCAGGTGTTTGGAGACCTCTCCTATGCTGCACCCTGGCTGTGCTGGGACTGACTGAGAGGGGCTCTCTGGGTTAATGCCTGCCAAACATTTACCTGCTTCAGTGTTCCTGACTCTCCAAAAACACACAGACTCACAAAAAGAGAGGGATACAGGGAGTGTTTATGAGGGATTGAAAGGGAGGGAATGAGAGGAGGCTTGTGCCTGTGTATGTGTGTACATGTTTGTGAGAGTAGGCTTATATGAGTGTGTATGTGCTTGTTCTGCATAGATCTATACGTGTGTGCATGTTTGTGTGTGTATATGTGTGTGTGTGTGTGTGTGTGTGTGTGTGTGTGTGTGTGTGTGTGTGTGCGAGCTGGTGTGTGTGTGTGTGTGTGTGTTTATCAGCTCAGTGCAGATGGGTGGCAGAGTGGCTCTTGCAGCCAAATGATTCAGTATGCTAATGAGTTGTTATCTGTGGCGCTGCAGGAACAATATACTGTCTTTCTCACAGTGGGAATCCAGCCTGCTGGGAACAGATTACACTGCACACACCGCCAAGGTAGTTATTTATATTTTCACACAGAGTAGTAGAAAATACATAAACGCACACACACACACGCTCGCACACACACACACAGCTAGGCCTATAAACAAACAAGCAAAATAACATTTTAACACACACACACCACCAACAGCAGCATAAATTAAGTGTAAATGTGAGGTAAATTTATGTCCTTCACCAGTAGATGGAGATGTCTTTCAGGGCTTTCCTCTTTAACAGGTTTCAGGGCTATGTCATTTTCATTATTCTTCATAAAATATACCATATGCCTTTAATTAAAGTTAACTTTAAATTCACCCGGAATATTATTTTTTTTCAATCAATAAAGCCTCTCCAATTTAGTTTTAGCACAAAAGACTCAAATCTCAGCTGGAAATGTTATCATTCCAGTAGTGTTCAAAATGATCAAATCAGCTGCAAAAGTGACCACCTTTAGTCATTATCTAACTCATTCCAAAATTGCACTTTTAATTATATGCAAAGTTCACACATCATGTTTATATTTACACATATCATATTTAATTAAATTTCAGTTGTAATTAATTTCTATCCTTTTGTCTTCTGATTCATAAGCTCAGATGTTGGATTCAGAAGAGAAAGGTATCACTTACCTTTTTAATTATTCCTTCATAAAAGACACAAATGAACAAAACAAAACAGGCTTTGATTGATGATGCTTATTTGGACATGATCCAAACAGAATTCACCAGTGTTTGTTATGTCGCTATATTTCGTGTTATAGAAAATTTTCTTTTTCTGTGCCACCAACTACAATGCTGGTTAACTCATTAACTAACATTGTAGCTGTATTTATGTATTTTAACTTACGTGAAGTGTCTGTAAGAAACAGGATAAGCGCTCTATAAATAAAATGTATTATTATTATTATTATTTTCAGAGGAATAATTACTTAAACGCACAACATCAAACATCATAACAGAATAAGTGAAGAGTAACCACTCTCTCATGCAATCACTTATCCTTTTAACATACCAATACAACACACAGAAGACTCTGATAAATGTAGAAATCACCTAGCAATGTAGATTTCATTTAGTCGCTCTGATTTTCTTCCACTCATTATAAATCTTTTCCTGAACATCTTTGTGTTGAAAAAGCAGCCTGACCTGTAAATGAAATCCTTTGATGTGACCCAATATATGAAGCCAAATTATTGCATTAAAATGAACCAAGCTGCTCAAAACAAGTAACATTACCATCAAAAACAATATCTCTCTTATAAGATTGAGTCACTTTATATGTAAGATAAGATACAGATTTTCATTGATTAAATATTTCTATTCAAATGTCTGGAGGAGAAAGGCTGTTGTGTTTTTCAATGAGAAATTGTTCCTGGTTTCCTAATGTTGTCATTATGACACTACACAATGAAATATCTTTTAAGGTTGGTAGTGCAGTCTCCCCACTTTCTTTTAAAAAATACATCACAACTTAAAAATGTCTCAGTAACCTTTGAGAAAAATAAAATACTAAATGTAATTTATCTTCTAGATGGATTTGCTGTTGTGTACGGGAAAAGGAGTTAATATCATTTTCAATCTGGAGAGTAGTCTTGACTGTTTAAGAGTCAAATGAGATACAGTGTAGCATTTGTAAAAGTCAATGGTATTTTTCTCTGTACAATGTGGGTACTCCAGAGTATAATTTATTGTGCATTCATCTCTCTCTGGTGCAGAGGGTTATCTAGCCTGTTCAGTGCTAAAGCAGCCAATTTGTTGTTATGGGTGTGTAATGTCAATGAAGCATAATTTTTACTTGTATCAGCCACTGGGTGATGTGTTTTTAAACCAATATCAGTTTTCTGTGTTCCTGTGGGTCTGAATCACCTTTACTACTGCCTTCAGTCTGTGCTGATAATTAAGAGAAACAATAAGGCTTTAGCTCCTGTTCTTATTACTGATTCTGTACTGCCTTTTAGGGCTAGTAAATCACTATATTCATATAATGAACCATTTTCAGGAATTTCAACAACTGTGGTGAATGACAAGTGGGAGTGAGAAATGGTGCCTGCCTTAAAGGCTTAAGTATTTATGCTTTTGTTTTGCAGTCAGTAGGTGGACAAGAACATATTGAGTCTTAATTTGTTTTTTGTGAATTTAAACAGTTTTCTATTGGAATATCCAATTTTTCCATATATTGTCACCTTCTCAATCACTGTCTGCAACATTTTCTACTTTCTCTGTACTGATCTCTGCATTTAACAGTGCTCTCCAATGCTGCTTCACAAAACTTGGGCACCTTACACCCTCTAGTGGGAACCAAGTGCAATTATGGATTATTTACTTCAATTGTTTCCAAATGTGTATTGGACTCACGGACACAGGGCTTATCTATTATAATTGCAATGACTAATAGTTTATAAATTGGCTTCTAGTTCTGGTTCTAAATAAGTAAAACTCAAGGGTCATCCATTTCAAGCATAGTCGTTTTTAATGCATTGTTACAAAGAACTGTGTTGCATACAGCGGTAGAATCAATCCTCATCCATCTCCAAATAGACCAAGGCAAGCAAAGCATTTGGTTTGATTAGCACGACAGCAGCGAGCAGATACGGAAGCAGCAGTATTTAGCTGAATCACATTAATTTGACAGAGCAGTGCAATAGGCTGAAGGTTGTGCAGAGTCTACAAGAAGTTACATTCAGAGCGCATTCAAGGTCAAAGGCTGCAGTCACAGGTTATTCTATAGCAGTGGGTTTGCTCTTGGAGTCTGGGTAAAGCAGGAAGCCAGAGAAAGTGCTGTCATCCTCGCTGCTGGAGTAAACTCCATTCCAGTCTCTCAGTGTCTCCAGCCACACCTGGTCGCCTTCAGTCAGATGCATCAGTGCGAGGTTGGATGCCTGATCGATGTCCTGGCCGTACAGAGAATCCCGGGTCCGCAGCTTCCGTACCCCATTTATCACTAGGGCAGCACGAACAGGACGGTTGCGCACAGTGATGTGGTAACTGAATAGGTAGACCCCCGGGTAGGTGACATTGAACTTGTTGAGTGCTGGGTCCCAGTGCCCCTCCCCATTGTAAAACACCTTATCAAACTTCACAGGCAGGCTGGGTGGAGGGAAGGACCTGCTGGGAAACAAGCCCACACTGAAGGCAGAGCGAATCAGCTCCACGCTCTCACCTGGTGGGCCTTTAGGACCCCGAGGCCCACGCCCACCTTTAAGTCCCCTCTCCCCCCTCAGCCCTGCTATGCCCCTCCCTCCAGGAGGTCCTGGGGGACCTCTGGCACCAGTATCCCCCTTCACTCCTGGAGGCCCTGGCTCTCCCTTTGCACCATCAGTTCCATTCACTCCCATCTCACCTCTCAGACCAGGGGGCCCACGCTCACCCACATCACCTTTCTCGCCTGGTAAACACTCGCCTATAAGTCCCTGTTCACCTTTCTGACCCTTTGTCCCAGCTACCCCAGGGGGACCCATGGGCCCCTCTCGCCCGATGTTGCCCTTAGTCCCATTCAGGCCAGGCTCTCCTCTTTCTCCCGGGTCTCCTTTCAGACCGCTGAAGCCACGTTCACCTTTCTCTCCTTTGGGGCCCGGATCACCTATTGTATGTAGAGAAGTTATTTTCATATAGGAAGACCTGTTTGAATTGCTTTATAGTTTTTAAATAGAAATGTACATTTGCACACATTTATAGGGTGCATACCTATTTTAATCTAACTCAGTATGAATAAAATGTACAGAATTTCTGTAGAATTCATGGTATAAAATTACACACCTCTCTCTCCTGGTTTTCCTGGGATCCCAGGGGCACCAGGAACACCCACCAGCCCTGGATCACCTTTTTCACCTGTGGTAGTTTTGATAAATAAAGCGTAGAAAATGACATCCACAAAGAACTTATACAAAGCAGCGTTTTGCAAAAAAGGAGTGAGGGATAGAGAGACAGAAAGGGAGAGACATTCAAAAACTCTCCTGCTGTTAAGTCCCGTTGTACCTATGTCACCATTGAGTCCGTTGGCTCCAGGTAGTCCTGCTGGTCCTGGAGGTCCTCTGAGCCCTGTTTCTCCCTTCTCTCCTGCTAATCCTGGAAAACGGAGAAGAGTATGAAGAGGGACAAATTTTGACTTCCAAAAGGTAATTTTCCAAAAAATGATAATCCATGATCTTACCTGGAGGGCCCCTCTCTCCTGGCGGTCCTGGTGGCCCTCTTTCTCCCATGGGTCCAATGGGGCCTTTCTCTGGTGGACAGCACTCACAGACGTTGTAGAAACATTCATTGTAGTCAAGACTAAAGTTTCCATGGGGGATCCCAGGAGGCACTATGGCATCGGTGTGGTAATCAGTAGGGAAAGTGTCGCTGGAGTAGGTGGTACTGTCTGTAGGGGACAGGGAGTAAGCGTCCATCATGACCTCAGTTGTCTCATCTGTGTGCATGCTGGAAGGGGATGTTGTCGTGGTGGTGGTCCGTCCTCCACCCCCACCTCCTCCGCTGCTCCCGGCTCGAGGTGGCTTCTTGGTGGTCTGAGGTTTGGGCCAGCGTGTGGTTCTGGCACTAGAGGTCAGCACGACCATCACTGCCATGAGTAGAGTGGTCAGGAAGACTAGACGAATAGATGGCATACTGAAGGCTTGACACAATAATCTGCAGGGGGAGAAGAGTGGAAGTTTGAAGAAGATAGACAAAACAGGGGCAGTCCTTTGGAAAAGGTCTATTCTATTATTACACAGTGTGTTCACAATGTACAAGAAAGCAACAAGTGCATCTTACCTGCTGATGTAGATTTTGTTGACTCTTCATTCCATCCCCTCCAACTAGTGATTAATGTAGGCAGCCTCCTTCCTTATATTGCCCTGGTAGCCCAACTTCTGCACCTTTAAGCCAATGAGAGAACAAGGGACAGAATACACCGGGGGTTATTAGGAGGTAGGTGGGCTGGCAAAAACAGATTACATGACTCCTGAGGGATATGAAATAAAGCAGGTTGTATACAAGGCAAGACTTTCTTCTTTGTGATATGGGATATGATTCCAGGACCCAGGAGTATGCGCGCTGCTAAAGCGTTGTTCACACACACGCTTGCTTTGTACACAAACAGCAGAAATATAAAGTTACACACAAAGATACACGTTTTCAGAACAGTGTACACGCATATAGTGCATACACACAAGCTTGCACATTGTTGGTAATGAAAAACATCTCATATGAGAGTAACCGAGTGCAACACCTTGTAGTGACCACACCATTTGGCAGTACCTCAAAGCAGAAAATGGATCACCACACACCCAGTGGGAGAGGGATCAATGTCCCAAAACAGACGGCGTGGCAACATTGATCCAACCTTTCCTTGATCTTACCAACCCAAAGATCCCAGTAAACCCAGTAAACTGAATGAAAACCTGGCCCCACTGCATGGACTACTGAAGCGGGGGTATGTATGTGAATTTTAGTACAGGGTCAGAGGGGTTCATCTAAGCCTGTGTATTTTATATGTGCATGTAAGAGGTGTGGTAGACATGGAGATGTGTGGTGTCTGACTGTTCTGTAACGTAACTCAGTACTCATACATCAGTAATAAAGACCTATGTCTGTTTCAATGCGTATGCCCCCAATCTTGTCCACAAGCCTTGAAATTATGCCCCCACCCCCTTGTTGAAATGCCTTCCGTGGTCCATGTCTCAAAATGTGATGAACAATTCAAAAGAGCAGAAAGTTGACACAGCAAAATGGCAGAGAAGGTCACTACGGACATCTGCAATTGTGTAGCTGAAGATATATCCTGAATAAATGCTGGCAAACTGAGTGTATAGACTGCTTTATTATAGACATGTTTTATGTAATCTGTTTGAAATACAAGAGAAAGCTCAAAAACAACAGTACATTGCAATGCAGCTCACTCTGATCCATACACTTAATGGAAATCTAATAGATACATTACAGCATTTTACTTAATACTTAGAGGTAGTATAAGTAGTACTTGGTAAGTAATTTGGTTAAATAGCAGATTGTCCTACAAAACTCCTGCTGAACACCTTGTGTAAAACTTCAAATTGGATTGCTACACTGCAAAACACAAGCCTCCCTTCATCTTACACTACACTGAATTATGGAGGTATATGAAAAGTGAAATGATTGCTGACATACAAAATGCACTAGCATACCTGTGTTTTCATTTATTAGAACTGGTAATCTAAGTTGATAAATCATTCAACAGTTGAGTTAATATCACAAACAACTCTGACAACCTGAAGTTAGAGGTAGGCTACTCATTTAAAGTTCTACTTAAATGAAATTGTAATAATGTTCGGGACTGTTTAAATTAGTGTATCTGTGTGTGTGATGACTGCATTGTGAGGCTGAATAGCCACGTTGTGACGTTGTGCATGCAATTTGTTCTGAGGTCTCTCTTTTATAAAAGATCTCAATCAAACTTTCTGAATAAATAAACACACGAGTGACAGGACTGTTAAAGATGTGATACTCCATATAGCCACCAGGGGGCAGTGTTTGGTCAATGTAAGGACTGTTGAAACCAACATCTGAACAAAGGCCTAGTCTCTCTCATTAATTATTGGGCAATTATAGCCTGTAATATGACCCATAATTAGCTATTATTGTGTCATGCCATTCTATTTGAATTGAAATGTTGCTGCATACGTATGGGGGCAACTTGTGTGTGTCTACAAGTATGGATGTGATTCTAGGTCTAGTTTATATTCTGTTATATTGATTAATGTCCAGTCGCTCATAAAAAGTCAGTATAGGACCATAAAATGTTCCATGATGAATGGGAGATAATATAAAGTGCAACTGTATCTGGATTTCAAACCAGTATGATGTGTCATATTTTACTAGATGACATCATCATTTGATTCCGCAGACAGTGTTGGTTCCAGTGTTTCGCCTGTCCATCGTATGACTCTGCAGCTGCGCACTCATGTCAGCAGCGACTATATTTAAAGAACGAGCCACTGTCAAGCCAGCCACTATCATAATTAACTTCCGCTGAGGAGTTTCAAAATAAATCTCTGACATTGACAACACCCATTGTGCACCTCCGTACAGACCCCTGCACTGTTTCGCTTTATTAAAACAACCACAACAAAATTCCGGTCTCGTTCTCACTCTCCCATGGTGGTTTGACACAGCTCAAGAATGGAGGTGTGTGTGTGAAGAATGTAATGTTGATGCAGAGACCGAATAGACACATATATCCTAGAGAAGAAACGGGGTCAGTGGCAGGCAAAAGGAGGACACCTCTAAGTCATATCTTCGACTCTCGCCCTCCTCCGGTGACTCCCATGTCTCTCTCCGGGGTGGGTTTAACCCAAAAAATCCGCCATCCAACAATGGGCTGTGAGAGATCGGTTCAACTCGGAGAATCCCCTTGCAGCTGTTCAGAGAGCCGAGGATAGGACCAAGACATCGGACCGAGTCAATGAGGGTGGCTTGTCCGCTTTAGTCCTGCGTCTCTCGGCCCGGTGTCTGGCAGCCAGCCGCGCACTGCGCGTAAATGCGGTCGGAGTAGAGAAGACAGGCCTCCGATGAACACTTTAAATGTTGAAATTCAGTCTTTGGCAGCCATCGTGGTAGTGAATCGATTTCCTTATAGTTCCGCTGAGCGGATGGAGTGAATTGAGCAAAAGGGGGGAGAGATAGACTGCAGCTTGGTTGCGTGTGATGATAGGAGACACAATGACGCTCTTGTCTCTTCTGGGTCGGATCATGCGCTATTTTCTCCTCAGGCCTGAGACATTGTTTCTGTTGTGCATAAGCCTGGCGCTGTGGAGTTATTTCTTTCACACTGACGAGGTGAAAACCATCGTCAAGTCCAGTCGGGATGCCGTGAAAATGGTGAAGGGGAAAGTGGCGGAGATGATGCAGAATGACCGGCTGGGAGGCCTCAGTGTCCTGGACGCAGAGTTCTCCAAGACCTGGGAGTTCAAGAATAACAACGTAGCCGTGTACTCCATACAGGGGAGACGAGACCACATGGAGGACCGGTTCGAGGTGCTCACCGACATCACCAACAAGACGCATCCGTCCATATTCGGGATATTTGACGGTCACGGTGGAGAGGTAGGATGAGAGGGAGAGGTTACTCGGGCCAGGTTTTTTTTTTTTTTTATCAGAATGCGTCTTTCTGGACTCATCCAGAGCCAAAGACCTGCTGCAGCACACGAGTTAACGTCATTTGGAAGCAGATACAGAGACAGACAATAAGTTATTATGAGAATGATAGGGAAATATTCTAGGGAGGGACATTAAATTGATATTTTAAGAGATAGAAAATAACAATAGGTGACTATAAACTCTGTTAGCACCATAGAGATGCCAGGTTTCTATGGGAACACAAGTATTTGTTCTGGGACACAGACATACACCACTGGTGTTACTCACTTCATACTCACCCCATTTTCAAACAGAACAATACCCCCCCACCACCCCTTCTCTCTCCATTATTGAATTCTTTTGTGCCAAACCCCCTCCACCCCCCCTGCCAATCAGGGAGTTAACTTGGGTTTCATCACAAAGCACTTGTGTGTGTCTCTGTGTGTGTGCGTGTGTGTGCATGGGTGATGTGTGTGTGTGTGTGTGTGTGTGTGGGTTTTGTCTATCTTTCCCCCACTCCCTGTGTAGTCGAGGGTCAGTGGTTTCTCATGGCTGCTTTCAGACCACGTGTCCTGGACCCCATCTGTCACACCACTACCACTGTCCCCCAGAGGTTCCAGTGTATTTCACTGAATGATACTGGTTTCTGATTTAGAGCCCAATCTTTCTTCATCAATATAACACAAACAGATATTTAGGTGACTCAAACAAGAGCCCCTGAAGCATGAGAAACATAAAGATGTTAGCGTGCCGCAGTTATCAGTAAATTGATAAACTGGTAGGGCTACTTGGTCCGTCATTGTTGTTATGAGGGGAAATAGAGTTGAGGTTTAAGTCATAATTGTGAGGCTTATAACAGAATGATAGTTACACTAAGCTCTGGCTGTATTGCCAATTATAATCTGAATTAACCTATCAATTGTTTGGTCTATACAGAGCCCAGGTGAGGTCCAAAACCCAAATACATTCATTTTGACGATTTAAAAAAACTGTGGATATTCACATTTGAGAGGCTGGAAGCTGTAAAGTTTTGGCATTTTTGCTTAAAAATGACTTCCGTTTTAGTAGGTTTCTTTTGACTACAGGAGATTTATGAGCTGAAAGGTGTTCATAATTTTTCCAGGTCTGGTTTGAATAATTATTTTATCAAAGATTATAAATCTAAGAACCCATTTTAAGCAGTATGAAAAAGCACCTTTCAAGCTCTATGTACCTAGTGTTATATATAACTAAAAGATTAATGGTTAAGCAAACTTATAAAGTTCCAACTACACTCTAATGGTTACATAAACAAGTAATGTAACCGTGGCCTCAGAATGAAAAGGAAATCAGTTTGTGCCCAGTGATGCCGTCACAAATAATTTTCTATAAAGCCACCCCAGAACATTCATCCCTGTGTCTGACTGCCGTACAGTCACATTTCACATCATTTTGAACACAGGAATGACGAAGGGAACTGCCTGTTCTCTTTTTTAAAAGATTAGTTAGAAGAGTTACCATTGGGTTGTGTTAAATCATAGAGAGGGAGACAACAAACAGAGAGTAGAGGGTGTTTACCCATCTGGATCGGTATGTCTATTCCTGTCCCCTGAACAAATATTTATCCTTCCTGTCTATCATGACATCTCCCCCCTTTACTCTCACTTTTTTTCTCTCGCGAGCTTTGCTCCTTTTCCCCTCTTTCTTTAGGTAAATGTGCATCTCAGTGCATATGTGTGTTCATACTGTATGTGTTTGCCCCACTCATATATTTCCTTTATGCTTTATTACCGTCCTTTTATCTTATCTTACTCACAGTCAAAAAGGGTGCGACTCAAAGAGAAAGGGTTACTCTGACATCGATCTTATTCATTCACTAGCATCAATACACGGACCTCGTCCTGAGCTATGGAAACACAAAACCCATAAACACAGTTTCCTCCTGTTGAGGGTCATTTTTAAAAAGCTGTGTTTACCTTCTGGCACCCCTTGATGCTAATGATGTTGGTAAAAATTACCACATGTGTGGATATCCTTGGACATTTATTTGCTAGTGCATTTTTATGCAGTTTGGCATAACTGTCAACACACACACACACACACACACACACACACACACGTACATCACTAATGTTAAATGAAGCGATGCCGCCAAACCAAATATGTCCAGATAGAGCAGCCTGCTGTGGCAGTGCAGTGTGTTCTGGCTCTGAAAATATGCAGGAACTTTTTCACACAAGTCTGGGGGATTTTTTTGTGTTTTGTGTGTGTGTGTGTGTGTGTGTGTGTGTGTGTGTGTGTGTGTGTGTGTGTGTGTGTGTGTGTGTGTGTGTGTGTATTTTATATCAAGGCACTGAGTTATGGCCCAGAAATATAAAAGTCAGCACAAGCTGCTACTCCTCTTTTAACATGATTTACTGAGACTATTTGCTGTTGAAGCAGGAACTTTAACACACTACTTTGCTGTATAAAATTGAATTTATAGTTAAGCAGGGCCTGGAGAGGCAAATAGGATTTAACAAAGCAGGAAAGTCAGTGAAAGATCCCCAATACCGATTAAAGAACTTTTAATAAAGTTGGTCCAATATTTTACATTTACTCATTAAATCCTAGACAGTGAAATATTTGAGTCATTTATGAAGTCTGTAATTGCACTGGTCTTGGCATTTTCAGCTGATCAAGGCTCACTGAGTTCCTCTCTCTCTCTCCAATTAAATAAATGAATGAGTATACTTGTCCAGCAAAAGGGAACGAGAGAAGGGGGAGGGGGCCGCAGGAATAGATTGTTTCACTCTAGTGATCATTAGGAATATTAGTCTGTCACAATATTTCACATCCAGGTCTTGTTCCCTTGTTGTATTTTACTCCAAATTCCATAAACTTGATTACTGCATTCTAGGCAGTTCTAGCTGCGTATGAATAAAACATAGCAGAGACGCATGGTCTTTGCTCAGGTTTTTGGCTCTATTTTAGTGGGGTTGGTATGGTATGGTATGAGTTATTTTAGTAATGAAGGATCAAAATCCAACTGAAACTGAATTCACAAGGTCTCATACTATCCCGAACACTTGTTGAAATTGAACTGCTTTAGCACATTAGTACATCAGTAAGCGAATGCCTTAATTTCCATAGGAGCTGTGAAAATGAAATAATGTACTTTGTATCAACCAGGGCATTAAGATGATATAAAATATTTCCATTTTAGATTTGATTCGCCAGCATTAGCATAATGGAAATCTTGGCAGAGAAAACAAGGGAAGAAGCAGATAAGTAAGGGTAGTAGGAGGAGGAGGGTAAGTAGGCTGGAGGATGAGGAGGTTGTTCAATAATTCACCGCAGAGCACCTGCTGTATGAAACAAAAAAAGAACTCCTTTAAATTAGAGCTGTATTTTACTATATCACCTGGCAGCAACATAAGAACAACTTATTTATTCTATTTATAGAAATAATAAGTAATATATTTATATTATTTATTTTAAACCTGTCAAACTGAGGATATTTAGTCTGAAATGTTGATGAAATATATATGTGTAGTACATTTATATAGTACAGTTATATGAATAAGAAAACCTCAAAGTTTTTTCTCAGCAAAAATGAAAGCAGCACAATCCACTTTTGGGGTCAGCTGTAAACACAACATTTGTATGTACACATATATACACCTTTATAATGTTGTCATGATGAACATGTTAGGGAAAATATGCCTATTTACACACCCAGAAGTCGTTTATTATATATAACATTAACCCTTCTTTTCGCTCCATTTTAGTCTCCACTAACCCTTGAGGGAAATCTCTTTAGTGTCTAAAAGCTTCACTGTGTTCACCAGCTAGTTGCTAACACTGTGTGTGCTCTTTGGTGTTCAGCAGGTAGTGTGTAGCAGGTTTATTGGAGCTTTTTGAGCAGAAAACAGCTGCCCGGTGCGGCTGAAACAAAGCTCATATAGTCACTTAATTAATTGTTAATATAAGAATATAGATTAATGCAGTCCTTTTATGTGCTCATTTGGCATACCATAATATAACATTGTGGTCTGCTTCACTTCAGATAGTGTTGGACAGTAAACAAGATCGTGCTATCTGGTGCTTGCCGATCACAGTAGATCAAGAAAAAGATGCAAAAGCATTTCTGTTCATTATAAACAACTTCTACAATCTCTGTGCTATTCTACTGTTTGGTACACTATGGATCAAAACAAGCTTTTATAAAAGGTCTGAAGTGAATCATGTTAAAACCACGTCATCTTAAGCCTAAACTTGATATATCTGAACTTCTAAACTCTGTGCTTTGCCCTTACTTACCCACCCTCTGCTGTCTGATTCTCCCTGTGCCTCCCTCCCCTTCCTGATCCACCCTCCCCCAGGCTGCAGCTGACTATGTGAAGGCCCACCTGCCAGAAACCCTGAGGCAGCAGCTGCAGTCCTTTGAGAGAGAGAAGAGAGAGAGCGCTCTCTCTTATGCCAGCATCCTCGAGCAGCGCATCCTGACTGTGGATCGTGAGATGCTGGACAAGCTCTCTGCCAACCATGATGAAGCAGGTCAGGAGGGGGAGGAGAGTGGTGGGATGTGAATATATATGTGTGTGTGTGTGTGTGTGTGTGTGTGTGTGTGTGTGTGTGGGGTGGGGCAGTTTATGAGCTAAAAGAGACGATAGGAAGAATTGGGAAATCTGAAGTGTTGGCAGATGTGTGTCAGTTTTGTGCACTTCATATGTGTTGTGATACATTTTAATACAAAACTCAACATTTGCATGAATTGTTCTGCACCCTAGCCCCTAGAAATTATGTCTTCAAGTGCTTGTTTGTTCCAGATTCATGCTCTCTGCCTTTCACAGGACACTACTAAAGGACTTGGCTATAAAACCCCACAATTTCCTGTAATAATATCCCATCCGTACAATACTTCTGAACTGTGTTGTAACACGATGCTGCTGCCCATTGTAGTGCAGTATAGTGTGGTTGATACTGTTTGCACTGATGTAAAATTCAGAGTTACAGTCCAGATTGATCAGTTGGTGGCATTTGATATGCCTACCACAAGAAACAGCTTTTCCCTTCATTTTTTTGGCCTATTGTTTTTCATTGTTGATTTGTTGAGGCTCTATTGGCAGAAATGGAATATAATACTCATAGGTATGTTTTCATTATTCAGTGTATAATCACATGAAAATCCGAATAGTTCTGTTTTTGTTACCTGAGAATGGGCCATCTTTATCTACCTTTTATGGAGTCCTTCATGTTCAACCACCATGTTTCTACAGTAGCCCAGAATGGACAGACTAAATACTAACTCTAGATAGGGCCTTTCGTATTTTTTGCCAGATTTGCAGCCACCTGGTTTCTCCTACATACTTATAAAGCTGAGCTGTATTCAAATGGTTGCAGTCTGCAACTTCACCACTAGATGCCAGAAAATCACACTGATCCTTTAAAGAAACTGATACACAAATCACTTTCCCTCTTTCTATGGGACTCGTTTAGTCAGTTTGTATTCACTGTGCTTCTCTGTAGACCAACAGGTCAACACGATTATGAAGTGAAACTCACCTCAAGTGGTCCCATACGATCACCTTATCATTTGCAGTTAGCACCATTTATTCGATTTTAACGACTTTTTCAAATAATGTCTAATCCTTATAAATCACTGTCAAGTTAAGTCAGGTCAGTTTCATTTATACAGCCTAGAATCACAAATCACAATCAGTGCGGTTTACAATCTGTACCGCATACAAAACCCTCGGCCCTATGATGCTCTGTTCGGATAAGGATAAACTCCCCCAAAGAAACCTTTTTAAAGGGCAAAAAAGGAACAAACCTCAGGAAGAGCAATAGAGAAGGGATTTCTTTCATGTGTACAACATAGAGCCACACAACCTCCTCTCCACCATGGAGAAGTGGAAGCACAAGCCACGCAAACACAGAAGAGGCAGCACAGCATTCACACAGATGGAAGTGACAGACAGACACGCAGAGGAAGGGAGGGACATCACAGCATGCAAACTAGGGAGAGAAGAGGCTGAATCTCCTGTGGGGGTGATGATCCAGATCCAGACGTCTGGATGAGGCACCGGGTAGCCAGGAGAGAGAGGGGTTCCTGGACTGTTGATGGTCCAGCAGAGAGGAGAAAGCAGGAGGAGAATACTACAGTGAGGGAGAGAGGGAGAAGAGAGAGAGAGAGATGCACACAGCTTGGCCACTTGTGGGAGATAGTGTGGAACTGTAATAACAATATAATAGTTTCATTTTCATACCAGAGAGCAGCTGTCAGCTCACTTGACATTTTCATTCCTGGACATTTTTCATTCTACGGAAATTTTGGACTTTTGTTTTGTGGTTAAATGTCATATTAACCAAAAATAAACTTTGTTTGTCTTGTTTGTTTCAACAGCTACTATAAGGAATGCTTGTGTTATTTTGTGCAATACATTAAGCATTTGCAAATACCTGTTATAGCATAATTTCACTTGCAACATTAGGGCAGTGTGGCAGCAAAAACACACACCAAAACCCCACAAAAACAACTGAATGCAATGATTTGTGAATAAACCAGATTTGATCCAGGATTGTGAAACGTTTGTGGGACATCTACTGAAATGTCAAAGCTAACCACTTTCTCAACTGTTTCCTCTTTCTCTGTCAATCTCACGCGCAGGAACTACATGCCTAGTAGCGCTGCTGTCGGACAGAGAACTCACAGTGGCTAACGTCGGAGACTCTCGTGGTGTGTTGTGTGACAAAGATGGGAACGCTGTTGCACTATCACATGACCACAAGCCGTACCAGCTCAAAGAGCGCAAGAGGATCAAGAGGGCAGGTACACAAAAAACAACCCTATTATATAAAGCATATACTGAATGTGCCTGTACTACACTCTCCTGTGGTTGATTTTGGGGTCCTTGGTTGCCATCTGCTGGTTTATTCAGGAACAGCATTGTGTTAAACAAAGCACAGGGTCAGATTGTGATGTCTGAAATAGATACCTAAGCTGTGTGATTAAAGGATTTTCATGGGTGAGCTTTGTTAATCAAGTTATCTCAAATAGATGCAGTATTTCAGAGATTATTTCTGAAATAGTATTTTAGCCCATTATTTGGATTGATACACATTATGTGCACCTAAACCCATCGAGCTAATTTGGATTCTCATTAACAAATCATCAGACTGAACTTTCCTATCCTTATTTCCCCACTTCCAGGAGGTTTCATCAGTTTTAATGGATCCTGGAGAGTCCAGGGAATCCTGGCTATGTCCCGCTCTTTAGGGGATTACCCACTGAAGAACCTCAACGTAGTCATCCCCGACCCTGATATCATGACCTTCGACCTGGACAAACTGCAGCCAGAGTTCATGATCCTGGCGTCGGATGGCCTGTGGGACGCTTTCAGCAACGAGGAGGCCGTCCGGTTCGTCCGCGAGCGTCTGGACGAGCCTCACTTCGGCGCCAAGAGCATCGTCCTCCAGTCTTTCTACCGCGGCTGCCCCGACAACATCACCGTCATGGTGGTGAAGTTCAAAAGTGGGGCTGGGGGTAGTAGCAAGGCCGGGTAGTAGGTGAGGGTCAAGTTTAGAGCTCACATTGTGATCAATATTTTCTATGATTTTACCCATCTTCTGGATGGAGCCGCACACAGGAGTGACTGGAGGAAGTTAAAGTTTGGACACTGAGAATGGTACTTTTGACAGGTTCACACACATACAGACACACACACACACACACACACACACACACACACACACACACACACACACACACACACACACACACACACACACACACAAACACACACGGAAATGGGTTTTGTTTTGTTTCTGATTGAGATAAGGGCATTTAAACACAATACGTATCTCATAAACATCTGCCAACTTAATGATGAATGGAGTGGAGATGCATAAATGCAAGACAAACACACACCAAACAGGGGATTTTCTCTTAACCTGCACAGACTAGACTGTGACTGATTTATTACTGTTTACTGTACATGCACGTGAATGGTACAGCTCCACTGGAGACTTCTTCAGAGGAGGCTTCAACTAGTGCCTACTCAAAAATTACTGTGCAACTACAGGAAGCTACTGAAAATGTATTTGTGAAAACTCCACCATATTTGCTGCATTTTGATGATGCTCTCAAGTAACTTATATGCATCTGTTACATTTTTTGACCGGGAATATTCTGTCAAATATTTAGAAAAAAAAAGACTCCAGTGGATCCATACCTTTTATTTAACTTGAGGTGATGCTACACCTAAAATCTAACTTTTGAGTATCAAATACATCAGCAAGCAGTTGTCACAGTGGAAAAAAGAAGTAGCATAAATAGTTTAACAGCAAGAGCGCTGATTGGCCAACTGCTATGTGATTCTGACCAATCACAGCTCCCAGCTACTACCGCTTCGTAGGTTCATTGATTTCTTAGGTTGCACACTGCTACCAACACATCTTTAAATTAAAGAGTTTTACAAGCTAACACAAAATGGAAACTGTAAATGTTTTAAGCAGGAAACACAAAAGTACATTTTAAATGTAATGCTGTGATTCCACTTTGAATTGCAATTACGCATTCATCGTTTAAGATGGAATAAGAACATTTGTAATTGGCTAATTTAATGATATTTATTGTTTTTACAGCTTAATTTTAATGTAGATTTAATTGATCAACTTATAATAACTTTCTTTTTTAAGGATGACCAATTTATTATTTTTTATTGTCCATAATAACTTTAGTGACCTACATTGTTAAATACATGATTCTACTTACTTGTTCATACATATGCTCAGTATGTTCCAAAGACATTTTTGCCAACATATGGCTAAATAAACTGTCTTAAGACTGTAACCAGTAAACGACATTAGGAATTTGAACCAAATTGAATAAGCTGGAGGTGGGTTCCTCAGGTTAGCCAGTGAGCCACGATAGAGTAGTCTAAGAAATTTCTATGGATATTTATTCATTTTTGGAGAGAATGGTCATTATTGAAATACTTTGTAACCATCCAAACTGACTACAGCCACTCTTGTCTTTGAAGGCTGAAACTGTAAAATTTCACAGCCACTTTTCAAGTGTACAGAAACTTAGTGATACTCAGTAGATAGATTTTAGGTGGAGTCTTACTTTAACATACAACACATGCACACATACACACAACCAGTTATGAAAAATGCACTTTTCAGATGTTTATTTTTTTGGAATGGTAAATTCTTACATATCAGCCTCTCTGTAAACTCTGTATATTCTCAGTAATACCAGAGAGTTTTAATGTGTGTAGAACCTGATTTAGTTCCTGACCTTTACATCTTGGTACTGCAATTTTATGGAGCTAATGTAAATTGTTCCTTCAGAGTTGTTTTACACCATCTGTATCAGGGCATGTGCTTTGGCTTATCCGTGTTCATGAACAAAGTACGTATGGTATGTTCCATGGACACACTGGTGGCTGCCTTTGACCTGGTAAAGCACACAAAACCGGAGGTGCAAAAAGACTTGCACGCCGCTGCTGCCATGACAAGCTAAAAGATGACACAACGTAAACTGTACAGCCGCAGCCTAAATGCAAGTAGCTAGTAATATGATATGCCCGTGAAGCAATACAACTGGTGTCATTGACAGCAACAACCTGTCAAGGAAAGTTACAGTAAACCATACTTGATTTACTACTGTTTTATGTTCAACTACTTTTTACCACTGTGTTTCATGATCTTTGCATCAGTTGACAAAAGCCTTTTTTTTATTTAACAGTTTACCTAATGCCTTATTTATTGTTGAGTTTTTGGACGTGTCTGGCAGATTTGCCAAATCAGTATATTCTTTTTTGGTTGTTTTTTTGTCCTTCTGTAGATGAGCAGAAGTTTGCAATGAATGAGATACCCATCACTTTGATTAGAGAAGCAGATTCACACATGTTGAGCTGATGCTCAGTGTAAAAAGAAAAACAGGAGTGTAAAAAAAATAGATTCTGTATGTAAACTATCAGTATTAAACAAAACTCTTTCATCTTAAAAGAATTTCCATTTTATTGTCTTTATTGTCACAAAGGCCTGACATTTCATTCTGGCCTGTATATTAACTGTGCAGCATGCTCACCACGCCAGGTCAATCAGTACAACACACACCAACTCCTTTGTTTGCAAGGGTTCTTTTTAATGGTGGACAATGTTAAAAATGCAGAAAAGTGCCCTCTTGGATGCCCCTATGGTGGATAGAAAATGTTAAACTGACGCTAATCCGGAGCCTGACAAAAGCTATTTTAACCATAAATCAAACTTTCTGCATGCTGGTTCCCTTTTAATTTTTTTCACCCCTGCCCTCAAACAGCCTTAATCTGCCACTGATTATTTTAGTTCTTAGCAGTAAGCTAAATTTCTATTATGTACTCAGTCTTCAGATTTTTTCAAATGCATTCCCACCACTTATTCAGTCATACACTTTTTTACTTATTCACATAACAGATGTGCATTTTAAAAAAAACATTCACACATGCTGCTGGTCCTACTGAAGAGCCCCCTGGAAGCAAGTTTTAAGTGCCTTGCTCATGGGTACAACAAACATAGATGCAGAGCAAAAAAGGTCATCAGTGACGAATGTTCTCTGCCTTTTGTCACATCTTCAGGAATTTGAATCTGTGAAGTTCTCGTCAACCACCGCTCACAAGAACCTGCTTGTTGTAAATCATTTCGGGACAATCACAGAGGTTGGGGAAGAATTCACGTGACGTCTTCTTAGTGTTTCTGGGATGCCTCCATCGGGCCACAAATAGGTCTTCGTGCCATAACTATGCGCTGTCGCTTACAAGGCAACCGAACCCCGCTACAGCCTTCAAGAGGGGCACAGACAGCTCGGAAGCGCACGATCGTGCCAAGTTTACTGACGGTCTGTGCCAGGTGGACAGACTCAGAATAGCTCGGACGTGGACTAATCCAAATACCAAGACCCGTGCAACATTCAGGCGCCTAATAACCACACAGTCAAGTGCGTCACACTACAGCATTACGGGAACTCTTTGCCCCATTTTATACGGATTTGCCACTTTATAAGGGAGACAAGTGCGCGCAGGCAGCAGAGGAAGAAACTTGTCACTTGGCCAACTCCGAAGTAAGATTTGTTTTGAATTCCCTTTGATCATTTAAAGGAGTGTTCTGAATTTAAGTTACAACATGGGACAGCAAGCCTCCAAATCCACCATTGAAGCGCGAGTGATTTTCCAGCGCGTTGGCGCAGTGGATATGTGTCAGAAAACGGACGCGTGTTCCACTCCAGCCTCCGTTGTCCACATTCAGAAGAAGGTGACCAGTCAGGCGGCCTATCTTCACTCTTCCAACCGGGCACTGGAGAAGTCAACAACCCATGCTTGGCCCCAGAGCTGCTGTGACAACGGGGGGCTGGTGTACGTGATGGATAATCCAACTGGTGGTGTGTGGGTGAAGCCGGAAGAGAAATGGACCAGATCTTGATACGAAAATAAAATCTTTACGCGAAATGCAAACGATAGAATTAAGTTAAGCGCCTGGTGACTGGATGCATTATGTGCGTCCACAAGCTTTGGCGTCTTCCGAGCAGGACGCCGCTGATTTGGGCTCCTGCGCTGAGTTACAGCTCCGTGCCACATACACTGCAGTGCATGGAGTCAAGGTGGATTTAAATTGTAGAATCGTCTTCGCTGGACTGACTGTAATTTATTGATTTAGTCTTTATGAGACATTCATATATATTTAATATCAGAAAGTAAGACGATGAGAGGAGGCGAAGAGAGTGCCTGCGTCATGCGCACTGAGATCATGTGTTTACTTTTGGAAACTTGTGTCATTATGTTGTTACCAACATGACTAAGAGCTGTGTTATTAAGAATGAATTTCACTCTACTACTTTTTTTATTTCCATAATAGTGTGGGGCAGATCAGATGAAAGAAGGGAGCTTGGGTTAAGTCACTACTGAGAGTTGGCTAACATCGACCACTCTGCTATTTGAGTGTGGTTTGTAAACAGTGCGCTTTGGCCCACTGTCTTAAAATTGAAACTGCATCCTTCCAATGGCTGACCAACCTTCATTTATTTTTTTCCTTCCTTTTTATTTGACTTTATTCTATGTTTTAAGTATTTATTACATGTATTTATTACCATAATACAAATAAATGTTTTAAAATGAAATGTATTTTTTAAAATATTGATGGCAGTCTGAATGTGATCGACTGGAGTTCGATGTTGGACTGAATGTTTGTTCAGAATGTCTCTCAGTAACTGAATGGTGTCATAGCAGCATAATGCCCAGGGGGGGTTATGGCTCCTTTTGTACTGAGAAGCTCCAGCAGCTTTGAGGAGGTTTGAGGAAAGTGTTCATGTGTCACAATCCTGTAAAGAGGATGTCACGGTCGGACTGTGTGGACCGTTGGAAATGTATGTTGAAATGAATAATTTAAGAACTTATTCTTTTTCTTTATTTTACCATGTAGGGGAGGCGATGTAATGCTGATTCAGCAAAATTGCATTTATTTCTGTTGAAAGGTGAAGCCTGGATATTGTTCTTTATGTTTAACTGTTGTCTGTCCCTTAAAACACCTGATCCATGACTGAACATGTGATTAAGATTAAAAATGGAAATCTTCAGGCAAATGATTGTATGTCACGTGTGCCTCAATATACCCAAGGTACTGTGCACCATCACCCCATATAATAAAACGGATTACTCCTTTCTACCTTCATTTTTTCTAATCCTTTTATTCTATTTGTTTAGTAAGAAGACATTGGCTTGTTCTTTCAATGCGCGTTTGAGACTCTGACTTAAAGCACAACTTAAGCACCAGAATGTTTTTCAGTAAAATAACTTATCAAACTCCTATAACCCATGACATTATATAAAACGCGGATGGACTGGTCTCATAAAGCTATAAAGGATAACTTTGCATGGCTATATTTATACAGGGTAAATAAACAAGGGCTATCCTGTGGTTGGACAAACTTTGGCCCCTAGTGTGGCGCCTTATCGGTGAGCCTTGAGTTATCCCAGCATGAAAACTAATAGCTTATCTATTAAACTCCGGGCAACGCACTGTGCAAACACTGCGTCAGAAGAGCACTGTAGGTGGAAGATGTGCCTATCCCACTTGAGTTGACTGTCAATATCCCTCCACGGACGCCATGGGACTGCGAGGATCCAAACAACCAGAAGTCCAAGTTCTCCTTCTGGGCCTGGACAACGCTGGAAAATCCACTCTTCTTTACAAGCTGAAACACAACGCGTGCGTGGGCACCGTGCCCACCATAGGCTTCAACGTGGAAATGTTCGAGGCGAAAAAGAACAGGAAGAACATCGCCTTGACCGTATGGGACGTCGGTGGTCAGGGGAAGATGCGCGAGTACTGGAAGAATTTCCACCAGGACGCAGCAGCCGTCGTGTTTGTCGTGGACAGCTCGGACAAGGAGCGTCTGGAGGAGGCGCGGAGGGAGCTGGAGAACACGCTGAGGAGTGAGCAGCTGCGGGGCCGTCCACTCATCCTGCTCGCCAACAAACAGGACGTGAACGGCGCGCTGACCGTCACCGAGATCAAGGACTTGTTTAACCTGCGGAGGAGTTGCTCAGCCCGGGATTGGTTCGTCCAGCCTTGTTCCGCGTCGACGGGAGTCGGAGTTGAAGAGGCCTTTAAACGAGTGGTCCAAATGGTCAAACTCCCATCAGACACTGCGGCGATGAAAGACAATATCAAGGAAACAGTGCACTACCTCAAAGCCAGTGCCAGACATTAAGTTTTATTTATATGAAATGTGTTATTTTCCAAAAAACATTGACAATCTGACAAAATGAATTTGGAAATAAGTTTGTTCTAAATTAAACTGCATTATACCAACAATAAATTATATTTTAAGAGACATTTTGGTTAAGTCTAAATATCTTTGATGCTCAATACACATCCCAGTTGGAGCTATAGAGTTTTGCAAGCTACTTAAGCTACTTAAGAGTGAGTGGATTATTATAATATTATTATGGATACAACAAGAAAAACCGGAAACACAAGATACCATGGGCTATATTACTCTGCATTAAAAACCACCACTGAGTACCACAAACACACAGTAAGTTACTGGAGAAATGATGTCACCGCTGTGGAGCATGCATATCATCTTTCAATTATTAAACAGAATTACATTATCTCACACAGCCACTGGCATTCACTTTAAACTCCCGGGAAGCATCTCACTGATACAGCAGCAATGTCAGCGAGATAAGTAACAAAGTTAAGTGCATATAGGTTTTGGAGATGGTGAAAATCCATTTGGCTGGCGTTTATACTTTGAATTTAGTAATAATAATAATAATCCATCCCGTCTGTAGTGGTAGCCTTAATATTGATAAGTTCTCATTAAAATTTTTGTTTTTGTTTTCTATTAAATCCTGATGAACTAGCTCAAAAGACAAAGCATTTATCATTCTGGAGGATCATACACACCAGACAAAGAGATTTTCACGACTTGGCAACCCAAAAGTTGTTGGGTTTATTATTGATTTATAAAGCATTATAGATTATTTATTAACATTAGCAAAGCCATTAATACAGCCTTGTTAGAAAATAGAACATTTCCTGACATTATAGAGTAGGTCAAAGATATCTTGCGCAGAGGCACACGGGAAATACCAGACAACGTCCTGCAGTTCTAAAATGTCCATTATAATGATAAAAAATATCTCAAATGTCGAATCCCTTGTGCTATATAGTGAAGCCCCAATTTTATGTATCCAACTAATGTCCTTGTCATGTAGCTTGTCCCATGCTGGACTCCGGCCGTCCTCTGCTCAGCCCATCACGCACTGTTTCTTCATATGTCGGAAGACGTTTACATTCATCATATGAGGGCAGCTGAGCAGCAGAAGCCGGACCCACCAACCTGTCCGGCGTGCAGCTCTCCACCAGCGGTTCTTGTGATGTGGTGACAGTTGGGGGTCCAGTGTGCGGCGGGGTGAGCTGTCTGGATCTGTAGCACAACACTCGCTGGATAAAGTATCCCACGGCGATCAGAAGCAGCATAATAAGCATCCCGGAAAGTTTCCGAGTGACCATGGCGATGTTGTAGTAAGTGCTGTCCACGAACTGCTTGCAACAGGTGACGGTGGTGGTGTCGTTTCCCTGTGCGCAGCAGACGTGGTCATCCCGACAAAGGTCCTGTCCACATTTTCGGATGGAATGAACAACCGTGCGAACAAGACAGCAGACAATGAACACCGCCAGCGATTGGCATCTGTGGACAAACATTGTTGTTCAAAGGGCAGAAACAATCCGGTGAATCGGTGGCAAAGCTTGGGAAACTGGATCCAGGCGAGACGATTCACTTGTGGATAATGCGCTGAAAGATGCGTTGGTTGAGAGGCTGACGCAGAGCCATCATCAACGCACCGCATGCCCAGAGGACATCTAAAATACTGACAAAAAGAAGAAAAACGGACAATGGAAATGACACAGTATGTCCATACTGAATAGTCAGCACTCAGTTTTCATCAAAGTACAACTGGGGCAAGACACAGACAGCTGATTGTGTCTCTGCAACATATGAATATGCTAATAAGCTTGGCATTAACTCCTAAGTGTACTTTAGTGAGCTCCTGATTTATTATGCACTTAGCGGGTGGACTGATGCCGTCAACAAATCGTACACACAGTCTTACAAACAATGGCTTATTCATTTCACATGAGGGTAAACAGGCGCCCAGGAAATCGACCAGTCGTGTCGGAAGCACTGAGAAATGACCCGTGATTAATCATGAAGGTAGGAGGGGGGGACATTCAATAATACAAGGGGACCTTCAGAGGCAATCGTTGAAGTTTCAGGACCGCGGACAGCGCTCATAACGCCCAATGGGGGAAACAATGAGGGGCGCTGTCCGAGGTGCTGACCCAACTAAACCCAAGTAACTCAAATGTTCTAGCTGGCAAGAGCACAGAGAATTTCCATTTGCAATATTAATACTAGTGTACATTAAAGGGGTCAAGTCAGGTCTTCCTTAAAAGGCTGCAATGGCCGATTTCCATTTAGGCTGATTAGTAACCATGATGCTGGAAGTGCAAAGAGCTGCACGTCAACAAGGATTTTTGCTAAAATTGTTGAAAATAAGTCAATAAAACAGAGAGCTGTGGCAAAAGGCAACATTTTATATTGCATCATATACCCTCACAATGATTAATCAATAATGTGACTACAAGACAAGTAGGTTGCGGGTAGTAATGGAGGGAAGTGCTCCCTAATAGCATGTCTGCTTTTCTCCACAGTTGCTGGTATTATGTTAGATGATTCTTTACAGTGGATGTCAAAGAGATGCATTGTTTGTGTATTTGTGTTAAAATACACAAACGCACGACGCATCCCTTTGTTTTGGTCTAAATGACTTTGAGTGCTTAAAACCCAATGCTAATTAAATTGTTTGCTGAAGACATCTCAGGTTCTCAGGCAAATAACTACTGAATGCTGGATTTTGTAAAGATCAGATATCAAATAATTCAGGTAACTAATGCTCGTGTGTTTTGTGTTAGGCAGGTATAAGGGGGAAAATGTCATGTTAATGTCCATTATTTACTGGGGAAAAAAAGCTTTGTCAATTGTACAGGAAATACGAGAATTGTAACAGTAATTGCAAGACGGTTTGACGATTGAGAGTAAAGATCACAGGAAGAACTTTATTTCAAGCCAGAAGGTATTTTGAATGACGAGATTAATCTCTGCATTCACAGTGGTTGTCAGCTGTGTCCAAATGTTTGTTTCTCCTGCACATACAGGCAATGTTTTTTCGTTTTTTTTTTTTTCAATCCACTGTGCAATCCTGAGTCTCAGGTGGTCGGGTTCTTTGGTGAAAGTGCTGTTGTCAAATCTGTCGGCCTTGTGTCGATTTTGCTGGAGGACAGGACAGTAATGGGTCCCAGCTGGATAGTTTGCTCTGTAAAACAAATCACATGGGGGGTCTCATTCAAAAATGTTAAACTGTTTTACAGCTGCACAAGAGTATGTAAATAAAACTGGTTTAATGCTCATCAACTGATAAAGTAAACCAAATACATACTGTTAAACACTGGGACTGTAAATCATTTACATAGATTTCCAAATTTACATTGCATTAAGGACCTGGGAATTTTGAAGAGTCAGGAAAACAGAATGCACCTTTAAAATGGCTAAAATTTAAGATATGTCTTACTTATTGATCTTGTGTAAAAAGAACAAAAAAGTAAGAATTTAGTAAATTCAATGTGTGTTGTACCTGCTGTGGACTCTGCCCCTGTTTTCATCAATCTAGCAGAGGATTGCAGAGGTTTGTTGAGTTGGCTCTGGTGCAGTTCTGGACGGAAACGGAAATAACTGGCAGTGTGTTTTCCGGGTCTGTTCTGGACTAAACTCTCCTGTGGAGTTATGTGGGGCCATGCTTTTGTGTTTGTGGTAGTTTTAGGAGATGCTGTGGACTCTGGCTCCTCAACCCGATGGGAGATATCACAGCTTCTACACGCCTGGTCGTTCCCATCAACTGACCTCCATCTGGATGAGGAGGCAAGAGAACTGAGTGAGATCATCATTGCAGCTCATAGCATGCGACATTTTCAGATGGCATTCAAGAGGTACAACTTTACTCCTTATTTTGTGATAATACTGTGCGGAGAACTGACCATGCTGATTATACAATTGCTGCATCATCAGTTTAATACCTGTTATCAATTAAAGAGCAGGCCCTGTTCTGAGAGCTGGCTGCTAACAAAACTGGAACAGCCTTGACGTAGCAGGTTATGTAGACCTGTCGAGGGGGCGGGGGGGGAGAGAGATGAGCGAAAATGCCTCATGCATACTGTACAGAGTAATGTAACTAAATTTAGTCTTTTAGTGCACTGGCATGCACTTATAGACGATAAACCTTTAATAGAAAAATAATTAACCAACCTGATTGCTGGGCTCCTGATAGAACCTGAAGGCATCAAGTTGAAACCTCAGCTTGTGCTCTTCAACTCTTGGTAAGAAATGGGAGCTTGAGTTTGTCAAGTAAGCATCAGCGAGACATCTGTTACGGTAACAAAAGATGACAAATGCAGTTACTTTAAGCTCAAAAGAAGTCACAAAAATTACAATAATCTTAACAATCTTCATTTTATGGTTGCAGGGTGGTGGGTTTTGAGATTCGGTTGTGGAACTCACCCGTAATTCTCAATAAAGTCGTATCTTAATGCAGCCTCTGCATCGGGAATTGCCGTGGCAACACAGTGGTCAACATAGACTCTCAGGGGCATGTGGTCACCAATGACGGCAGACACTTCTAAATGAATGGGGTCGCCGAGGTAGTAAGAATAAGATCCCCTCTTAAACTGCCAATCATCTGTGAAGATGTGATAATAAAAAAAAAAGAAATTCAAACATTCAAGAAATTGTCAGAAACAGAAGCTAAATGATCATGGAAACTAAATGGCATAACAATATTCTGAGGATGCATGGAAAACAAGAAGATGCTCCATCAATGTCATCCTTTTAATACCGGTCATGAGTAGCACATAGAAATCTATCTGACTCCCTGCTGAGGCCGTGGAAACAAAAGGAACCCAGGTGGGATGCACGGAAATGCCATCCACAGCATACCTCCTGAAAATAGACAGCAGAGCAATATTTCAGGGTTAATTCTCCAGAATGAAAGAATAAACCCAAGTAGAGACAGTACACACAAACTATCATGACAAAATTTACAGGACTTACTTTTCATAATGACATTCCACTGGAATAATTGCTCGCTCCAGTCTTAGCAAACCATCAGATGAAGGTTCAGGTGAGTAGACCAGAGTATTAGAATAGATAATCTTCTCCTTTGTCGACTGAAAGGAAACATGTTAGTCTTGAAGAATGAGTTTTACATGGCAATATAACAGGATTTTAATCCCACACCCAGTCATAGAACACCTGACACCGAGTGAGGCGGACACCAGTTTAAGATAAACCAAGAGCATAACTCTTACTGAGAGTTTAGTCCCACAATCCATCAGGTCGGCCCGCAGGGTGAATTCCGCCTCTCCTGATGGGATTGCTGTACATGCACTCCCCTCGCTCGCTGAACCCGAGCCCAGGCTCAGATGTCTGCCGTCCACTTGAAGGCCTTTATCAAACATGTCCGCCTGCACCACAACCTCCATCGAGTCCGGGTGGCAGTTGACCACGACGGGTCGAGGCCGCGGCGCGCTGAGCTCCGCGCTTTGCTGCGGGTTGACCGCAGTCAGTGGACGCTGGCGGTTACCGTGAGTCCTGCTTGGGATGTGGGAGTTTGTTGTTGCGCTGGAGCCTCGGCTGTACGCGAGCCGGCTTTCTGTGAGCGTGGAAACTGAGACGATGACGATAATCCACCAAAAAGAGGTTCTCTGAAAGTTGTGGTCCATTCTTGGCTTCGAGGTTTGGAAGGAGCGGCGGTGTCCGACGACCTCTGAACATATCACAGCTGTAAGTCATCTGCGGTGATTTAAAGTCCTCAAACACACCTGGGCCAGGGGTTGGACTGATAGTAACTCGGTTTCACACAGCGTGTCTGTTTATTGTTTCTTTAAACGTGTGAACATAAGAGTGTTATAGAATTTTATTGCCTAATTAATAACATAAGATAACTTAATATGCCCTCATTTTGGTGGTGTGCTCCTTTGGCAATGCTATATTATGTTCTATAAGCGAAATGCTCCACTGGGTGGCACTATAACAGCAACAATGAGTTCAGTTTGTCAGCTTGGAAATTATTTTTATCTCCATCGACTCTGTTAATGTAACTTAATTCAATTAAGTAAATTATTTCATCTGAATAGTGTTCATTCATTTATTAGTTCATTAATGTACTCTCAGTTTAGAAGTATATGTCTGTTTTCGCTTTGAGTCTTGTCCTGAGCTATAGGCAGCATCACTGTTTTAGCATCCATTTAATCATTTAAATTAAGAAATGACCTTTTGGATTAATTACATTTTTTTTTTTAAAGTACAAATTTGATAGAGAAAATTATATTGTTAAACTGTAAAATTAACAGCGTAAAATTGCAAAGCCATGAAATAGGAGAAGGGCCTAATAAGATCCTCTTGGGATAAAGGAGCAGCAGAAAGGTTTGAATACAACAAATACAGGCTGCCCCACTTTAACTACGGAAGTTGTTGGAGATGTGTGCAGTGTGAGTTACTTTTAGGAAGTAAAGAAAAAAAATCTTTTAAGTATGCTACCTTTTTACTGTTACAAACGCAGGAAATGATTTCACATCCAAAATAGCATTTTTTCCCCTTCAGATTTCATTGTGTCCCCCCCCCCCGAAACCAAACCTTTACACCCTGTACACACTGTAGTACAAAGGTTTTCAAACTGTGAGGCGTCACCTCCACATTTGTCTCTGTTTTGTCTTTTTATCAATACTAATACAATAGTATAACTTTAACAGCTTTTTCTTCTTGAGCGGTGGGCTGAAATAGGAGTAGCATTTTTTTTAGATTATTATTATCACATGAATACACATATCCTGCATTTCCTGTCCTTCCTGTGTCTGACTCTGATCCGTGTCAAAGACGTCATAAGTATCTTTCAAACACAGCAGCCACAAATATCAGTTGTGCCATTTCCACTGAACACAGCAGCGTTGCAAATTTAAACGGAAATCTATATTTCACTTTCACAACACGGTTTACTTGCATTTTTGAAGCAATTCCCAAAACAAAGTGCCCAACACTGAGCCGAACCACTTAACAAAAATCACATTAGAGTCTTGAGTTGACTAAGAAAACTTTAACTGGACATTCCCCTGTTAATTCTTTGCTATTTGTTACTAGATGTTCAACAGAATGACCATCTACTGTATTTCTGAAGACTCCAACCCACCCTGACCTCATTGTGTCTATAGTAATAGTTAATCTAAACCCTAAACCAGACAGTGAATATCCATTTACTGACTTTCACATCCCTCTGAATATCAGAAGACCTTTTACCGCCATTATTATGGTCACCTGATAGTAAGTTAACAATTAACACTGGAGTTTCCAAATGAAGTGTGGACAAACAAACGTTCCATAGCAAATGCAATTTTTCCTGTAAATCACATATATTGTTGTGTATAGATTAACCAACTCTAACTGTAACCTCTTACTTGAAGGAATGAGAGATGAATGATCAATATGTAGCTTTGACGTGTCACTGTAAATTCTCTTTATCAAGGTGAATATTACTTAAAACATCTCAAAGTAGTGCATTTTCTGGAATTAAAGTCAAAAAGCAAACAACAGTAAATAAATGAATGATAAATCAGCAGTATTAATGCAGGAGAAAAATATTTATTAGGAGATTCTTACATAAAGAACAGTGTTACATAACAATAAATAGTTGATAATAAATAGACCAGAATAAAACAAATGTCATTAATAAATAAATAGCATAGTCTGTTGATACACAGAAAGTACTTGAACACACCATTTTGATGTCAAATATAAGTTAGACGACTACATAAACTGATACACATGTACCTTTAAAAGTTATAGAGTGTTTTTTGTCAATGAACTGTTACTGTAGTTTAGGTAATTTGTATGTAAAGTGGTTCTGTATAGCTTTCTGAAATTACTAATCTGTTAGAACATGATTCATTTAGTGTGTTCTCCAGAGTTCATATATGCAATGACTCTGTTGATTGTGATGACGCGGACCTGGAAGCCCTTGAGCACTTTGCAGAGGCTCAGTCTTTCATCATAGGTGCTTGGGCGGTCTGCAGCAGCCTTAAAGAAACACAAAGCAATTATGAATGATTTAGTATAATTAGACTATATGACTGTTCTTCCAAAACTTTGAAATCAGAGATACCTGAGTAAATGCAAAAAAATAAAAAAACACAACTGTATCTTAAATTATTGTTATGGCTTCATTAAAATATCCCTTACCTCCTCTGAGACCAAGCCTGTTGGCAGAGATCGTGTAAAGCAGTTCTGTTGAGAGAAAATTATTCATTTTTAACATGTTTGACACTTAACACTGTCTAACACTAATAGTAACAATGTCTTTGATTAACAATTAAGTATTACATGAGCTGTGGCTGTTGATATAAACAATGGTAGTTGATTACAGTTATACTATTGTTTCATAACAGAAACCTCAATTTTCACCCCTTCATATACATTTTTACATGTATTATATAGGCTTATCATACATAAAACAGATGGAATAGCTTGTAATAAGTCATCTTGCCTAACAGCCCCTCAGGGGACAGCCAGTGTTAATGGTATTAAACTGAAGCCGAATACTGTAGGAGGTATGTAAAATAAGTTACCTCCATGAGTTCTCTGAGGCTGAAAAGAACAGTTGGGCCGAGTAAACTGTCAGGGTCCAGCTGAGCAGCTAGAAATTTGTAGTAGTGATGCAGATCCTCCTCAATGTTTGTCAGACATGACTCCTGGATGGAAAAACAGCAAAGACCACCATAAATACATTATATTAGATGATATTATACACTCAGTGGTACCTTTCATTACATATTAGGTTTTTGTTGGTAATATGTAGATTCAATTACATGTTTATTATTGAGGTCATTGTTGAAGGTGGTGTTTTACTGGACTACATTATATTGAGAGGTGTTTCTATTTTTTAGTCCTTCCTTTTCACATACATGAAGCGGGCAGAATATTAGAAACACCTCTGAATATGACGCAGTCCAGTACAACACTTCACTAACTATGACCTCAGTGCTAAAACATATGAATGAACTAACACCTCTATGACAGCGTCGACCATTATAGGCACCATGGAAGAATACGTAATGGCAGAACAGTTGTATTGGATTGCATTAGATTGTACAGGGGTACCTAATAAAATGATATATTTATAATAAAAATAAAAGGTTGGTCCTTCCTTTTTATACTGAATGTGTACTTTTTCAAAGCCTCATTAAAATAATACAATTTTTATACGCTCTTAAAAGATACATAAAAGTAAAAGTTGCCTACCTGGTCAAATTCTGAGTTGATAACTCCGGAGCATACTGATTGCTGTGGGACAAACACAGTACATTTATTTAGTAATATACAATTATAAAAGAACTACCAAAGGTTCTGTGTATTATATATCATACAGTTGAATGAGATACAACACATTTTAATAATAGAAATAATGAATTCTCTCTCTTGAAATACATATGAAAAATGTGAACTTTCATTATTTACCTTTGGTGCACACACAGATGCTGTTTTTGTCTCCATGTTGACCTTCACACCCTGCTTGGTGCAGTTGATTCCACTGAACAGGTTTTCCTAAGGTCACATAAAACATTTTTTAAAACTATAAATTTGAGACAGATTAGAGATGACGCTGTAGAAATGAATCTTTGTTTAGTTTTGTGGGTCTACCTGTGTGAGTGCTTTAGTGATGTTGTGTAGAAGAGATTGTGCGTATAAAACACACGAGTCTGCCATTGGTCCTGTACTCATCACTGGCAAAGACTGGCTGACCTGGCACAGAGGGCAGGCGAGCACTAGGAACAGCAGCGCAGGAGAGAAGTCTGATGGAAAAAGAGAAAAATATAGTTGCCAGAGTAAATCTTCAATATCAACTCCTTTTGGATCCAAAAAGAAAATACTGTTCAGTCAGGTAAATTATACTTACAGAGCTTGACAAGTGGCATCTTGAATAAGGCTGTTGATTCAGATTCGTTGGTGTAACTGACTGAACTCAGACATCCTTAAGTATTTTATACTCACACTGATGTAGGGATTTCCCTCAATATCACCAAATTCTTTGGCGAAACTGGAATTAACACACACACACACACACACACACACACACACACACACACACTGATGAGTAATGCAGCTTCACCTCATTGTTAACATTTCAGAAGAGGGCATAGTGAAAGGGTTATGTTATAGGCTATTTTAAACTGGAATCCTGAGACAGTCACCCCTTAACACGCCATGTCCATTGTATAATCATTTCCCAATCATTTCTGAGCAGCCATTTGAGGTGGAAATGATGTATTGATTCTCGTAGTTATCGTTGAAGTATGTGTAAAATGTAAATTTTCATTAGAATCATTCTGGGTTTTTTAATCTTTCGCTCAGATGCATTTTAGTAAAAAAAAAAATTTAATAGTTAAATTTGATCAACTGATGAGAGTAACTGAATCTAATTTTTGTCCCCATAGTCGGAGTTGTTCCCCTCTTGCTTTCAGTAATTCTCAATTACGTAAGTGTCAACACCAGTGCGAATGTGCGAATGAGCAGAAAAAACATGACTGCGCCTATTTGTACTATCTAAATATGTAAATAGAAGCACACTCACTTTCCCAAGCTGCAATCAAAGAAATTGTTTCTGTGTTTTTACAGTAAAATAACATCAACCCAGGCAGAGTTAGCTGGGATACAAAATGCAAATGAACTCTGATGAAAATCAGCCAAATATAACTTGAAACATTTATTACTGGCGTTTATGCTCTTTTTTTTTTTACAATCATCATACAGTACATTTATCAATGAAGCATACAATAGAAAAAGAAACTTTGTGTTAAATGACATTCTTAAAAAGGTGAGTGACAACACTTAAACACAGCCAGACGATGAGGCATGTTCTTCATCCTTTTAATAAAGTATCTTTTAACATTTACATACAGTATGTCCATAATTTTTTTTCATGAGATAAAATAGATATGTTTTGTCTGTGATCTGTTCATATATTTGTTTATGTTTACCCTTTTTAGCTTGAGTAAATTGTGTATAACAAAAGTGACTTTGCATATTTTTATTTAGGGGCTGTTCATATCAACATACCTCCACATTTTCGATCACTATTGTTAACCAAGAATTTTATTTTAACCCACATTTTGTCATTTTGTCTCTTCTATTGAGTAGATGAAGGCATTTAAAATTAAAATTTGTCTGAATAAAGTTGACAACGTTGTCCAGTATAGCTCTAAATTCATCTTTTAAAGCAGGTTGAAACTGTAGCAGCTTTCGAGTTACATCCAATTTTGTGTCTTAATGATCCTTAAGAGAACCTCTGTGAAGCTGCAGCAGCATTTAAACACCACTGTGAAGCTAAGCTGCAAGTCAGTACAGTGTTTATCATTTTATATTGCAACAGCTCAGATAGTAGATGTTTAATAGTGAGTTCTGATGACACAGTGCTCTTATGGTAAACAGGTGAACAAGGGATGTCTACAGATGAACTGATCAGTCCTCTTGATTATTACAAAGACAAGCAAAAAGACAAATTGATCTTCAGTTCAGTCAAGCGTGGTCCCTAGAAGTCAGCATCCTTTCTGAGACAATGGAGAAACAAGGCGTGCAGGCGCTCTCTTCAACCCAGCATTAACATACATGAGTGTACCGTGCAAAATCATGAAGAGGCAAATCAGGGCTAAGGATGGAATTAAACTGAGAGGATTCCCCTAATTCTAGGAAATATGGCATGATGAAAAGCCTGCACAAACTCAACAGTGTGCATACAGAAAGCAGTGACGATTCAGATTCTTTTAGATGTCGGGTCCTCAGTCCTTCAACAGCGTCCTGCGGTGCAATACATTATGAATGTGTCTGTGTGGTAATATTACAGTATATGGTGTATTCATTTCTCCAGTCAGCACAGATGAAGTTTCATTAGTTAACACTGGTGACAGTCCATGGAGCGGGAGGTAAAGATGGCGTGCAGACGGACACACGTGTAGATGGGGTGTTTTATTTAGATATCGCTTTCTCTGCCTGGTGCCGCTGATGTGTGTGAGCATGCCTGTCACAACAAAGACAAGAAGTACATTAGAGTGAGTACAGGACAATCTGACAGATATTGTAGCTACAAAGAAATACAAAAAATATAAAAACATAAAATATAAAGAAAAGTGAGAGAGGGGGGGATTCACCTGGTCAGGTCCTCTATGTCTACCAGCATGGCATCCTGCTCCACATGCAGCTCGTCCCTCAACAGCAGCAACTGCACCAGCTCCTCATTTAGACCTGTGTTGGATTTATGTAAAGAAGAGGATAATAAGATCTGTGAAAATTGTTAGAAAATGTCCATGTTTTTCAAAAAAACATGTCAGTGTTTAAAAATTAATTGGTTGTTAAGTCTTTTGATCTGTGTGTGTCTGTGTGTGTCTGTGTGTGTGTGTGTGTGTGTGTGTGAGTGAGAGTGTGTGTGTGAGAGAGATCTACTCACTCTGAATCTGTGAGTGTAGGTCATTTGTGATGACTTGCAGCTGTCCCAAACTCATGTCCCTCATGTCCCCCCGCCTCAGATTTCTCTTCATCAAACCCTCGCTGATGTGGGGCATATGGGGGAGCTGCGTATGTAAAACACACACAAAAAGAGGAAATTACTGCAAGTCAAATTGTTCAAAACTGGGAGGGAGTGTGGGGAGTGAATGAAGGGGGATTATACTCATATACTTATGTCATGATTACTCATGCACCCAGAGTTATGTTTTGTGATGAAAAACTTAAAGGTTGTGGAAAACAATGTTCAAAACTGTTCAGAATGTGAACAAAGACCAAATCAGTATTATCCAGATTAAATTTAGATTGATTGAAGTAAACTGGATGTATGTAGGGTCTTTTACTTATCAACAGTGGGATAAATTTTCTGCTACTTTGTTTACCAGTGTAAGGGGCTTTCTCTTGGTCTCACACACACATCCACCTACAAACCCTAACTGACCTTCTGTTCAGCCCATGTAAGTCCCTTATGTAATTTTTGTGTGCTGTGTTTACTGTAAGATAAGATAGCAAGTTATAGTAAGTAAAACTTTTTTCCCCCTTTATGTGTGCTTTAGATATTTCATTGTCCTGGACCATCTCCTAAAATGCATTTTCCATGGAAGATTAATAAATAAAGAGCTACACACACACACACACACACAAAAAAAAATCCCCTGATCTGTCTCTCACTGACTAACCAAGTCAGCCACAGGTGAACGTCTGTGCAGTTGGATTTGTCTCTCCACCTCCACCTGCATGCGGGCCATGGGTCGGGCCAGAGCCAACGCCACCCGTGCCTCCTCCTGCAGCCTCCGCTGCACCCGCCAGAACCCGCCGCAGTCATCTAACGGGTCTGAGTCTTCCTCCGCTGTGTCTCGGTCCGATAATGACGAGCTCTGCTTGCTCTGGAGAGGGAACAGTGTAGGTGATATCGTGATGTAACATCACACATTGGTTCTCACATGTGGTTATTACAGAGAGTAATGAGAGTAGTGGACAGAGACAGGAACACGCATACAGAAAAAATCTAAATCAACTGAAACTTAATGGTAGGCCACAGACCAAAAGCCTAGGTACTAAGACCCCAAATCCCTTTAATTTACTAACTTCCTAAAACTCTCTGCTGTGTTAAGATAAAAAAAAAAGGATAATTAATAATCCAACATGTATAAAGGTCATTTATTCCTCACAAAAAATAAAACGGCATAAGAAGTGATTTCTTTAATAATTTATAATAATTCACTTTTTTTTCACTTGAAACATCTGGCTGGCCAAATTGAACCTTATGGCAGGTCAACTTTGACCTGCAGGCCCCACTTTGGGCAGCCCTGATCTAATCTGTGCATACCATAGGTGACAGTGGTGTGTCCAAACTGGTCTCTGTCCTGCTGTCCTCTGCATCGCTGTCTTTGTCACTGCTGCTGTCATTGACAAAACACACTTGCAGGTTCACCCCACTCTGCCGTCTGCAGGAAAAAGCACAGAAGAGTGAAGAACATTAGGAATTAAATGTTGATCTTTAGGTAGCGACATTAAAAATGTCTCCGAGTCAGAGTGAAACCAATGGAGACTTTTAACCCTCAGTGATGTTTTGCACTCTAAATATTATTATTACAAAATGATGCCCTTTTAATAGATGCACAAGGTATAATGACAGGGATGGGTAACCAATCGTGAAAACTATTTAGTGTCAACAGCAATAATGATAAGTTGATGTTGAATAATGTCAAAATTATTATTTCTGTTCAGTAAAACACACAAAAAAGGGTACACACCAGGTGTTTTATGGTTTGGGCTTAGTCACAATAAGATAAATCTTAATGCTACAGAATATAACAGGTTGGGAAAGATCCTGTTCATAAATTATGTAAATGATATGTTACACAATACATACGAGTTATGTGTGGGTGTCAGCATACTTTTGACCAACAAAGTGGTCAGTGATGTCACAGTCTGTGACCTAATCAAAGTGAAACGAAAGCAGTTGAAAGCTTCAATCAAAATTAAAGCCACTAACATAACATCTGTCCCTCCACAGCAGTTACGTTAAACCTCAGCCTTTCCAACTATTCATTCAATTCCAGATCATGATACTGACTGAAAGAACCTAACAATCCAAAGTATACATCCCCCCCAACACTACAATGAGAACAATAACTAACACAACATCTCACGAACTGGACAGGGTGGTGTTGGAATTTCCACCCCAAGAGGGAGCACCTTTACCTTCACTGGAGGTCACGAGACTCTCCGCCAATAACAGCCACAGACTCATATCAGGCATCACTTCTTCTTTCAGGCACATTTGGACCAGCGACAGAATGGCACTTCCTTAAACAGTAGCCAATAACATGGGGGGAGCCCTTGTTGGATATAACACGCCCTCAAATGAAAAAGTCAAAGTGCCAGAAAGTTACTGGAGGTCAAATTTATCATGAAAAGAAAGCAGTTGTTTTGCAACTGAAGTGGCTTTTGTTAACCATCTTGTATCTGATGTAATGGAACTCCTTCCACTGCGTGGGTGTGTCTGTGCTTGTAGACATTCAAAACCTCAATTGCAAACATGAAATATCATGTTTTCAATGGAAAAAGGATTTCAGATGTCACACCTGCTGTACATCAAATTCAGTCATCATCATTTATGGACTGAAGACTTTAAGACACGACTATTAATTAAACTTTGTTTGTATTTCACTTTTATATAGGTTAGTGCAAGTCACAATGCTGTACAAGTGAGTAACACTAATAGAATAGAAAAATAATGAACACAAATTCAAGTCAAAATGCAGAATTATCATGTTTAAACGGAATAAAAAGGTATAATACATAATGAAGATATAATTTGAAGATGTAATATGAATATGTTTTGTATAGGAAATTGAAACGGGGACAAGGGAAATCTAATACCTAAATTATATCACACCGTGAGAATTTCTTTAAAATCTGTCTGATTCAGTTTCTGTCTTAGTAACTTAGCACGTAATAGAGGTTAACCACTGTGCAACCTCCTCTGTGCCTACTCTTTCTATACTCTAGTTCCTTGTTCTGCTATCGATAGTAAACTAGTTATTGTGTAGTCTAATGAAGATTCCCTTGGACTGACTTTAAGCAGTATTCTGTGGCTTACAGAGAAACCTTTCATTTTCTATCTGCATGTAATTTAGATTAGTCACTCATTCTCTTCCTCTGTTAGATGCCAAATCTAATATACGCACAGAGACACAGGATAATGCAGTGTATTTACCTAACCTGATAGTGCATGCTGCACTCACATGACTGTCTCTGACACTTCCACAAAGGACCCAATGTCATTTACTGTCATTTACACTTGACGCCAACAAGCCAATGAGTTGCTGACATAAAGTCTACAAAACATACAATTAATTTCATGTTCAGGGTTTATAATAGATTAATGATGTTTTCTGTGAATCAATAATTAATTGAATCTAGGGCACTGTTCATCCAAGAATAAATTCTGGGACGACATCTAAAGATCTAAAGTGTCAGCTGTCGGAAGCTAAAACACAAAAATATTGGTGCCGGCCTTCAAAAGGCTACTTTGATCATACCGTAACACACTCATACACACACACACTCGACCCAAACCCACCGGGAAGATGGGCCGTTCTTGCTGCAGCTGGTGTAGATGACTGGCTCGTCGTCATAGAAACTGCCAAAGGCAAGTTTCTGCCTGATGGACTCTCTCTCATTCCTCTGGGCCTGCCATAGAAAAGAGAAAAATACATGAGTATAAAGAATATTAATAAAAGTGTTGCTGTTGCTGTAGTTTCATCTCTGCTTGACGTATACTTGTGGGAAGAAATATAAAGCTGGGTGGTTAAATTAAGGCTTAATACACGTAATGTACCAAATGACTTTGAACATTCTGCACATTCTGGTTTAGAGGAGGAGGATGAAAGGAAAACAGAAGAAAGAGGAACTAAGGAGGAGGGACAAATATGGATTATGAAGAGAAAGGTGGATGGAAAGAATGTAGCAAAGTCATGCAATTTAATTCCCTGCCTTTCACACATTAATGTAATCCAGCTGTAGGCTCACACATGATACTGCCATTATAATTCTATAAATATGTTAACTACACTATCAAAGCTTAGCCAACACATTCATAAAAATCTGTCCGTTGGCCTTTTCTTCTACTCTACCATAAGGTACAGACATTACTCCTTACATAAAAATCCTCCTCTAATTTCATGTTCTGTCTCTAAATAAAAATAAAATAAAAATTATCAAGTTTAAATAGTCCATTCAAGATTGTACAGTCCACCATGCACACAGAAAACAGAATATCCTGTTCCTCCTGTTATACAGGTGCTACAGTAAATCTTGAACTACATTTGCAACCTGATTAAAAAGGCACATCGGGCAGATTGAGGCGGTCTGATTTTCTCCCACAGTTCAGAGACATACAGATCAGGTGAAATGGAAACTATGAATATGTTTGTGCATTTGTCTGGCTATGTGTTAGCCTTGTTATAGACTGACAACCTGCTGACAACCTGTCTAGGATGAACCCTGCCACTCACCTGATGTATCCTGGGATATAGATTGATGATAAATAGGATGAAGTAATGAATGAATGATTCATGATCATTAACAGTGACATGACAACATCCAGTCTCAACATGCAGGTAAAGCATACAGTGTGGGGTTTTTTTGGGTTCCAGGTCCACACACCAGACCTAAACACGGAAAACAAAATGGATCCATGCTGTTTTTAAATATTTGTCCATTTATTGTTAAATGCATGTTTTTCTGTCAACAATGAAATAAGTGACACTTCTATTCTTATAGCAATCAACATAACCCTAAGGTATTTGGTAATCTCTTGCAACCACAAGACTATAATTGCTGTAAGTCATTAATAACGATCTTCCTTTGCTCACTTGTCTATTCACAGTCCATCATCAAGACAGCAGCCAATATCTTTAGTGAAATGGTTCAAAATGCCATGTCATTCTGCTTTCTGTTTGGCAACTTCATGAACTATCTTCGCGGACATCTTTTCTTCTCTTCTCCTAATTCTTTTATACCAGAAATGTTATTTTGCGTTTGTACTCAGCAAGTAGAAGTTCTACTGCCCTGATTAAATGTTTATATCCGACCCTGAATCATTTATCATTTCAATCTCAGCTTTCACCCTGTAGCTACCCTTAGATCTTATTTGTTTTTTACTTTGAGCCGCATCTTTTTGTGGTGCCCAAATCTAAAGCAATAAAGGTCTCACAGGTTTTATATTCTAATATTATAAATCATGGAATTGTGCCAAGTGTCCACATATCCTAAGAATTGTTGGTTGTGTTTGTGATTATTGAATAACACTTCCAAAATTAGACATGTTTCTCCACGCTCTTTCTCTAAATAACCTCAAAACCAGCTCAAACACAAACACCCTCTTTTTGTGACGCATCATTAGATGAGGCTGTGATGTAAGAGCATAAATCACATAAATCCCTCGCCCAACCAACGCTCTGCCTCCTGCTCATCCAGTTCAGACAGCCGGATGTCCTTCTTACCAGCACACTGTCTATATACATATCACACACACACACACACACACACACACACACACACACACACACACACACACACACACACATTCACACACAACCTATTTTACCCTCCCTGAAGAAGGTATGTGGTATAGAAAAGCATGATCATTGATGGTCATGGTTACTGTAAATGAAAAACTGAACAAAGCATGTTATATGATTATACACACATCCATTGTATGAGAAATTATTACAAATTGGACTGACATGTAAAAACACAGAGAGAGAACAGGTGAAGATCACATATGAACACACCCACGTCACCTCACAATAACACATCCATTATGGCTGATTCATCTGAAACAGCTCCCCATGATGGATACCTATCACGTATACCTATACGTTATGCTACATATGCTACACTCTCAGACATTACAAACACAAATCCACACACCTGGTAAACGCGTTTCTCCTGGTGCACCATCCTTCAGCGCATCGTACTAAAACAGCCGCCCTGCCCTTCTCTACACTGCAGTGAAGCTAGACCCAGGAGACCCTCTCATATACTGCAGCTCCGTGCAGGAGAGCGAGGGAGGGACGAGAGAGCAGTGAGGGGAGGAGGGGGAGGCAGCAGAGACGGGAGGGGGGAATAAGGGAGCAGGAGAGGAAAGAGTGGGAAGAGACGGAAGCGGAGGAGGAGAGAGAAATGGAGGAGGGAGGGGAGAGACAGAGCTGCTCAGTGCTGCCACTGCTCTCCTGATCTGTTATCTGTTCCTCCATCTTCCTCACTTGCTTTCTTTCCCCTGGCTTCTCCTCTTTTTTCTCCCCTTTTTCTCTTCATCAAAGGAAAAGAACAAATAGCAGCTGCTAGAAATCTGTGTCCATATAATAGACCATATAGATTTGTAGAAATAAGGGTATATGATTGGTTGCACGGCAAGGTGAGAGATACGGTGGGCTGAAAAGGCTGTGCTAAACAGTCTGATAAATGAGACTGCAACCATGGAAAACAAAACCATTAAAGAGGCTAGGACCAATCAATAATAGCTCCTTTAATAAATATCAGCATTTTTGAGCAACATTGACATGCAGTGGTGCCTCTAGAAATGTATCATAGGAGTAGCCAGATTAGGCCACTGAAAATCCTCGGGTGGCACACCAAAACCAACAGCTAGGGGAAGGGTCGGAGTGTGACACAGTGACATACGTACAAAAGTGGCTGGTTGGCTATGCATTTGTTATTTTCTTTCACATTAAAAGGTCCAGTGTGTAACATTTAGGGGGATCTATTGGCAGACATGGAATACAATATTTATAGGTACGTTTTTATTCGTGTATAATCACCTGAATATAAGAATCGTGTTTTTGTTACCTTAGAATGAGCTGTATTTTGCTACAGATGCCGCTGGTCACCTTACATGTTGAGCTGCTATGTTTCTACAGTAGCCCAGAATGGACAGATAAAACACTGACTGTATATAGGACCTTTCGTTATTCGCTAGTGTTGCAGCCACCATAGTTTCTCCTACACACTTCACAGCCCGTTCTCAGTAGGATTTAGTGAAATCTAGTGGTGTAGTTGCAAAATGCAACTCCCTTGCTTCACCCTCTCCTTCGAAGTCCAAAGGAGAAACTATGGTGGCCACGAAACAGGCGAAAAAACGGCCTTATCTAGAGCCAGTGTTTGTATTGCCTGTTCTGGGCTACAGTAGAAACATGGCGGTTCAACATTGCAGCCTTCATGGAAAGCCACCCCTTGACATGTGCCACTGCTAACATGGCGTCTGCATCTGCTCATTGGCCCAAAGCAGAGAAGTGCATTTTTAATTGCACGTTCTCTGTTTGTTTTGTCTCCTAGAGGAATTTCCTCCAACCCCATTCCACATAACAGAATCAAGTGTGATGAGCCGTAAAAGAGACGAGGAAGCACAGGGTGTACGTGCCTACACGTGCAAAGAGAAAGCCAAATACACACACACTCTCCCACAGTTAGTTCCCACAGTGCTGTGTCACAATGCAGCAGTGGGCTGATTAAACAACGTAACATTTTCGAGTCATCTTTCATCCTTCATCAGCATCAGAGGCCGAATATCCTCAGCCTTTTAGTCTTTTGGCATTTGTCTAAGGGCAATGTACACCATTATAATCATATATTGTACCTACACTGAATCAGATATGCCTAGCCTTTAGATTGTAATGGCTGTTATGTACATATTGTTTTGTATCATCAGCTTTTAACCTAATTTTTGACTCGAGATTGTTTGTGTTTTTCTATTATTCTGAGAAGTTATTTGTGGAAAACTGGATTTGTGCAGAATCTGTCTGTCTCCCTCTTTTTTCTTGTGGCTAAGAGATTCAGTGGAATTTGTCAGAACAAATGGACTGGGAGGAGTAATTCAGTACTTGTGCGGCCCAGACAGAAAGAGAGAAAGACAATCACTCACAGAGATGCTGGACAGTCTGGTTCGCCCTCCACTGTTACAGTCTTCTGCCTGTGGTGCAAAGATATCCTGGAGCTCCTTGGCCCAACTGCGGCTGTTTACCATGTAGCCTCTTCCTCCTGTCTGGTGTTGTATGTCACAGTTGCCATCATCTCCACAGTCCTCCCACCAAGGGCCTGTTGTGGCTTTTCTCATGAATACCTCTCCCTCCTCTTCCTCATCCACGTCCACATCATAGTCCTCCATAAAGACAAACTGTGTGGAGTGGGTGGAGCAAATGTCAGGGTCGAAGGAGGGACTAAGTGCCCTGGCAGGGAATATGGCCACAGATTAACTAAAGATAGTCAGAGGTGGGACACAGATCTCTGAAATCAACTGCTTGAATGCTGTCTGTGTCAAGTCTGTGTTTCCTATGATCATACAGATAAAATAGATACATATATTTGTCATAATATTTCCCATGTAGGTGCTGTGTTCCTATTTTATGGTATTTCAGTCTCTGATTATACTTTTAATTTAGTCTATAAAACAAGTGACAAGACATAAATTCTGCTAAATTTACTGAACCACAACCGCATAGCATGGTCTTCCACCTTAAACTCTCATCACTGATAAAATAAAGTCAAATTATAACACATGCTGCACATAACACTCACCTTCATGGTAGAATACAAACCACTTCTTAAGATGATTCAAATAAAAAATTCAAAAGCAGTAATAACAAAACAGACATACATGCATTGTTGCACAAAAAGGACAACTGCTTCTCCCATGCTTGACAGAGACTGTTAAAGGATTTAAAAAGATTTCTTGCTCCTCTGCAGAATAGTTGTTATTCCTGAGCTCAGTGCTCTATAATTACAGGCAGCTAACACAAGAACTGTAGTAAATGAAAAGGAAAAAAGAAAAGACACGCATCCTTGCTTTCAAAGACCAGCATTACACATCTCTCTGCAGACACGTGTGGCTTAGTTTCAGTGATGTGTGTAGATTAGTGTGTAGTCACGGTGTGCCCAGATGAGAGCACCATTTGGAAGTATATAGGAACAGACAGAATGGGGGTGTGTGTGTGAGCGCTGTAGGAATGTATTGGAGCAAAAACTTTTTTTTCTCCTTTTAAAAAAAAAAAAAAAAACTAGCCATTTAAAACCCAATCTCAATTTATTCCAAAAGAGGTGCAAGAAAGGTCTGCAACACTCAAAGATACTTAGATCTCCAGGTTGTCAGGTACAACCAGTCTTAATGTGGCAGTTCCACTGCCACATTAAGAAAGGAGCACTGGGTATATGAAAAGTAGCTGGATGAGATCATTTCTCATTTCTGTCAAGACATTAAAAATTCAGAAAAAGTTGGTACAGAATGAGATAACCAGCAGAACATCAGGCATGTGGAATTAGGATTGTGCATTTCAAACTGGCTGGCAAACAACCAGGTCTTAGTCAGATTCAGTTTAGTCAAGTTTATAACCCAAAATGACAAGTTTTTCCTCAAGGGGCTTCATAAGGACCCCCTCCCCAAACTCTGAACAGACAGAAGGGATCCAAACCATTTGAGGGGCACAATCTACTTTAAGCGTGCTGCACTTCCTCCCCTAACATCATAGCATTTCCTGCTGAAAAAGCATTGTACAATTGAACATTTGTGCACTTGTACATTGAAAGACTAGTTACATTGAGCAAATACCATGTAATCCATTGCTCATGATCCTGTCTGTTAAGCATAGCATTGATTAGCATTGTAAACATTTAAAAAATAAAAAAAAAGCTTCGGCATAAAAACCCAGTTCTAAAGCTTACAATGTACAGGTGGAGATTAAGGCCCTGGGCCATGCCAAAAGTGTTAAGCTCCATAGACCTCAAGGGAATTAAAATATGCAGAATAAATCAAGCATGAAACAGTTTCAAATAAGACCAGTTTATTGAAGTTAAATTTCCAAGCATCATAGGACACTAGCCCCTGAAAGAAAGAAACAATGTTAATGATTGAAACACTTAAAGTCATACCAAGACAATCACAAGTGAGTCTTACCATCTGAGTTAGACATGTTTAGGGTAGAGATTTTTCCAGTCAAACTGAAAATTGTCTTCGCCTGTTGAATGGTGAAGCCAGGGCACAGATTGCCAGTAGTTGAAGCCTGGATGTGGGGGTGGGTGAGCTCGAGCCTGGAGATCAGATTTGTAGCCAGCTGGAGGCATGTATTTCTGGTCATATGGGAGTTTGCCAGCCTTGGCCTGGTATGAAACGTATGGAGTGAAGGGAAGCTGGTAGTAAGGTACATATGGACTCAGTGGGCCTGGATACTTGCCACTGCTGGGTTTTTTTGTACATGAAGTTGTTTGAGCTGTGGCAGCAGAGGCAGTTGTTGGCTTTGTCGTCGGTTTAGTGGTGGGAGTTGGGTTACCCGGCTTAGCAGTTGTGAGAGTTGGAGGCTGTGTAACTTGCATTTGTGGGTATGGTCCATAGTAATGTTGGATAACTGGGTGGTAGTAGTACACTTGGGAATTTTCAGGGAGTCCTGGCAGTGGTTGTCCTGCTGGAGGGTAGTAGGGATAAGGAATATATAGTGGGTAATAGGGGTTTGGTATTTTTTGAGTAGTCATGGTGGATGAGGGGGCTGTTGTGGTCATCTCACTAGTGAGAGGTCCAGTAGTTTTGGCAGTTGTAGTGGCCAATGGTGTAGCAGTCCACACTGGCACATTTGGATAGGGTGGTAGAGCGTAGTAGGGGTATTGAGGCAAATAGTAAGGGTAGTAAAAATTGAGAGAGGCTGGAGGATTCGTTTGAGGGGGTTTCTCTGTAGATGGCTTGGTAGTCGTAGTAGCAGAAGGGGCTTGTGCCATCATATACATGTAGTTATACCACTGCCAATAGGCATTATAGGGGTTGGACAGGGGATGTTTTGTATGGCGCTTATGACGGGCCCCATGAGGGAAAGCAAGTTTCCAGGGCTGTTGGACAGCCTTGGGGGTAGTCGAAGCAGGTGTTACAGCAGAACTTGTTAACATGGGGCATTTGAATTTAACAGGAGTCTCAAGCCAACTCATTGACAACACGTAGTTGCCATTCTGAAACAAGAATGTGATTATACATTTAACCCAAGGTCAACATTTATAGAAGAGTTGGCTTCAACTTTAGAATGCTACCATAAAATCATCTTAACCCAATTGGGAATTAAGGCATACCTCTTGTATCACATTGCAGCCATCGAAGGGAACAACCAAAATGAGGCCTAGTGCATTTTGCTTCATTGAGTAGCCACAGGTTTCAGGCACCTGAAGCAAATGCAGAGGACGTGCATTGCCTGAGGGAGTGGTAAAGATTATTTTATGCCAGCCAGTCATGTACTCACTGCTTTAATATAAATTGACATACAAGCTGTAATAGTTGTGTTACCCATGTAAAGCTGCAAGTCAGCAGCTCTGGGTCCCATGGCTCTCAACTTCATCTTCTTTTGACCACAGTACAGGGAAGGATTCAAGCGCCTCCATGCAGCTTCATTGGCCATGGCATCCTCCAACTGTGACATCTGCACCAATATCCCTTTAGGAGTAAAGAAGTTCAGATCCTGCATATCCTGCTATACTTACATGCAGTAAGTCAAATGAACAGATTACTAGACAGCAAAATTGTACCTGTGCCATCTGGTTGATCCAAGTCAATGTGCAGCAATCCATCATTTTCTGTGGCAGCAGCAGAGATAGACCCTGACTGGGAGTCAAGCTCTTTCCCATTGAAGAGAATGCTTCCCGTCCTTACTTCCATCACCACGGCCTCACTAACTACCTTGTCCTGCTTTCTGCTCAGACCTCGCAAGCTAAAACAAATTAAACTCGGCATCAAAGAGCACAGGACTAATATGACTGCTACAGTATGACATGATTGGCGTCCCCTTTCAACTTTACCTGCCATTGTGCAGAAGCATCCACAGCAGATGGAGAACACTTTTCTATAAAGCAGAACAACTGAATCACAGGTTTTAGTATTGGGCATACACCGGCTCATCAACCAGTCAGACACAACTTCAACTACAGCTCACACCTGTGTTCATTTAACTTGCAACAGGAGAGCTCGTTATGCCTAATTTGTACTCTAAGGTCAATAAATGAAGTAGGAGAAGTGTCATTTGTTTTGTAGGTTATGTGAATATTAGCATTTTCCAGTGTTGTTTGGTTCTAATGTTTTAAAATGTGGAGTCAAGTTCAGTGTGTTAATTGAAAGGTTTTCTTGCTGTTTCTTCTCACTGTTTTCCTCAATTTTATTCTATGTCTAGTGTTTATATAAACTGTCAGCATAAGTAGTGTTACATGCAGGAATGTGTGCAGTACAATATTGTTTCTCCAGTGCTGCATTTAAGTTTCATAGCCAAGTTTTTAAGTGAATATGCAGACACAAGAATGATACATACCTAACATGAGACAGCTGTGTTTGTATGCATAGCTGAAATAACTTTTGATGGTGAAAGATTTTATAGGAGTAAAACAACTTTTATCTCAATTACATTTGTTTGGTTTTTTTCTACAAAAGTAAAGGTAGCATATACAGTATAAAAAAATCCAGCCTTTTATGACCTTTTTCTTTAACGATTACTATTATATTCTACAAAATAATACAGTAGATTAAACTGTAATGATCCTATGAGGAAATACAAAACAAGTTTGAAACAATAAATATTAGGCTTAAAGATTTTAAAATGGTAAAGCGACTATAAACACAGACAAACGATGGGAGAATTGTGAAGATATAAAACAATATCAGCAGTACACGCACAACAAAATGAATGGAAATTCACCAGGAATGTGTATAAATGTTTTTCACTCAGTTAAATATAACTTGAATTGATTTTGTTACCCTTAAAACGGTTAAGTTTTATAAATCATAGATGTTTTTTCAGTAGAGAGATTACAGGAAATCAAAAGATAGGGAATGACAGGGAACATGGGTCCCCAGCCTGACTTGGACCAGGGACATTGGGTTTGACATGGGAATGCACCAGTATTAATCCAAACATATCACATATAATAGTAATACACTGACTGGGACCATTTTTTGATGAGTACTTAAACGTACTGAAAACAAGCAGGTGACCACAGGATTCAGGGCTCTTATTCAAACAGACTTACCTTAGAAGCTATAAAGCTTGCAAAATCACCAAGTCACACATTTGACTGTTTAGAATTAACATTTACACATCTTGACCTTCCTTTAGTATAAAACATTTCTTACTTTGTTTATTGATGATGTCTTCTTTTTCTTTAAGGAATCAGGATGTCACCTGTTAGGGTTTTTTCTAATTTTCAGCAGTTGTGTAAAGTAACTATGTATATTTACTCAAGTATTGTACAATTTTGGGAGAGCTGTACACTAGGGATTTCCGTTTTCTGCTTTATACATTCAAATTAGCTACACCTTGACCAGCTTCAGCATTAAAGTGACAGTACAGTAGACATTACATCATTATTTTAATTTGAATTAATATGCTATTATTTATATTCCAATAATATAATTCTGACTGTCATACAACATAAGGACTACCTTTACTTCTGAAACTTGAAATATATATTTACTTGCTAACATTGCTGTACTTTTCTGTGGTATTGCTACTTTTACTATAGTACATCTGACTACTTCAATCTTCTGATTTCCAGCATTTCCAAGAATGTTACAGCCAACCACACCATCAGTTTAAGGTAATTTGAACACTTATGAGCAAGTATAATCACGTCAATTCCTTTCTGGTGAGCCAAAATTAGGAGACGAGACACATGCTAAATAACACAATTTGTTATTTTAAAGTTGTCTCATTCTCTCAAGTTCTTCTGGTAAAGCTAATGCATAAGCTTGTGCTTGTCATGATCTTAAAATGTGCTAGCTAATTTGAGACTCTCACCCAGAGATTGTTGCGCCATGGTGCCACCATGTGGACACCTTCCAATGGCCCCATTAGAGCCCCACATTGACAGAATTAGAGACTCCCCAGACACCAAAAAAAAAAAAAAAAAAACAATTTTACCTCCAAAATGAGTGAAATGTTCATTTGCATAGGACCAACTTCACGATACGACTGCAATGTTCACTTCCCCCACTGACTCCAACATTGTTAAAGTAGCCAGCAAAATAATTGCCACACTGCAGCTTCCTTTGGCAGATATGGACAAGTTTTGTGAAAGGCAACGTCTAAGCCAACTGACCACCCGCTCTTGGAAGAATTAGTTTCTCCCTTTTGGGTGGAGATACAGGTCTAAAATTTTCCATTTTGTCCCAAGGACAAAAAATGGCCTAAGTGTGTAAGTTGTTTCAAGTCAAATTTCCCCTTGAGTTACAAGAATGAATTTTGATATGAAACAAGGTGGTACTTACTGTGATGATGACCCACTTCAGCCAGAGTAAGACCTTTGAGTCCAGACATACCTGGAAGTTGTCTATTGAAATATGCCTTTACCCATGACAAGAATGATGTGAAAATTAACTTGTTTCGTATTTGAACTCAGTCATATGGAAAAGTTATGACAAATGTACATAGTCCATGCAACCTTTTGTTGTATCAAGCATAAGACCCTGCCAATGTGGACTGCTCACCTTGCCTACACCCAGTAACACTTCTTGGTAAGCCTGGAATCAGGAGTGCCCATTTCTCCGCACAGTGGAAATTATCAGGGCAGTTGGAGGGTTAAAAGTACAGACAACTCACTTGTGTTTTTCAAACCATTTATTAGAATGGCTTCAACAGGCTAACCTTGAGGGGGATACTGGATAAAGAATGGATAGTGGACATGGGGATGAAAATGTGGCTGATCGTCCGGGAACGGAGTCAGTGGGGTCTCGGTTGTAGTCGTAGGTGTTGTTTGTGGCGTAGGAGTTGGATATTTGGGATAATATGGGATCTGTGGAGGGAAAGATGGAAACTTGTGATAGGGAGGAATAGGGGGAGGGAAAAAAGGATATGGGGGCAAGAAAGTTTGATATGGTGGAAACTGTGGTGACTGAGGTTTAGCTGTGGTTGATTGAGTGGTTTGTTTGGCAGTATCTGGCAGAGGGCCTGGGAAGGACCAAGGGAAGTAAGGTGGGTAGAAAGGAAAAGCTACCATGGGCTTAGCAGTGGTGGTAGTAGTTGGTGCAGCTGTTGTGACTGGAAGAGGGGGAGGAAAGTAGGGATTATAAGGACCAGGGTAGAAGGGGTACAGTGGAAACTTAGGCATTTCTGGTTTCTTTGTAGTTGCTGCCATTGTAGGTTCTGGCTTAACTCCTGGAGGGTACGGAAAAAAGGATGCGGCACCTGCGGCACCTGCGGCACCTGCGGCACCTGCGGCACCTGCGGCACCTGCGGCACCTGCGGCACCTGCGGCACCTGCGGCACCTGCGGCACCTGCGGCACCTGCGGCACCTGCGGCACCTGCGGCACCTGCTCTTGTGGGGCAGGTGTGGGAGCAGGTGCTGCAGCTTTTGGACACCAGAGTGAGACCGGCATTCCCTGCCAACGCATTGGGAGCACGTAATTTCCACCCTATGGAAGAGAACACAAGATCACAACTCAGTTACACACTTCAAACTTTAACCTAAGACTGCAACTAACAAATTTGCATTACTGATTATCTACAGAGTTCATTTAAGAAAATGTTTTTCTAGATGTAACTGAAAAAAAGTGATCACTCAAATTATAACAAGTAAATGCCCATTTTGTGCAATCCAAACACGATATAATATATTCTATCAAAAAAAAAAAACACATTTGAGGAGCTGGAGACATCAGATGTCAGCATTTTTGCTTGACTTAGTTCTAGAATCAGTTCTGATTTTGATTCCAATTTTGCCCATTAGAACAAATCGTTTCTGTATTTTGCTACACCACAGGAATATTTTTAAATTACCAGGATTATAAACTGACTCAACCCTTTCCACCATTCAGTAAACATTACCTCTTGAACCATGTTGCAGCCATCATAGGGAACCAACATAACAAGTGCAAGAGAGTTCCTCTGCATGTTGTAGCCACAGGCAGAAGGGACCTGGGACAGAGGCACCGGAGCTGCATTTTCTGCAGAGAAAAAGAATAGCAGTCATTGGTGGGAAATACCTACATTGTACAGTTGCCTTTAAGATGCTGTAGGTAATAAACCTCATTTACCTTGTTCCACTACAAACCGTGAAGCTCCTGGCCCCACTGCTCTGAACTTCAACTGGTCCCCACCACACTGCAGGGAAGACGCCATGCGCTTCCACAATGCTTCTCTGGAACTGGGATCTTGTCTGTGTTCTCCTCTGTAGTCTCTTGGCCAACCTGGCAAGAAATATGAACACGAGTTCACCACTACACTGCTATTATTTTACGAGTTATGGTTGTGGAAATTAAGTCGAGTGAACAGCCCTTGCAATTCAATACAGTTGAGAGATTTCTACCTGCAGAGTCCGCTTGATAAGCAGCTTCATCATCCACAGAAGTGTTTGAGGAAGACTTCTTGGTCCCATGTTGTGACTCAGACCCCTTCTCAAAAACTCTCCCGAACACAATTTTCCCCTCTCGGACACCTATCGTTTTGACTGCGCCGGCTTCTTTTCGCCCCTCTCGTCTTTCTGTTTTCTTAAGTCGAGAACAGTCTGTCGTTTGTGCAAAATAACATGCGAGAATAACAGCTGCAGCCAAGTACACCGTAACGCGTTTCCCTTTTGGCATCATCATTCTCCTGTGACTTCAGGAAATGCTGAGAGCTGGTGATACAGTGCTTCGTTGCAACTATTTGAGTTGGGTAAAATTGTCTGTCAGCGAATCAAAAGCTGCGGCAGGCGGGCTAATTGATTGTTGCTCTAATGACCTGGTATTGGTTCCAGCTGGGGAAGGTTAAGGTTGCAGTAAGGTCATGCTGGGAGTAGGAGGAGATTACTATGGACCTCAATTACCCACTTATCATAAGATTTTATTGTCTTGTTTTTGTTTTTTCAGTTCAGAACCTGACTATAAGTTGACTGATCAGTTAAAAAAGTGAATCCATACCCCATTCCTAACCTAATAACTGTGTTAATAAAGAAATAAAGAATAAAATTAGCCCATCAGAGAGGCCATCTGACCATATAACCAGCTGGGGAAAGAAAAAGCACAACCGCTCTGCCATCTTTTGGAGAAATTGTGTTAAAACAGTTTGTCACTGTGGATGGAAAAGTGTGCAAAAGAGAGTTTTGAAACAGAGGGGTGAAAAAACTCATCGTCTTGTCAAACCTTTAATTAAAGACCCTGCACCTTATAAACTTTAAAGGCTGTATTCCCACATTCCAGTTACATAATGATTTGGCCAACTTGGTGGAGCTTCAGAGTTCATTCTTAACTTGTGATATGAACTGAAGCTCAAGGGCAGCTAAATGGACCTTGATGTGAGATTGTTTTGATTTCTAGTCACATATTAAAGGAATCTAATTCAGATACATTCAAAAACAAATTCAGATTCAGTCTAACAAGATCTGAAACTGTCTTCTTCCTAACTGTACACAACAATTATAGTAAATGTCAGGATCAACCTGCTCCTCTGCAGACCAAGTTGGAGTCTACAGTCAGCACTTTGACAGTATTATACAGTACATTATACTTGTTTTACATAATAGTCACCAGTCAGCTTTTAAAATGAGGTTCTATTATGTTTACACATTGCTGTAGACGGCTAATTCATCTCCAAGGTTACTGACAACACTGGCACGAGTGACACATTGAGGTGAGTGCATTACCTTGCGTGTACTTATTTTTTATTTTTTTTTGTTTCATTGTAATATATTCCACTTAAATCACAACATAAATCCTGTATTTTGGGCAAGCAGATGGTGGCAGAAGGTATATTGTTTTGTGTCTTCTTTTTTTTGTCAATCTTGCCATTGTCTGTCTCTTCCTCAATATAATAATTGATTGATTATATCTTGGAAAACATGGGGCTGATTCTGCTACTTAATTGTATAAGTGTGAGAAATAGAAACAGAATGTAGTTAAGAGTCTTTGAGATGTGTTTCATCTGATTGCTTCCCAATCTATCTATACTGTATATACCTTCAGCAAGAGAGAAAGCTTACACAAGCAGTTAATGCTGTTAATGTTGTCTCGCAGGTTCTCATGGAACCTGGTGGAGCCTCCTGCCATGGTCCTGCTTGACTGCCATTGCCAATACTGTTGTTGCTGTGCACCTGTCTGTCTGTCTGTCTCTCGCTCTCTCTGCCTCTCCCTCTCGCTCTCTCTCTCTCTCTCTGCCTCTCTCTCTCTCTCTCTCTCTCTCTCTCTCTCTCTCTCTCTCTCTCTCACCCCAACTGGTCGAGACAGACGACCACCCACCTAGAGCCGGAGGATCTGTCCTAGGTTTCTGCCTTTTAACAGGCAGTTTTTCCTTGCCCTTGTCGCCAAGTGCTTGCTCATGGTGGTACTGTTGGGTCTCTGTAATTAATGTTAAAGAGTTCGGTCTAGACCTGCTCTATTTGAAAAGTGTCCTGAGATAACTTCTGTTATGAATTGGTGCTATACAAATAAAATTGAATTGAATTGAATTCTGTGCTGGGACAAATACATGGAAAACAGTGACTTCACTCCAGTCAGGACAGACCAAAAGATGAGGTCCAGCTTTTCCTGTGAGTCTGCTCCAAGTATGATTAAAATGAAATTAATAGAAAAAACAGCTTACTGCAAAGGGAAATATTTAAGTTTCTATTTTATTCCAGCCAATGTTTACTTCTCTTGATGGGACTTAATTCAGTGATGCCACAATGACTTTTCTTGTTCCATTAGATGCTGCTGCTGCTACATTAGAGGATGATCTCAGTGTGCCACTATCTGTCCTGGATGACCCTGTAAGACAATAGATTTTCCCCTTTATTACTTTTTAAAATAAATAAATATCTAATTTACTATAGTATTTGATCAAGTACTTGATAACTTCATTTGATTTGTGTTTTTCTTTGGGTTTGGTAAGAGAATACCAGAGAGCTGTGCACAGTCTGTCAGTGACCCACCCACCTATTGTATTAGAGCAGCAGGAGTTCTGAGGTACAATCGGGAGTCTGACAACCACAGGATAAACTTAACAACCATTATTCCAGAGGTACTAAGATCACATTTCTATCTAGTGTTATAAATTCCATCTACAGCAATATGGATTTACTGGTTACTAGTTTGTTCAAATCAACACTCTGTTGTCCAGTCCCAGAAGCTGACAGAATACCCAGTGAAATGTGAGTACTGTGGAGAAAATGCCAAACCCTCACTGGATCTAACATGGCTTCAGCGGCCTGAGGTGAGGGAGACAGTGAATATACTAAAAGAAACTCCCCAAATATATCTAAAGCATTGTTGACGTCCTTGCATCCTGTTTTGTGTCCATCCCAGAAAGTCCCACTCTTCTGCTGTGCCCAGTGGCAGCAGCTGTGTGAGATGCTGCTGAAGCAGAGATGTTTAGTTGGGGGGAGATGTGACTTAAGGACTGCTTCTCCAACATTAGTAGGGGATAAGCCGGCCCCAGACACAGAGGAACTTCTCTTCCAAGTCAGGGAGATGGAGGATCACAACAAGTTTATATTGGAGTTACCAAGTACACTAGGGTAGAAATTCACATCATACATGTTAAATCCAACACACAAACACAAAGATCAGTAAAATGGTAATCTTAATCAACATAACTTCACAGCATTCAAATCAAGAATAATTTAATCTGTATCCTTTATTAGAGAACAATCCGAACTGAGAATCTACGAGGAGTACTCAATCCAACTACCTGTAGCTGAAACCTGTGAGTAACTGCTTTAAATATGTTCATCCAGTCATGATAAACAAACATACGAGTTGGCATACTGTGTGTGTTTGTCATGTGCCTTTGTTTTCAGATTATTGGTGAAAAACTTTAAATAGCTTTGTGAGACTGATACAGTTTGTTCTGTGCTATTGTTTAGTTGCCACGACATCAAAGGTGCTCAGGTTCCGGCTCTCTTGTGCTCCAGGAAAAGGATGCTGGACAGTTTATCCTAGTAGTGCAACTGAGAAGCACTTGAAAACAAAAAAGGAAGAGGAGCACGTGTTGGTCCCTTTTTGTGACCACAAGCCACTTCAGTTTGGCATATGTCATCATCAGGTGCCCACAAACTTCACTGTTTTCTTTCATGATCGGTGTAGCACAAAACTGTTTGTTTTATTAAAGTCAAAACTAAGAAGAGTTATTGAGTAATTGTTGTTATATGAGATCATACAAATAACAATTATTTCTTTGACTAGTAGCCATATAAATCTGTATACTGCTGTATGTTAATCTTTCCACATACATATATATACTACCCCCATGTGGTCATACTGTGTCTGATCAGCTTATAAGAGGAAGAAGAAAATAAGAAGAAGAAGGAGGAGGAGGAAGAAGAAAGAAGGAGGAAGGACTATGTTATTAATCCCCTCAAGGGGAAATCAATTTTGTCACTCCGTTGTTATTTTTGTCATTTTACACACACCTGCCCAAAATACATGACACATGACGCAAACAGGCTCAGTACTACTCTTAATGATGAGGAAACTGACTTGCATTAAACCTCTTTCTTTGTTCACAGGATGGGGCAGACTCTCTACAGAAGTATTACTCCAATCACATGAAATTTCTTACTGTGTTCCCTGATGGTTCTGCTCAGGTCTTGTATCCAATCACTATTTAATGTCTGTAGATTGTTATTATGTGATTAAATTAGATTGATTCGATTTTCAGTGGGCTTTGAACAAGATAGATGGTACTACAATTGCAATAAAGAGAGATTATATGTTCAATAAAACATGTACTCTACAGTGGGTGTTTCCATCCTTATCGTCATGGTAACAGTTATCCCTCAGGCCTCTTGGCTCTCGTTGTCGTGGTCACTGAAGAAAATGGAAGGGTGTGCATCGTGTATGATGACAGCGATGCCCCCCGTCAACCAGTTAGAGCCATATTCCAGTCTGACGGCAGGGCAACGTGTTATCACAGCAATGGAAACATATGGTAGCATACAAAGCAATGTTTATATTCTATCAAATGTTTATTAGCATTACATTGGTAACAATAAAGTATAGCTAATCTCATCATTTAATATTATATACACAGATATTTATATGCACATATAAATTAGGCTAATTAATATCCTGTGTCTGTACTAATGGGTGCATCTAATGTATGGTTTTAGGATAAAATGATTGTCATGTGCGGATTGCAGAGAAAATGATGTATACATGTGTGTTTATGTTGCAGGCTGACCTTAAACAGATCAGGCGGTCAGTGTTTGGATGAGGAGGGTGCTAGGGTTCGTCGGTGGAGCTGGGGCAGTCTGAGCCTCACTCCCTCTCCCCTGCACCCCATTTTCTTGTCCCTCAACAAAACCATTGGGGTTCGAGTCCTAGGGAGAGAGCAAGTGTTTGTCTCCTTCCTGGCAAGAGGCCAACAGGCAAAGTTCAGTGTGGGTACCTGCTGTGCTCAGGTGAAGCATAGTTTGCTATTTTTTATCGAATTACATGTTGCAGTTGCCAGCATTTCCAGTTCTGACAATATGCCTTAAAAACCTATTTTTCTTCTTCTATTCTGTTCCCCTTACAGTGGCTTGAATGCTTTACAATATTAAAATGTCAGTTAAACAGTATATTGTAATGCGTCTGCTGCTTGTTCAAATGCTTCATTTAAGCTGTATTTTGCTTATACTCCTCTTAGACTAATTTTTTATGTTCTCAAATTACATCATCTTGACTAGAATCAAAGTCAAAACAAAATAAAATAAGGTTTATTATTATTAAGTAAGGTTAAGGTTATTATTACATTATGCCTTTTCCCTCCAAGGCGGAATGTAAAACAGACGAGGCTGCTTCAGGACCATCAGTATTGAAGGAGGAGTTGTTTGTGTTGGCAGCTAGGATTAGGATCCACCTGGCCATTCAGCACCTTCACCAATATCTGACAACGCCCTCCCATCCTCGCCTACCGAAGACCACACAAGCCTCCCGCCTCCATGTTGTTGCCCAGAGGATTCTGGAAGTCAGTGCTGATTCAACGATGAGTGAGAGTGAAAGAGCCTTTATCTCTAAGTGCCTTCAGGATTGTCTTTGATGTGCTGGTAATAAAGTACACTATGACAGAAACTCTGTTATGGCACAAAGGCATATAAATTAGGATGTACTCCACAGAGCAGGTCAAACACCACGGCCTCTCGACGATGTGGACCATAAAACACAATATTTGCAGCCAACATTTAGGCATTGTATAGTTTTATTTAAACATCCTTATGGCACATGCAAAAGGGGTGGCCAAACTTTGGCAGCTGTAATATTCATAGGCATGTTTCATTAGTGTAGAATCATCTGAATATAGTAATCATTATGTTTTTCTTATCATAGAACAAGCCTTTGTTATCTACATCTGGATTGGGGCGTTTTCCAGTTGTTTTTCTTGCATTTCATGGCAACCATAGTTTCTCCTTCGCGTTTGGAAGGGGAGGGTGAAGCTAGGGAGTTGACATCTGCTAAATGCAACTAAATCCTAAATACTGGACCTTTAAAGACTCTTAATAGGATTTCGGGAGGTATGATAGCAGTTACATCACAATGCTCAGACCTCAATCATAGGATCCACTCATGGATGGCTTTTGACACACAAAAAGAACAAAAACTACAAGTAAAAGCAGAAAAACTGAAAATTATAATTTGCTTTAACCTTTCTCTAGTGAATCTGTTAAAACCCACAGGAAATCTAAATGGGGTCATCCTTCTGTCTACTCCATTGTCAATAAACGTATCAAATATAGACGTTTCCCCCCAATTTTCTTTACTTCTTTCTTATATATTGTTAGGAATAAGGGTGTCTGCACCACTGTAACGTCACTTATGTCTTACATTGTACCAATTTAATCTGTTTTGTGTCTTCTAATCAAATCAGTGTAGATCCTCAAGTCTTCCTAATAACATTAGGTTGAACAGATGGCTCAAAGATGACCACTCATGAGGTTGTCTGCTTTATGAAAACCAAAAAAACCCAGAGCAGTATCTCCAAGCCATTCAGATTTCCTCCTTCTCCTCGTTTACTTTAACTAAACTGTCCAAAGCTTTGCGGCAGTCACATTATCTACTCTATCTTCTAAAGGTAAACTGTCTTTCCTCTCATTTAGTTCACTTATAATATAATTTATAACCACCACATCAATCAGTAAACATCACACCACAGCATCACAGTTAGTTACAATAGGTTTTATTAATCTTTTAGCTTCTTCCAAGTTATGTAAATATAAAAATTATTCAGAAATCATACCAAGACGCAATTCCCAAATGTTATTTTCACAACAGTGATAACAGATTTTAAGTGTTGCATTTTCTACATGGCTAAACTACTTTTAGAACAATAAACTTAAAATTCTACATATGGCTCAGTGGTACAAATGACACGATTTATTTACTCACATAGATCAATTGTATGCAACAAGTTAAAGACTATAAGTAATCAATGTTAAATCTCTCCTTATGGACCACTGATGTCACCTGGATGAAATCTGCAGTTGTATGAATAGTACAAGAGAATGACAGAATGGCCGGCACTGTTACCATGGATCCCACTCTGGCGTCGGGGGCGGGATGTCTCTAAGGAGCATGGTGAAGAGTGATGGGGGCATCCAGTCTGTGCTAGCAGTCTTCCTGCCTTCAGCGCAGACCTTCATAAACATCACTTCACAGCCCAGTGAGAAACCCACCTCAAACCTAGACAGGAAGAGAGGGAGGGCAGATCAAATTAGACAGCATGAACATTTCACTGTCTAATACAGTGTGTCTCACATGTAAGGGGAAAAAAGACAGACTATAAGATCAGCAAAAGACCATTAATTTAAAAAAACAGTAACAAACTATGAACAGTACTGAACTTACATGGAGGGGCTTTTAGCTCCAGCCAGGATGTGAAGAGTAGGGTTAGGAGTGGTGAGGTTTTGTGTTCATGTGAACGTTCATCTTCATCTCGTTGTCCAGGATTTGCACAAGCTGCTGCATGGAGGGCAGGTGACCCGACTCCAGTTTTGACCACACTGGCACATCTATGGAAAGACGATACTCACTGTAATCTACTGCATTTTGTTTCATCGCCACACAACTTTATTACTATTAGCCATAGGGGAAGTAATTGTATGAAACAGCACTACAGGTTGTTGAAAGTGTTATAAATGCAGAAAAAAATAATAATTTTAAGCCACAACATTTACCTCATGACCAGTGTTTGCAACATGGCAGCCAACTGAAATCAATCTTAAACCAAAACAATTTGGTTCAGTCAATAAGCCCATGTTGCGAATCACAGACTCACCATTTAATGTGATTTCAAAAGCTCCTGTAGACATTAACTGGTTTTCAATCATATTGCTGAGGAAGAATACCATCATGCAGGCATATATCTGAAAGAAACGTGAGAAATTTTAGTTAAAAAGGTTCAGTACAAAAAGTGTTTTCCCCATTTTCTCCATGTTTGATTTAAGAATCAATCAAGATGTTGTTGTGTAAAACTGCAGTTTGTTTGCACAGTTTACTGGTTATTGGGGCCCCAACTGATCAGCCTAAAACAACACATATTGTTCGACCACTGCTTGTTTTGGACATTGGACGGACATTGTTGCAGCAATACTTCAGTTACCAAACACTTATAAATCACTTATAAAACAGGTTCATAGGTCCTACTCTCCCATTTGTTTCTTGTTGCTTTCTGTCTGCAGTTTGCGGGGTAGTCAGAAATGGACTGATTTGTGCATGTGTGACACCTTCTGCCACAGAGCCCTTCTTATTGGTTGATGAGATTAGAGCGAAGTCATATTACACAGCGGCAAATTACAGGGCCTAGAACATTCAATAAGGTCGGATTTCTTTTCAAGTCATTTGGTTTATTGATAACTGTCAAGATATGAGAGTTTAATTCAATAAAGATATGTGATACAAAAAATGTAATCAGATTTTGCCAAAATATTTCTGTATATCTACTGCATCTTTTAATGCACACTCAGACTCAGTTTGGTTTCGACAAAAAAAAAGCACATTTATTTGCGGAAGAAATCTTAGCTAAAAGCTTATTAAATCTTTATTCTGTATGTCATTACAAGGTTTTCTGTTAGTTATCTGTTTGGCCACCAAAACCAAACTGCCTCAGGTTTCTGTTACAACACAAGGACAGCCAATAGTGCAAGACTGTTTTATTTGTAAATATGTGATGTTAGCCATTCTCCCTCTGAGTTTTAGGTATGTCTGACACTCTGAGGATAACGGATAACAATAAAAACAATACTTGACAACATGACCCAAATTACCGGCATTACTGAAATCCCTCGTGTTTGAGTTGTACTTAGCAGTGTGTATGTGCACACATGTATAAGAAACACAGCGGGGAAAAAAGCCAACTTTTTTGCTTTTCTATGAATCCATGTTTCTGTGTTATATATGGGTGGCGATAACTTGCAAAACAAAACAAATCCTCAGCTGCACCTAGACTCCACCCACTTATACACGGTTAGAAAATCTCCCACGGGATCACAGCTTTAATGAGTCCTATAGTTCCAGTAAACCTTACCTTATTTCCCTGGCCCCACTCCCAGATGCCTGGGGCTTGCATACCAAAGAGGGCGAATGGGTCCTTGCCAATAATAATCACCCCAATCACCAGCAGTTTGAACATAGACAGGAAGGAAGCGACATGTCTGAGGAAATAAAACAAGAAACTGGCTTTTAATGCAATTTCTAGACATGGCAATAAAGCAGACAAGGTTAGTAGTAGATATCAAATCAGTCCAAAGTCTTCCAAGATACATTACAATTATCTGGATTTATGCGAGATGCCGCGTGCCGTTCCTCGGTTTTACCATCTTTAAACTTAAACACCTCTAACTGGTTGAGCTACAACCTATGAGTCAACACAGGCTTATTCTTAAAGTGACTGAGCCAGAGATATACAGAAACACTGGCTGGAGAATTTGAAATCCAGGGTGTAACACAGTCTCCTTTCATGGGAGCAAATCTCTAGTGTATCTATTAAGAGTTCAACTGATGAGGACCTGAGGGTTTCAGTAACACACACCTAATGATAACACCTGGGACTATGCTGCACAAAACCAGGCTCACAGTGAGCCTCTGATCCAAATATAGGCATGGGATGTTTCACAAGCCCACTGACTTTACTAAATTCTAGTCTGCATCTGTAACAGTGCACAAAACAGAAATAGTCCCACGACAATTCTAAAGTGAGGGGAAGGATACATTGAGGAAAAATACTGAATATTAGTCCTAGGGTTAAAACTGTTAATGACTTTCATCATCAGTTAATCTGCTCATTATTTTCTCAGTTAATCATTTGTCTATAAAATGACACAGAATTGTAAAGTGACACAGTAGTAGGGACCACAACTCAAAGCATTAACACTTTCATGTGGCCCACAAATTCTCTTAGGTTGGTAATATACACTCAGATGCAAGTTTACAGAAATGTTAATTCAACAGTGTGGTCATTTTGGATGGTGTAGTTTGTGGTGCTGTTGAATTGCACTGTATTACACAGAGGTGTGTACAATTGTCACACCCCTCTAATACAAAAAAAACTGAACATTATACTCTTAATGAATGGAGGATTTATTACAAGACTGTTCTATTAGACTGACTGTGTGTGTCAGTCACACCACCAAATTAACTCTGATCAAAATCTGAAAATGTTATAGTGGTAGCTGAAATAACACAGTATAGTATGTGATCATTTTAATAATACACACTAAATAATGTGATGGACCTTTGACCTACATTTTATTTTTATTTTTCAGGGCCTAGTAGTTATGTCTATGCCTATGAAACTAGCAAAGACAAATCCACGGCCAGATAAGGCTGACTGCATGAGAACTCCATTTCCTCAGTCAAATCACAGCTAATCCCAGGCTGCTTTATTAAAGCTGGAAATAATCCACTTGTAACAAGGCAGACAATCCCTTTCTTACCGATAAAGGGGTATGGGTTGAAAGTTCTCCCCTTCAATGCGGATGTCCGGGTACCGCTGGTACAAGGCCTGCGTGTACTCCTCAAACACCCGCTTGTACCCTCAGGAAATGCTGTGTGAAGACAAACACACTGTTAGAAAGGCGTATGCACAACGGGGACAAAAGGCAGCCACAACACCGCAGTGATCTCAAGGGTAGATTGTGAATTCAGCCCTGACAGTCTGGCTCATGTGAATTCCACCAATATCTGTGGATCATTTTTCTTCTCAGTGTAAAGTTTTAGTAGCAGTGTGAAATTCCAGTCAGCAGCATGTTAGCACACTTTAAATTCAATGCTTTGCACTGCAGTGCTACATGTCCGTTTGTGGCATGTGTTTGCTTTAGAGAAAGGCAACCATTTGCAATGCAAATCGTGGTATTTTAGTTGTTCTTCATTGCACATAAACACCTTAAAACTATGCGACGTTGTTATTTAGCATAACCCCCTTGACGTTAACGACCAACGCGTGTTATTTTTAGCCTTAATGATTTATATTTGGGTTCGGCACTATTGCGTTCTACCTTTTGATTAGTTAGCTAGTTAGTTAAATGGTACTGTTAACTTTCCAACACGATCAAGAGAACCAATAGCAAATAGTTTAAATTGCATTAAATAATCCTAGACAGATGAAGCACTTTACATGGATAATAATCCCATTGTCCATAAAATAACGTTACAATGAACACAGTGGACACGAGGCATGGCAGGTGCATTTATGTTATTACAAATTATTCAACAACAAAGCAATGTAAAGTGCTCTTAATAGTTAACTATAACAGAACCACATGAGGACAATGTATGAGAGCAACAGCAGTCAGTATAAAGACACACACACACATAAAGAGACGACTGTAACGGGATTTAACGTTGACTCGTGTGTTTGACAGCGGAAGCGGGGCCGACCAAATGTTCATGAAAACGAGCAAAAAAAACAGGAACTTCTAAAGAACATGTTTTCTCCAAGTGTGTATGAACCTTGGTTGACTAATTTAGCAAATAAATAACTAACATAACGTGAGCTCTCCTCCACATTATGTTAACTCCCCTAATGTTAGCGTCGGCTAGCACCTCTCGGTTTTTCGGCCTAACGTCATGTTGTTGTTAGCCGGCGAGTTTAGCTAACAGTTAGCTCGCAATGACTCGCCAGATTTTCGCTCTTTGATTTACCAAATCTGAAACTTGAGTAGAGGTCCCGTAGCAAACTGCATCTTCATCTTCTTCACACCACTGCTGTCTCCAGCCGTGGCGCAGCACAGCGAGAAAAGCCCCAAAACGAGGAGCGAAAAACGCAACCACTTCATCGCGATCCGTTCCGGGCTTCGTTTCCTCACTCAGTCAGATTAAGAGGTGGGTTAATCTGTATATTTCGTTACTGGTTGGTTGGTCCCTCCTCTTCCTCCTGCTATAATCTTAGATTTTAAACACAACCACCTTTAGCGCCACCTACTGGTGTGGCTGTTCAACTGACCTACAGTCACTGGCAGTATATAACGTTACACCGATCAACCATAAAATTATGACCACCTGGGCACCCTGGCTGGTCTGCGGCTGCGCAACAGACTGATACACTGTGTGTTCTGACACCTTTCTATCAGAACCAGCATTAACTTCTTCAGTAATCTGAGCCACAGTAGCTGTCTGTTGGATCAGATCGCAGGGGCCACGGCAGACCAGGTACAAGAGCTGCAGTTTAGGAGATGTTCTGACCCAGTCGTTAAACTGGCCCCTTGTCAGAGTCGCTCAAATCCTAATGCACTCAAATTATTCCCTGCTTCTAACACAACGTGGACAAAATCACACCCACTAACAGGGGCCATGATAACGAGATTGAACAATGTTATTCATATATATTTTGTGTAAAATGTTGTATGGGAAGTGTACACTGAAGTGAAAATATAAACAATGAAGAGAATTGATTGAACAAATTTCCGCCCCGGGGATCAATAAAGTATTTCTGAGTTATTTCCTCTCAAACACTCGAGCCAGAGAAACACATTCATAATCACCCCCAAAACCAAAATTGAATATTCAAGTAGTATAGTAATTGAACTCATAAACACCTTTAGGATCTGAGCATAAACATATTTTCCTGAGTGTATTATTCTCAAACCTTAATCCCTATGAAATATACAAATGACGAATAAAAAAAATGAGCTGAATATTTGTTGACAGCTATGTCTTCATCTTACATTATGTTCTTAGTTGTAGAGTAGGTGCCAATCCATAAACTGCAAACTTAATGAGATGCCCACAATATATTTTGTTCCTGAAATGCATACCACATTTGATTTCCACTTATTGATATACTCAAAGTAAACAGTGTTCAATTATGGATTTATTTGAGTACTGCACTTTCATCTTTATTGTGCAAATGCCACTTTCACTGGGGTTTATGGGTGATGAACACTCTCTGATCTGTCTTGACACATATCTGACAAAAATAAGTCACTGAAATGAGCCATGTTTTTATAATAAAAAAAAAAAAGATTTAATTTGATTTATTTTCTCTTCCACAAAACATTAAACTTTACTCATGGTTAAAACATTCACAGAGAAAAGTGCTGCATCCAACAATATACACCAGTAGTCCCCAAAGCAGTTTCTTACAAGACCTGCAAAACCTTCAATGAGATAGTGTCTAAGTACATTTTATTTATTTAAGTCATTAATACAATAAAATCAAAAGGGACCAAACTGCTTAAAAACAGATGTCTTCAATAAACAAAGCTTTGTGGGTGGGTGGGTTCGTCTCAGTGTTTCATCATCACCAGGCTCTCCTGGTCGACAGCAGACTGCAAAGCCAGTAATGTGTCTGTGGATGACAGATAACTGAATAAATAAAAAGGTAAAGCATGTATCCACCCAGATTGAGGTCCTTTATGAACAACACAACAAACAACAACTATTTGATGATGTCATGCAGGCAATTTGCTGTGTCATATTTAACCGCAGTCCATTTGATTTGAGTACATTGCTAGACTAATGGACAGAATCATAATAGATCTGTGGTTTGTACAAACCCAATATCTTCCGGGAATGATTCAACAGGTCGGGAAGTTCTGCCTTGATGTTGTATGAAGTTTGCTCCATCGCCTTGACGAATTCATCCACCCTCTGAGAAACAAAAGTGATTCAAAAAGAAAAAAAAAAAGAGAACTTATAAAGCCAATTCAAAAAAAAAAAAAAAAAAAAATGGCATTAGAACTTGCATGCTATAAAAGGTGAACAGAGTTTACCTTGAGCTCTACATAAACTTTCTCCTCCAGCTCTGCCACTTGAGACATGGCATCATACACACTGGTATCCACCACAGTTTCCTACAAACACACACATCCATCAACATTTTTGCACATTATACAACAGTTATAATTAACATTAATTATGATTTTGGACTCTTGTACAGTCCTACCTCCTCTGTGGAGCTGTTTATAGGCTCTTGTGCCTTAGCTGCTCCACTGGCTGTGGAATTGCCATTCAGTTCTTTCACTCTACCGAAGAACAAAAAAGGTTTTACCTTCCCAGGCATGATATTATTTTCAGAATAAAACGTCAGTATTTCCATTACAAAAAAATTTTTGAATCAAGCTGAGCTTCATAAGCAACATATGTACCTGTCAGCATAACGTAGTGTGTTCATTGTATATTCACATGAAGCCATGCCTGGAGACACCATAGCAATCTATGGTGTAAGAGAAGGGAAAAATATGTTTACGTACACTCATTCGGGTGGAATGAAATGATGATCAGACCATAATAGACTGTATGCCAAACAGAGAGTATCCTAGTTTTAATATACCATGCAGGTCCTGGACTTTTCTCCAATGAAGGAATCCCTGAGGACCTTGGTCAAAGTGCTCATCCGGAAAGGAATGTGATCACTGTTCATTCCAAGTGAACGAATGCATTCCTACAGGACACAAGAGTGGACACATAGCATGTTAGAGGTGATTTTCAACATCCATTTAGGTGTTGTGCTTGCATATTTAATATGGACAGATCTGAGAAAGTCAGAAGAGTTGAATATTCTGGGAGTTTTCAATTTGAGAGAGCCGTGGAGACTTTATCTGTACCCTAATCAAGGTGCCAAAACAAACAACTCTCTGCTGCCCATGGCTACTCATCTGGTGTGTGTGCACACTTTCATAGCAGCCACAGTCTACCTTGAGAGCCAGCAGGCTGCGGTTGATCTCGGCAGTCTCAACCAAAGTGCTGCGGTCGTTGCTGCTGACATCTGTGCCGCGCTCATTGCCGGCTAAGTCCACCAATGAAAATTTGCCAAGCAGCGTGGTGGCTCTATCATTGCGTCGAAGGACAATCTGGAGGATGGCATGAGAGCGGGAGGAGTTGGCGTTGGCTGAGGTCTGGCCTGATGTTCTGGAGAGACAAAAAGGAAAGGAAGCAGCCATGTTAATGTTGTATAGTTTTTGAGCTAAAGAACGACCTGTCAGAAAAGTGGGTAGCTATGTTAAAATAACTAGTGAACTCCAAAAAAGCATGTTCTGAACACACAAGTACCTGCATGCACTGCCCATCTGTATCATCTTGATTACTTCTTCTGCTGAGGAAACATAGACCTCCTCCAAGCCCACAACCTGAACCTGCTGTCGGTCATCCTCCAGAACCCGGAGCTTGGCCTTCTTGTTCAGCAGGTCAAATACCTAGATCAGAAAGTATATTGGACTTTAAGGATAACATAAATTAGCTGATATTTCAAGCAAATATTCTTAATGTGTTCATGGAGGTAGGAGAGCTTTTTTCTTCTTCTTACTTTTCCATTGTAAATCTCAAAGAAACTGACGTAGGCAGAGAGATCCAGGTTAGCATACCTCCTGTGGTTGAGATAGGTGAAAACATCATGGGCTAGAAGGGGAAAGATAAAAAAAAAGATTAAGAGATTTCACATAAGAGGCTAATTTAGTAAAATCCTGAATGTTCTGTAATTTAAGGAATAAAGCCATGGACTCCTGAGTTAATTGGATACATCCAAATTATGCAAAAAAAAAAAAAAAAAAAAAAAAAAAAATGAGGATGGTTTCAGTCCTACCTGCCAAGGCGTAGATTCCTTTGGCACTGTTCTGCTGCCTCCCTGTGAAATCACCTCCCATTGTCTAGAGAGAAAATGTGCCCGATACGCAAAAATTATTTTCTACCTATGGAAAATACTGTCTACTCCAGACCAGACAACCCTATATAGCAAGTAGACTTACATGAGTCTTCCCACTTCCTGTCTGCCCATAAGCAAAACATGTTGCCATAGCACCTTCGAAAATGGACTGCACCAAAGGTTTGGCTGTGAACCTAAATAAAAAATATAAATCAGTCATAAATTGAACTCTTGAACCAAGAAAAAGATAATAGCATGTATAAAAACTACACCTTTAGTTTCATCTCAAGTGAAATTACTGAAAAGATATAACCATTTTAAATGATGCTATCTACACTTTCCTACACACCAAGATATTTACAGGATGTGGGTAATGAGAAACAAAACACTAGACAGATGCTTTAAACCATACACCCCCCCCCGAGAAAATTAACCACGAAGAGCTTGTAAACACCATATCTTATCTAGAAGCCTGCAACCAGATCCATCTTGTTGCTAAATAAAAGGACAAATGAGGTCATTACTTGTAGACCAAGTCGTTGGTGGCGGTCTCATCAAATGAGTAGTCAAAGTGGAAGATTTGGTTGTCCAAGTACTTGGTAAGGTCCACCTTCTGTTTTGGCTCATGAACCAATAGAGTACCTTTTCCAGGCACAGATACCACATCTATCTCCTTTTTATTAATCTCTGGAAAACACAAGAGTGTCAAAATAAGTCATTTTTGTTTGCATGTCATTAATGACTCTTATAATCAGATGATACTGTATACAGGATGTTGGACCTCACTCTCAATATACCTTGCTTGTTAAGGGGCCTCTTGCGGACACACACACAAATCCTTTGAGATTCGATCTATAAAAACACAAGAAGTGCTGTAAGCATGGGCTATAACGGCACACCAGCATATAGCTTCATCCAAGGCCCATGATTCTAGAGTCCAAACTCACATGGTCAGTCGTTGATAAGGGGGTTACTTCCAAGGTCTCTCTGAAGTCTTGGATCATGTCATAGAACTTCTGGTTTGGTCGAGAAGCCTCTCCAAACTAAAAGGAAAACAGAAGGAATGTACATAAAATGTGAGAAAGAACTGTGTCTAAAAGTTCCAAACAGGTCACACTTACCCAATTAATACAAAATATCTTGTATAGCAGAATGAGGAAAGAAAAAAAAAATCTCACCTTTCCCCTCTTGGTGTGCACGTCAGGAGGCTTTATCACACAAGACAGCCTTTTGTTGCCTTTGTTTAGCTCTGGGGGTGCCACAGATTTTCTTCTCCCTAGAGATAATATATGTTTTTGTCAGATCAAAACATCCAATAACACCTCATGACCTCACACCTCATTGTCAACTTCTCACTATCCAACTAATTAATGCTCTTCCTACTTATCAGAGCATGAAGTTAAAATGATCTGTAAGTGCATAATCACCAAATCTTCAAATTTCTGTGTACAAGTATGTCTATAGATATATAGTAGGATAGTGGATCCACATGATATCATGTTGGTGTAAAATGTGTCATGGCTTGGACAGATTGCTTGTGTCAGCAGTACGTTACAGCTACCTCGCTGAACTGCTGTAGCTTACACGCCTGTGGTGTTCACACAGTCAGTTTCTGCTACGGCCAGTCCTGTCTTTCTACACTGAGTTTGCTTTTGATAAATACGATACAATAAAAACCTTGTTAACCAATTAATGGATTCTGTGTACAGTAAAGATAGAGAGTTTAAATCTGAAACAGATATAGGAGGTGTTGAGTAAAACAAATTTCTTCCCATGTCTGTCACATATTCTACAGATATAGACATTGTATATGGTATAATGTTGATAGGACTACGAACAAACAGCGTGCGGTTCCTAAACAAATAGGCGAGATCTCTACTGCAGTCGTGCAAGACACAGTTGCGTGGCTGCTCTAACCAGTTAACACCAGCACCAAAATGAGTACTAGGACTGCACACAGGCTGCAGACGCCAGCAGTGTGTCCAGGCGGTTACTGACCTTTGACTGCAGGTGGTGGAGGCATTCTCTCGGGTTCATCATTTTCCTTTACTGCCTCACGGACAAGCGACAGTGCTGATTTGGCCTCATTCTTTCTGCGCTGCTGATTAGGAACTGCTAGAAAAGGCAGGAGAATGTGCTTGAGTTTATAAAGAGGAACAACATTTCAATTAATTTGTATAGTGCCAGTTATAACAAAAGTTATCTAAGGACACTTTCTGAATAGAGGTTTAGACCGTACTCCTTATAAAGTAATTCAAAATTACTGAACAAAAAAAAGCACATTGTAGTACTCGGAAAATACCTGAAAATCTATTTAATGCATGCAACAACATGCACGATATCTGATTCTATTTTGTTTTGTGACTGCACAATGTGGATGTGCAAATTATACTGCATGGGCAAGACTAGCAATTATCTGTCACCAAGAACAACACGACCAAAATGCTAAATTAAACAAATATATAGCTTGCATCAGTTTGTCTCTTTATTTTTTGGTCTTTTTCAAAAATACTTTCAGAAGATCACTACCAACCAGAGCTTGTGAGGACTGATGAAGAGTGGACCGTTGCCAGGTTTGCCTGAGAAGACTCAGAAGTTGGGACTGGTGCTGGAACAGGGGCCGGAGCCGTGGCCTGGAACATGCACGTCTGCCTGACCTGAGAGCGACTGGCAACTGAAAGACAGACAACTCCAAGTCAAACAGCTACACAACAAGAGTCAGAGTCCTCAAGTTAGTATTGTTAAGTGTTGCTACCATTGTTTTTCTGGGGTTAAATGTAAAGGAAACTTTGGGACAATATTAAGATAAACTGTTAATGGCTGTAGCCTGCCAAATCAAACATGATCACAGCAACAAGGTGCCAATCTGAGATGAAACAAGATCATTAAGAGACCCAGAATAACAGAAGTGAGCCACGAGAAAACCCTTAACACAGGCGGAGAAAAGTGTAAGCTACAGTGCAGCAAGCAATTAAATATTTGATTATATTTGCATATGAAAATATGAATGACTGAAGATGAATGATGTTACTTTGTCAGTTCTGAAAACTAAAGCAGCATATGGGATCATCACAGTCCATTATATCCTAACTGAACAAATATGCTGGTACAAATGCTGTACCTTCCTCATCAGTGAGGATACGGTGCACTTAATTCATTTTAGAGCAGATTAATGGACACAAATATATATATATATATAGTGCTGCATGCCCAGAATCACCCAAAGTTGTCCAATTGCATCCCTGTGCCACTAATTACAAACTAAAGCAGATCATTACTAGTGTATAATCAGTGGCCAGTGAGTTCAGCCCTCCAAGGATTTGATTTTATTAACTTACACCTCAACCCCAATAAAGGAGTGATTGTAAAATATGATTAATTTGCTTTTGAGAGAAGAACATGCATGCCTTGCCGACCTGACTCTTCAGCATTGGTGACTGCTGGAGCAGAGGCTTTTGGAAGGAAACAAGTTGTTAGGAGACAAACTACAAGACATCTAAAATGAACAAATAGTACAGCATATTTACATACAGGAGGAAGGGGCAGGAATCCTGGAGGAGCGCAGTCGACCCTCATACTTCTACGGAAGAGACAAACAGAGAGGGAGAAATCGCTAACTACAACAGTCATTCATATTATGGAAGAAAAAGTCTGCAGACACATCTGCAGGCAGCCTTGTCAGTGTGGCTGGGACTATGTTAGCGCTCCCCTTTGTGAGTTTTGAGAAAGTGGTGAAAACATCTTTTCTACATGTTAACACTTTTCTCCCTTACTAAATAACAGCAAATTGAATCTAAAACCTTTAATGACTGATGTTAAATACATATTATGTTATTATGTATAGAATAATGCAGTCCCTTCTGACATACTGTGCCCCGCTATTCCTTAAATACCAGTAACGTTCTGAAATCGACTGCATAAATCAAAGCATTTTTCTGTTTCATTCATTAAAAAATAATATGCTACTGGTTAAGATAAGCAAATATATTAGATTGGAATTATAAATGACTGTTTTGATATCGGCCATCAGTTGGCCTGCTCTCTAAATATCAACATCGCCCATTGAAAAACCCATATCAGTCGACCAGTAATTTAGATGCTTTAGGTAAAACCATTGCATCCACCATGTTTCTCAATCCTAAAGATGAGTAAAATTTTTTATTTTTTTTTAAGTAATCCACTGTAAACAATCAACTGGCAAAATAAGCACATTTGATATTGTAGGGGAAGCCGCTCAGAGGATAGGATTATTTGATTATGAAGTGTAAAAATTTAGATTTTTAGAAATGTGGCCCAACCTTTTTGACACTGACAACTAGCTGCTCTAGTTCTTTGTCATGTGGATTACCTTGTCTGGAGCAGGAAGGGGTGGATCAGCAGCTTTGATGGGGACAGCGTTGATATGGTCCAAAAGCTCAGGATTGAGTGTGCATAACTCGCTCACCTCAACCTGAATAAACACACACACACACACACACACACACACACACACACACACACACACACACAGACACACACACACAAGGAGGAATGCATAACGTTAACTTTGAGGAGAATACATCAAGTATATGGGACATTTCAAAATACATTCATAATGGACGTTTGGTTCATATTATTATATTAAATATGCTGTGTGTGTTTATGGGCTTACTGACCTCCTTTCCTCGACAGTTGTTCCTCTCAGCCCACTCTACCATAACCGTGGACTTGACGGCATCAACGGATTTTACCGTCGCCAGATGCACTCGACCTGGTTTACACGTAAACAAAGTCGAGGTCAAGCTTTGTTAAGGACACATTATTCTCTGGGAAAGTTGCAATAATAATAATAAAAAAACCTCTCAGCTCACCATCACTTCGACTGATTTTTACAGACAGTCCAACGAGAAGTCTGGACAGGCCGTTCTCCATTTTATCTCCTTCTGTGCTGTAAAATCCAGGTAACGTTAGCGTTTGAGCAACGTGCTAACTCACGCTATCTATTAGCTGTATCTATAAACTGTATCCTCCTCTCCTCGATACATGAACAAATATATAATCGAACTGCAGTCGTACTATTCTTATTTTATTTGTTTGTTTATCTTTTCTCACCCGACTAACGACAAAATCCCACTCACCTACCTCTCTGCCAAATTCAACGCCGCCCAAGATTTAAACTTGCGTTATTTCCGGATATTTAAGCATCTGATTGGTCCTCGTCATGGCATCGTTTGCGTCCTTCTTCTTCTTTGGCTTTATTAGAATCGGCGTTATACTGCCGCTACCTGGTTCAGTTAGGAACTTCCTCTGTAATGAAAATCAACAGTATAGGCCAGTTATGAGATAAGATAAGATATTCCTTTATTTGTCCCACAATGGGAATATTCCAGTGTTACAGCAGCAAAGTGGTATTTGTGGTATAATAGTAGTATATGCTGATGTAATAGGCCCATCAGAAGACAATATACCTTTTGTACCACAGGGGTACACTTCAGAGAGAAGCATACTTTTTACTTTATTACAACTTATTTTATGTAATTTGCATAAAGAAGTTATATTTGCAAAAAATATATGATGAGCTCATAATATTTAATGCACTGTTAAGAATGTATGGGCTACTAGCCAAATGGAGTGGTCAGATTTTCCACAACATGTAATATATTTCTTACAGCTGATATCTTTGAATAACAACTATAATATTATCATACTTAAGATGAAAGAGTGACAGTAATGTGATGCCAAAGACAATTTAAAACAAGATGCTTACATGTATATAGAGCTTAAGTTTTATAGGAAATAGTTTTCTCAAAATAATACCTGTTTACTGAATGCCCCTAAATTTCAATCTGACTTACAATTTTCAGATCAGGTGAATGTTACGTTTATAAAAATGCATGCACAACGTTACAAAATAATTGATAAGTATAATGTTAATTTTCCTAGTGGTCTCCCTCTTTATTCCTTTTCTCAATTGCTAGCTGATGATGTTTAACATAATTTAGAATACATTTTATCTAAATTCTTCCTTCTGGGTTAACAAATTAATCTGACTAACTGGTTGTAGATTTGAACTATATACTGCTGTTGTCAGTCCATGCAATACAGAAGTGCAAGTTGACAAAGCAATTGGAAAGCCCTTAAGTTGCACCGCAGTCTGTTCTCAGTCAAACAGATAAAGACCGGTTTCCTGAAACTTTATCTGATAAAATACTGAAAGTCAATTTGTGTCTTACAGCACAATGCATTTTTCTCATTTATTACATCTTTATCACGTCTCCTACTGTGTACTGTACTGCACTCTGGTCTCAGTTAATTGTGCTGTTTATAAATGTTTTGCAGTTGGCATTTGCATAACACAAAAAGTATTCTGTATAAAAACCAGTGTTGAATAACAATTAGGGTTGAGTTATGTGAGACAATAGAAATGTGTCAGCTGTCAGAGATTTTGCAAGATCGTGTATACCAAGGTATCTCTTTTTTAATATCCTCTGATTGTAGGTTGGACTACTTTATTGCAATAAATAAAAAATGGCTGTGAATCCATGGCTTGATCTCTTCCACAATAAAATTCTGATCCATTTAGCCTTCTGCATTTCATCCATGCAACTACAGGAATCCTGTGTTTGTCCACATGCTCCCTCTCTCCCCACACCCATTGCAAACCAGGCACAACAGTTCAGTCCCCCATGACATCAACAATCAGGGACAGCTGGAGAATGACCCATAATGCAGTTCAGCCTTGCCTTCAGCGTGGGAGGCTTCCCATTTTTCCTCTTTTCTTTTTGCCCCCCAACCTCCCCACTCGTCCGTGCCCACACCCTCTCAGCCTCCAAACCTCCTAACTATACACAAGCTGGACTTATGTATACACATTCCCCGCAAGCAAACGCTGACACATGACAAATCAAAGGTCTAATAAACAGCTTGTTCTGAACAATTTTCCCCCCACCACCAAAGGATGAAAAATAAACAAATCCCTGTCGGTTTGGCCCGGCCAGGCCATTTGGTAGGTCTGTCTGTCGATGACTGGGTGGCCCAGGGCTGCTCGGTGTGAGGCCTGGGATGGAGCCACAACTGTTTCCTGTGAGCAGCCCAACCCCCAGAACCTCTCCACAACTGGCTTAGTGGGTGGTATTCCCCTCCTCTTTCTTATCCTCACATCCCCCAAACTCCTACACCCTCCTCTCCTCTCTTCCTCAAACCCTCCTCTCCCCTTCAATGCTCTCCACTCCGAGTGCTCCTCCCCCCCATTCCTCCCTTCCAGTCAGTCAGTCCATCCATTCTCACAGCTTTAGTCCTTGGCTAAACACTTCCTCAGTGGCCTTGAGTGGATGGAGTAGGCTAAACAAGATGTTAAACTCCTGTGTGCTGCATTTTATGAAATAGTTTTTCGTCTGTGTGTCTACTTGGTCTTGTCTGTGTGTTTTTCTGTATCTTAATTGTGATGACATAAAATGATGCCATGTAGGTGCTTGAGCTCAGTATACCTTCATCATTTATTAAATACTGTTATGAAGGTGTTATGTCCCCCCCCCCGATTATGTAATCATTACAAACAACATGATAAAATCGTTGGTTTTCTGAGGTGTTATCCTAACCTAAGCTATTAATTCATCTCTTTTATATCTCTCTTTGAAATCATATCCAATGAAATCTAGAACTTCCTATTTTAAATGATAGACCCACAGAGATAAATCATCTGTAGATGTGTGTGCAGTTGTTGCGCCACTTTGAACCTCTATGATGTTTGAATTGAAATGATTAATCTTGATATCTTTATTGGTTTTAAGTCAAGTGTTTCCAGGTATATGTCTCTCTCTTGTAAGTCCATAAATCTGAGTATTCTGACGGTCTTTATCTTATCACACCTTTTAAAATGAAGGCTAATGATTTACTATGTTTTGTGTGCATTTATTGGGTATTTTGTGAGAATTTGGTATCTTACTTAGCCACTCATAAATTAGAATTATCCATTTCATTTGATTTATACCCTGGGTGAAAATATATTGCATAAGCCTTTCCCTCAGACAAACTCAAACAGTGCTTTGCTCATGCTGATAAAGATTTCATGGGAAAACACTTGTGGGGGGGCAGAGGTCTCTAATCTCCATCATGCTGTGTGGAGATTGAAGTCATGGAAAAGCAGCAACACAATTTTGAGGTGATGGTTTTTTCTCAGTATGGAGGGTTGGTAGTTGTGGTGGATGATTTGAGGAATTAAGAAAGGGTCTTGTATCTGTTGGCCTTGAGTCTGTTTAACTGCTCCCCCCCTTTTTTTCCTGTCCAAAAGCATATTTTCTCAGTGTAAAGAAAATTGGCAGAGGCCATGGCTCTGTTCCCCTATACAGACTAAATAAACACACATGCATACAGTATGTGAGCTGACACTTACAAACCACCCAGGAACGTTGACAGACTTGGAGACGAGCAGTGAGAGAAATAAAGAAGACCAAAAGAAGAGAGAGTATTGAACTTCTTCTGCGCTCTTGTCACTTTCTTACAATTAATGGTTTAGGTAATGGGTAATTATTTGACAAAAATAGCATTTGATATCCATATTTTACGTCTCTAAAATGGCTTCAAAATTTGGGTTCTTAAAAAGGGTTAGTTTTTTGTCACATATCTGTAATATTAGGACGTCAACGTTGCATTATACAAAATGGCCAGCAGAGAGCAATATAGCTACAAAGTGAAAGAGCAACATACAGCAAACTTCTGACTTGGAAATAGGAGTTCTAACAAGAGCCAATATTAGAACATAACTTTCTAAGTGCACTTTTCTATAGTGTGAACCAATTGATGGTCTGGTGTGATTTATTGTTTCATAACTGAACTTAGTGTGCGTCCAACATAGCTACAGCAGGGATTTAAAACTTCTCCAGCCAAGGAGCCAAACTGAGCAAATACAGAGTGAGTCTGGAACATTCACTCATTAAGGCATATTAGTATTCTTGGCATGTGGGGATCCACTGAAACATGCCAGTGACCCATTTTGGTTCTCGGCCCATCATTTAAGAAAAACTGCCATATAGACTAAGCTTGCACTTCAAATACATCATTTCAAGCAGTGAAATAGTTCAGTGAGCAGTTTATTCACCTCTGAGCTCTGTCTCACACAGACCCGGCCCCGTGCCAACATCCGCCTAAGTTTGCCCAGCTGGCAAATTTTATTTGTTTCTTCAACTATAATTTTGTTTATTTATTTGGTTTCTGCAGTAAAGAGTGGTCAGAAGCAGTACACACAGCTGAAGTTACACTGCGGGAATGGCTTGTATGTCCGCAGGTTGGTTACTTAACAGTACCAGAACACCTCTCCACTGATCAATCAACTGAAATGGTTAGTTGATTCACAATATTAATAGTATCATTTTAGTGGATGCTGTAAACAGTCTTTTTGTTAATGGTTTGGTAGCAATACATTTCACTCACCAGAATGGCTAATATTACACTGTCAAACACAAAAGTCTGCCCACTCGATTAAATGTTTCATTAAACAAAAGTAAGACAGACTAACTTCTGCACCTCACATCCACCCACTCATCACACCACTTTGGAGAGCATTACACTGTGATATAATATATAGTAATCATTCTTAAAATGCAAACCAGTTCCCTGTCTCAGTGAGCTGGTTTGTAAGTTAAAAACCATTGGCTAGTCAAGCAGCACAGTGTAGTTTTCCTCAGACTGCAGTAGGGGTCAACCTCAGTAACCCATGTTTTGTCACCACGGGTGTTAGCTCATTCACTCAAGAGAGAAGCAAGTTGTGTGCTAGTGGCAGATGTCAATCCATCGTAAACTTGCTGCTTAAACGAGATGGTGATTATGGGATGCTGCATAGCTGTGTGCATGTCTGTGTTTTTATTTTAATGACTTAGTGTGTGTCTGTGAATATTCTCTTGCCTGTGTGTGGTCACTTGTGCACATGTGTAGGTATTAAATATGTGACATGTGAATGACAGTCTGGTCACATGGTTAGAGGAGAGGAGATCACACTCAGAGCAGTCAGATAACAGATAAAGTGGTGACTTATTGTTTGGCTTCAGACCTAATGATTAGTTCCTGAAACTGACTCTGCTTGAATGGATCAAGGCTGGTGAAATTATAGCCCATGCTAAAACCTGCCATAAGATCA